GCTTGACAAAATCTCAGTTTCAATTATTTTCTTTTTCATGGAAACTTCCTTTGACTACATTCCAAGCTTAAAATTCGAAAGCAGACATTATCAAATTTTAAAGTAAATTTAATTAAGTTCCATATGTTTTAAAATTTGAAAATCGAATTTTTCATCAAAGCACATCGATACAAATCGAATCATATCATCTCATGAATTAATGATGTCATGCATCAAAAGCTCAAAAAGGATAGGAAAATTCAGAATTATTCGTCAGAATGTTACTCAATCTTATTCAATAAATAATTCAATAAATTCTCGTCGTTCATATTTTAATTCCTTATAACTCGCTCTACAGTTCCGTACTTGAAAGATTCGTCAAGAAACATCCAAACAATTTTTTTTTCTCTTTTTAATTTTGATTCTTTTCATGTAACCTTAAGTATTCATAATTTCTTCTCATTCTTCCTCACAATTTAGCATTTTATTTTCCTTTCCTCTGCCTTCATTCTTCATTTCTTCACATTTTATTTATTTTTTATTTTATTTTTTCTTAAGAACAAACTTTTAATGCAATTTGTTTGCAAACACAAGAAAGGGGGAGCAAAACGGAATTGGAGTTGGGTTTTTTAGCTGATTCAAAAGAATGAGTAAGTGGAGTAGAAAGAGAAAAAAAAATCTCATTACACAAAAATCAGACCAAGTGGGTTGGGGGAGGGGGAAGAAAAATATATAAAAAAGTTTGCCTCGTGCTTAATGTTACCCCGAAAGAAAATAACAGAAATAATGAAAAATAAAAGCAAGAAGAAGGAGTAACTAGTATGGAAATCTTGACAGCAAATGTTACAATCATGACGCATAATTGGCAGAGTTTAGACATATTTTAGAAACTATTTGTCACAATGCTTGTGGTAATAAGTGGGAAATCCCTAATGTACCGTCATTAATTTCCAATATTTGGCAAAGATTTACTGAGGTTTGTTTGCTTTGACTGACTGTTGACAGAAATTATTGCATTCATTGATTTTAATTAGCATTTATTCCCACATATATCACATAATTAATAAGTCTGTGGAGTGGGTATGCGTTATATAGACGGTAAAATTACTTTGTATTTCCATGTTTCTTGCAATTTTGAGTTTGTCGCAAATGAATTCATTTTCAATTGCAAATCATACCCAATTAGTCGTTTACTTCATTTGTGGCACTTGCAATTTAAGGTGTGCTGTGAAGTGTGGTCAAAGGATGAAGCTTGGGTAATTAGTTCAATGGAAATGAGATTGAATTTCTATTTGTCTGGCTATTTTATGCTCAACTATTCGCAAACTCTAGGTTCAAAAGTAAATCTAATAAGACTTAACGGTTTCAGATGGTTTCTTGGATGTAGCTTCAAGTTTTGCCAAATATTAGTTTACTTTGGCTTTAACTTGAACCTAGAACCTTAAAATTACATCAAAGAAGCTTGACCAAGTTAACATTAGTAGACCCCGCAGATAGAATCCAGACCAATGTTACACTTCAGTTCATGGTACCAAATTTATTCCTTTGCCTGATTTATATGCTTAATTAATTCACAACATTTGTAATTCTTCATCCTCATCAAACCATAACTTCTCGTCATTACTATATAAAACATTTCTTCCAACAAAAACAAAAATTGAAAATCATCAAATCAACAAGAATCATGACTAATCCTAATGAACAGACAGACAGCAAACATGAGCTCATTTCCTTTTCATCAGGAAATGTACTCGAAATCGAGTAAAGAAGGAGAAAAAAAAACAATTGCCAAGAAATTGAGGAAGAATACTTTCCATGCATGACTGTACGATGAACGGAAAAAAAAAGTTTTTAATATTCCGCCATCGGTTTATGGCAGACACATTCTATACATGATGCATGATTATTTACGAGATGGAAACTTTCTTCATGATTCTATTTTTATTATTTCTTTCGAGACTAATAAATGAGGAATCGTTATATGCTTTTTTTGTTGCTGTGTTATATGTCGTTTTGAGAGGATAAACAAATTCCTTGGAAGAAAAGCTCTCATGAGTCCACATGTTGGCTTTATGACAATGTGATTTTGAGTCAAATTACATTTTAAAAGCTTTTTTCCTCCTTTTTATTTCTTCATTGTGTGAGCAGCGAGGAGGAAAAAAATTATGAAAAATGTTTCAATGGGATTTCCCGTCATTCTAAAATGGGGTCTTTCATAAATGACGTTTAATTATTATGTTTGATTTTATACGTCTGAAACCATACATATTATGTTGAATGCAGAACTTATATTTGTTGGAGGGGGTCTAAAATTTCTTTTCAGACAGTGCCACCCCAACATTTATGAACAAACCCAACATAAAAATTATATTTTTCTTCTTGTTATCCATAACAAAAATTCCAGTGACACATGGTCATATAAAGGAATGGCCATTATCGGTCGTACTCCTCTTTTTTATCCTTGTTAATTTTTTTTTTTGTGAATATGAATGTCTCCCTCTCTGTACATACATACTTAGGACACATAATTTATTACTTTTTAAACAATTTTGTATTTTTTTTTTTTGTGTTGGTCCTCAACGGCATTCTCTCTCTTCTTTCATCCATGAGACGGAGAGAAATGGCAAAAATGTGTTTCATTGCCTTTTTTTCTGCTCTATGTTGTGTGTTATAGTCTCATGCCATGCATTTTTTGCCTTCGCCCAGAATAAAAAGAAAAAAGATATTTTTGCGTTGTTTTCGACAAAAGTTTAAAAGTCGCGTCGTCCTCGTGTCATGCTTTAGTTTTTATCGTCCCATTAGCAGTAGCCAACTTTTTTGTCTCATTTCCACTTTACTTTTAACTCATAAAAATTTGTGTTATATATTTTATACATATGGCGTAAATATCCCTTGATTTACGAGAAGAAAATGGATTTTGTTTTTTTGTTTTATGAAAAAGGATCAAACCGAAGGAATAAATTTTGAAAGGAACGCTCCTTAAATATTGCTAAGACGCAAAACCAAACAGAAAAACCTTGAATTTTATATCAATCGTTTGTTTTAAGGATTGAAACAATCTGTGGTATTCATGAATGATTAATTTTCCTTTCTAAAATGTCATGGCTTTATACAATCTAGTTTTTGTAGTATTTTTTTCCTATTTCATAGCTTTTTATAGAGAACAAGAATTAGTCAATTCAATATTACTGCGCAATTGAGTGAAAATCTAAAGAAGTGATTATTCAGAGAGCATCAATGTCTGTTGCGAGAAATTTATGTATTTTCAATCAATTCACAATTCATAAAGCGGCAATGATTTTGGTGGACATGGGAAACCCTCGTTACATAGCACTGGATGTCAAAAATCCTAGCAACACTGTTTTCAATCCTCGAGCATTCAAAAATACACATACCCCTTCTCCTGATGCCTCAGTTAAAGATTTCCGTGATTTTTATTTCAATCAGTTCAAAAATTTAATTACAAACATTTCAGATTTACTTCAAAAGGAATCAATACAAGGATATTCATTCATATCGTGTATTGATACCATGTAAATATTTTCCAATTGAAAGCTGTGCTTATTGTCAATGTTATGCAAAGGAATCAATTTCAAAATTATTAATAAATTTCTACCACCACAAATTCAACTCTTTAAAATACAAAATTCTCATTCATCCCTTAAAAATCGATTTGCCACAAAAAATTAAACAATTTTAGTACCTAAAATAATTTTCCCAAGAACTGAGCCTTACAGCATCGAGAAAAAAAAATACAAAATGGTAGATTGATCTCGCTGTATTTACACAACACTGAAGGGTTTGCTCAAATGGAAAATATTCAATAACGATAAGGTTTTGTAAAAATAATTTCGTTAAAGGAAAAAAGGACCGCGAATAACGTTTTCCAGCGAAGAATTTAATCTGAAAATATTCCAAAATAATTTTTTCGTTCCTTTTTTCCGAATCACTGATTTTACAATGTTAAGAACTTTACGAGGAGCTTTTGAAAGAGGCTTTTGAATTGTAAATCTATGGATTGTAGATTATAAAATTTTGCATTCTGTAAATGACGTGAAATTGAAGCTTTAATGCTCAAAAACTAGGTTAAATACTTCAACGAGTTTAATCGTCTGTTCTCCCCTTTAATTTCATTTACTTCTCATTAAACAAAATTGCCTTACTTGCAGGAATTCCCCGAAACGAAAAACTCGAAACATTTATTTACACAAACTTTTGTTGTATCCATAAATTCCTCATCCAACACGTGCAAAAGCCTCAACACAAAGTAAATCGAGCGTAAAAAAAATATTCGACCATTACCGAGAAGTACAGCAAACCCAAAGGTCAAATAACAAACTTTAAAGGAAATGATTCTAAATAGAAAATTTTAGTTCTATACGATATAAAATAAAAGGAGTGAGTCTAGAATGTCCTACATTATTTTTAATTAAATTTCCTTAGTCTTTCACTCATCTCGCATTCTTTCCATCTCTTATACACAATAATGACTCAGATTTTCATCCCAAATGTCCATTCTTTTTCCTTTCTCCACTTTCATACAATGTTGACAAATGGGAAAGAAATAGAAATGCTCGTGTGGCAGGGATGAAGTCAGGGGGTGTGAGTTGGTTACTTCAGACAGCCTCAACAACTCGAAGGGGAATTTTATTAGATTTCTGAAGATTTTTAAGAATAAAATGTCTGCGGTTCAGCTAAAAGCTCAAAATTGACTCAAATCAACTTAAGTTAAGTCAACTCAAGTCAATTTTGAGCTCTGTTTGGGCATAAACCCCCTAACTACATCCCTTTTGCCGCCTCTATCGCTTGTCTCAATTCACATTTTTTTCAATTTACAGCAATGGAATAGCTTTTTTATGCTGCCTCTCCACATTTTTCCTATTTTTTTTTTTATTCGTCTTCTCTTTAACACTGCATTGACATCGTTAAGAATAGGAAGAAAAGGATGTCGGAGATTTCATGCATATCACAGTAATTGGATTTAATTGAATTGAAAATTAATTAAATTTTGTTAAACTTACTCATGCATTTTACATTAAGTAGCAGCTAAAATTTTGCTCAATGTTGCATAGCTCATTATTGCTGCTGTTCTGGGATATCATAGACGCCACACTCACGATTTGCTGGTAATGCTTTGTCTGAAATGAACAAAAAAAATAAAGGATAAAGATGAAATAAATTGTAAAAGGATAAAAAAAAATTCAATGTTTAAAGAATGTACAAATGATGTTAAATAAATATGGATATACAGCAAAGTCCAAACGTAAAAAGAATTTCTCATCATTCTTTCCAGAACGTATAATATGAAAATGTGAAGCGTACAGAGAGATATATGGATGAGAAAATGAGTAAATATTTGATAATTTCATTCAATATTCAGCATAAGTTTTCCATCCTTTAGGGTATCATCATTATCGTCGACTGATGTCCCTGTAGAATCATTTTAACAATGAACAATCGACATTCTCATTTTAGATACAAAATTAGCTCCATATATATAGAAGCATGAACATGCAAGCACACCCGAACTGAACCTTTTATGTCTGTTGTGTCCATTACCCTCTTGTACAACTTTTTTTTTATTCCCAAATGGCTACTGCCCTTTCAAACAGCTTTGATATTGTATATTCACATATGTGGATTTTGTGCAGGCAGCAAAAAAAGCATTCACATCCTTCACACAACAGAAAAAAAAAGTTTGAAGCTCTCAACAAATTGAAAAAAGTTTGTTTTTTGTGAGGATGGAGGAATTGAGGACAGGTTTGGATGCATTTTGTCCTTGACAATTTGTCACAGCTAATACGAGTAATTAAGGATGCTGCAATTTAAATGGAATTAGCTGGTTAATCTCTAGTGATATGCAGCTCAGCAACAGCAAATTCTCATCAACGAGAAATCTACTTAAAGTCTTAAAGCAATCCATAATCATCACAATAAAAATGCACTTTAATCACTCAACAACCATCCTATTCCATTTTCTCGCATGAATGGTACGAATCATTTCAGCTTCAGCAACAGAACATGAAGAAATAATAAAAAAAATCGATCATAACGAGTTGGTGAAGAATGGATAACACAACAAATAACAATAAAATGCAGTTAGACACTCTCATTCTCACTTCCCTTCCTTATGCCGTATTAATTTGCTATTGCCACATTCACTATTAATAATGTTATATTTTTTTTTTTTGCTGTTGCTGTTGCTGGCATCGAGTAGTGTTGAGAAGAAAAATGAAGAGAAATAAAATTTATGAACTTTTTGTGTACTCAATACAGCTTTTTGCTTGAATGGGGTTATTCATAAATGACGTAAACAGGGGAAAATTCCAACTGGTGGACAGAGAGCTTATAAGGTAGTAGGTTAAAGCTTCAATTAGCTTTTAAAAGACAAGCTAGAAAAATTAATCTCGTCCTGATTGATTTTAATCATTGCTAAGCCTCTGGGGAAGTATGTAACAGAGAGAATGGGTGGGGGATGTACCTAATGTCTAACATTTAATATATTCTTGCACTTTTAAAGAAATTGGTGGACATTAATTGACATCATTCAAGGACAATCCTTTTGTTGTGTGTTGCATTGTTGAGAAAATAAATACCAGCATAAGCGAACGTGGAAGTTAGGACAATAAACTTCAATGTGACTTTAAAGATTTAATTTTTTACTGCTTTTAACATGAACAAATTTCCTCATTTCTTTTCATTCCATGTTTTTTTCATGTTTTCATTGTAAAATTTTCTCACATCCTGCTCATAACTCTCATATATACAACCTACATACATATTCACTCAGTTATTAATTCAGTAGGAAAGATAGGATGTAAAGTAAGCACAACAGAATAACAAAGTCAAGTGTATGAATGAATGTTATGTACATTTCATAATTATAATCCAAACCACATAATACTTAAAATAAAAATGTAGAGGCAAGTGAATGAGGATATATCCTTGTGATTAATTTATGGGAAATTTATGGAGAATGTGTTTGAAACTTTATGTTTGTGGGCATCAGATGATGTTTAAAGGGTTGGTTTATTGGAGATTAAGCTTTTTAGGATTATAATTTGTAGATTTCAACTCAAGACTCTTGAGTCAAGAGTTATTGTAAGGATTGAAAAATGCTTCTTCCTTCATAAGACAGTTCAAAACTATTAGGATTATGAAAATTCCTAGAATCAGATATGAAATCTTAGTCATGCTTGACAATTTTCTTGTATTATCCTCCTAAGCAATTGAACACGGTAGTTGAACTTTAAGAAGTCAAGACCAACTCGAAACCTATCTGATTTTAGATCTTACATTAACTTCCTGGCTGGGAGACTCAGAGTCCAATTGGTATAGTTAAAGAATGTTTTAAAAATGCTTGGACCCAAATCAATCATTAAAAATTCATCATGAGAAACTCGTCAGAAGCAATCCAAAAAAAAATTCCCATCGCTTCAGTCCATTTCAAACCTCCCAAAAAAAAAAGCCATTCCAAATATTCAATAAACTTTTATTTTCAATCATTCTAAACTTTTTAGATACTCAAGGAGATTTTGGAACAACAAAAAAAAACATTTTATAGCATTAACCCTGGCATTCAACCACACAAAATGTTCTGATTTAGCGAACAAATCCAATATGCTTACTGCCATTTACAGAGCACATAAAATTTTACAACATTTTCAGATAAAAAAAGAAGAATGAGTAAAGCTTTAAAACTTTTAAGACGAAGTGAATCAAAATTTGAGGGAATTCTGATGCGAGTCTCGTATGATTTTAAAAATATTACAAGGGTAAGTACATGCAATAATAGTAAATAAACATAATGAGAGGAATGGCAACGAGAGAGATGGAGAAATTATGAGAATGTAGGGATAACGTAATATACGAAAATTGTACATAACTGATATGAATCACGAAAATTATTTACCCAAGCAATTTTTATTCCAACAAATAAAAAAAAAGCTCTTTCCATTTTCATCACTTACACTTACACTCATTTAGTAGATTGTGAGGGTTTTTAATCAGTGGCAGAGTATATGAAAATTGAAGGGCGCCCTTTCGTAACACGAGAAGCACTTAGCGACATTAATTTCAGGCATACAACATCAAGGCCCTTGCGAATACAAATAGATAGATATATACATATCACTGAAGCTGGCAACGAGAGACACAAAATTGAAATTTATGCTTATCGCTTTCAATTACAAATGGAAAATGTCGACGCAGTTGAATCAAAATGAAAATATTTTTTTTTTGTAATTGTGGCAGAGCAAAAATCAATCTCATTTCAGTTCTCCTCTTTTATATGTGTCGATGTATTATGCTGAGTTATGTTGATGTTCATAAGAGAATATATTATTTTTGCGTTATGTCAATTTATGTTTGCAATAATATGAAAAAACATGAAAATAAATTTCAATTCAGCATTTTTAAGTTCATTCTGACATTTTGAGGTTTTCATTTAACATTTTTGCCTTGTATTTGCATTGGGTATGGTATGAGGTATAGTCAGTGATAGAGTAAGAGTTTTTGATATTCTATAGGCTGGTTTTTAGAAGTACCCTTTGAGATATGAATAAAATTTATGACTATAAGTATGGTTCTAGATTAGCGGTGAAATGGCATCAGTTGCCTAAATGGTAGAACGTTGGCCTTCTGTGTCAAAGGTCCTGGGTTCAATCCTAGGCCATTTCTAATTTTCGAAGCTCTTTTTCCATTTCACCATTCTAGTTACGAAGTTCGGTTCGTGTGTTGGGTGTAGTTTTGAGGTCTTTGCACAGAATATGCCTCCTTTGCTAGGTATACAAGGATATACTAGCATCTGGATGACTTCCTTATGGCATCTTGCGCACACGAATTGTGACTAGGTACATTGCAGGGTACATCAGGTCTTATGACGTACTCGTGTCTTTGCAATGTGCAGAGCTTGCAAGTGGTTCGGATCCCACTATAAACTGTAGGTCTACAGGGTGTGGTACAATAGATTCTGTTCTAATTTGAATCGCAGTGCCTCCAACTGAAAGGCTGGGCCCGTCACACATTATTATTATGGTACTAGATTAGCTACATTAAGGAGCTCTTGAGGCGGTATAAACTTACACCTCCCTCTTCCCTTGGTATCCACCTACTCCTAATCCAATTTGATGTACATCTATATCCACTCAAGGTCGTGAAACTGATCAAAATGATCAAAAATAACTAAAATCCAATTTATCACTTCCGCACCCTTGCCATTAAAAAACACGCCCTCATCAATTTTGAATAGTTTTCTAACTTAGCTATTTAACCAAATTCCAAAAAATTCATTCTTTTTCAATGGCTCGATCAAAAATTTAAATCCTACCTTTATTGCCTTTATTGTCTTATTCATCACCACTTTACTGCCACATATTTCAATAAAAGTAAGCATTACTTCCCTCAAAACAATGCAAAACCTCAACAAAAATATGATTCATTCTGATGAAAAGGTTTTTCCCTATTCAATTTTCATTTACATTTCTGATGCTACTGTTCAACAATAATTATTATTGCCATTTTGAGGCATTTTGAGGAACAAAGGAACGACGAGAATTTCCCTTCTTATTATTTTTTCATTTTAAAATGTTAATGTACAATTCATTTATATATTCAATTTTTCAGCATGTCTGAAAATGTAAAGTTTAAAAGAAATATGAAAATTCCTTTTATACGAGAATTATTGATTTGACTTGCTTCAAAAAAAAAGGGTCGTTGGATCTCATTAAAAATTCCAATAAACGCAAAGCTTATATTGTTCGTTATAACTTCAACATAGCAGACATAAGCAGTTGGAAGCGAGAATTGATGGAAAGAGGAAAAACTTTATGGCACGTATTGTACACATCTTACTCTTCATTCTGCACCATATCGTCTATTTCTCGCAAACGTAATCGTTATTACTTGCAAGCAAGCTACTTTATGACCATCAATTTCTTGCCAACTCAAATTTTCCCATCATGAAAATTGAGTTTTATATTTTATAATATTTCCCTTATTGTCTTCAGTTTTTCTTTCGATTTTATATAGTCTATTGACGCAAGACATAGGAAGGGACGACGATCGGAATAAATTAACTTTTTTTTGCGATAAAATCTGAAGACGAGAAAATAAATTAAATTGGAGGAATGAATGAAAACAATGGACATTAATTGTGTAACATCAACATCTCAATATCATCATCATCATCATCATCAGCACCAATCGAAGGGAATCTCCCCTCTACTCATTTTATTTGTATATAAATGAATACAAAGCATATGTCTCCATCCACCCATTCTCATCGTCCTTCAATAATCTCAGATGAATAATATAAGAGAGAGAACTAAACTGACATGGATGAGATTCATAAAAAATAGAACTTCTCAATAATGATCATGAAATGAACAGAAAAATTATGTCAATTATTTTCCATTTTTTTATCATTGACTTGAGCGAAATGGAGAACAAGTATTAAGTTTCCTTGAAATTAGATCCATGTAAAGCGATTTCTCTCGAGGGTTTGATTTTTTTATGTACGAAACAATTTGTTTTAATTTAAATTTGATTTGTTGTTTCGAATGATCTGAATCAACAGGAGTGGGATGCAATGTGAGTCATTGAACAATTAAATAAGATTTATGTAGATTCTTAAAAATTAAATAATTATAAAGAGGATATGATTCTAGAACATTAAAGAAGGCATTAACTTTGAACGAGATCTCAATTAAACCAAGAAATCGGAAACTACTTTTTGGCGGGAAATCAAGTAAAGTTCTCTTTCATGAATATTAACTCAAATTGTAAGTTTTGATAGCCCGAAATATCAAAATCATTTAAATTCTATATTCAATACAGTCATCAATTCTATCAAGCTTCAAAACCAAAACAAAATAAAGCTCATTCAATCAAAAAAGGCACTAAATTCATCAATAACAAAAGAATATCAACATCCAATTTTCAAATCACTTTAAGGCTTTTAAATTTAGAAACGTAGCCAATAAGACAGTCAATCAAACTAAAGATAACATCTCAATACAAAAAAGAGACATGAGATAATACCGAGGCAAGTTCATTTCATACAGAAAAAAATCATAAATGAGGCATAAATTCAGTCTTTTTACCGCTTCTGTTGCCAATAAAAAATTTCTCCCTTGTTATTGATTTTTATGACATGAATCTCTATCTCCTTTATAACATTTTTACTTGCTTGACTTGCCATTCACGACAAACGACAGGACGGAAAAAAAGCAATGACCGATGACTTGTCTTGCATTTGACGACGATATTGTTATGGACGTTTGTTAAGCAAGGAAGCACTTGAAAATTAAAAATAAGAATGAAGGAACTCACGACGTGTGTCTATGTATACACTTAACTGCATGTTCTTTTTATGCTAGAGTGAATGCCATGAAAACTCAATAAGGCATTTTGTCACACACACACACACACAAAGGCCGACTTGGAGTGAGTAAGCATAAAAAAATTGTCATCACGCCAAGAAATTGAATTCACATTTTTATGGCATAGCCATGTTTCGTAGGTAATGGTATGAAGAGAAGTATATTGACCTTCCGTTTTACTACCCCAATTCATCCATCTCCCCCATGACAATTCACCTTCTTTTATTACTCACACTGACATCACTCTGCCTGTCTCATATGATTTCTTCCGAAGCAAAAAAAAAGGGAATTTCTCGATCAAATCGATATTTTATTTGCTAACAGAAAATGATTATCTCTTAAATAACTGAATCCCTCCACGCGGTAGCATGTGGAATGAGAAAAAGATTTTCCATTTAATTCTCTGCACAATCCATACAATCTAGTATCTACGGACTTCAATTCAATGGTAGCTTCTTTTTACTGATAAATAAGAATGAAAAGGAAGGCACAGAGATCCTTTCTTATTTCTTCATGACATTCTCCATTCGATGAACTGAGAGTCATTGATGTATAGGCTAAAAAAAATGTCTTTAAAATGTAAAGAATAATCGAAATTCAATACGGTAACGTAGCATTTTTTTCATTCAGGTTTTTCCGTTCTTTATTCTAAAGCATGACATGTTCGAGAACGGATATAGATGAGATGTAGACGAAAGAAAGGACGAAAGGACTTTTTTTTATGAATGTCGATATTTCCAACGTACTTGAAAAAAAAAGTCCTTTTCAAATGAGAAATGAGGTGTAGTTCGTGTTATGATGATTAGCATTTGAAAGATTCTATTCATTTTAAGGGCCTTTGAATGAGGAAAGAAAAAAGAGAAAAGGATTTAGTTCATCCATCAATTGACATTTTTATAGAAGCTAGAAGGGTCACTCACATTATACATGAAAAAAAAAAATCGTAGAATATAAAGGAAGTTCTTTGGAATAAAAAAATGTTCCAAGGATAAAAAGTCAATGGACATGTTCCTTTAAATATTCATAATAAAAGTTTTTTTCTGAAATTGATATGGTAAGTACTATTAATGAAAAGTGGGGATGGATATCGTATTGAAAAGTTCACTTAACCAATCTAATAGGCTTCAGTCACGATTAATTCATATTAAGCAATGAAAAATTCAACGAGGAAAAGTACAATTGTATTAGTTTGGACATTGCAGAATAAATAAGTTTTTGTTGGCATTCGGTCAGTCTTCTTAGCAACCACCAATAGCGAGGTGGTAGACCGGAAATTGTGTGACGTGAGTTTGATTCTCAATCTTGATAAAATCAATAAGTCTAATTTTAGTGGTTAAAGTTCTTTAAAACAGGTGAGTTTACAAGCACCCCCCTAACCTCCCAATAGACGGAATCAAATAATAAAAACTTTAAATTTCAAGCCCCTGCTTTTGAAAAGTTTCTGACTGCGTCATAATTAGGAAGCAATTAAAAACCAGATTGAAATCATGAAATACAGGGGCGTAGTCAGGAATTTGAAGAGGGGGGGGGGGGTCAAAAAATTTTTTTGTATGGAAAAATGTAAGGGGGGTGTATTTTTGTGATTTTTTCATAAAAACCCTAGCAAAATAAAGAAATTTCTGTTTACGTTGGGGGATTTGCCCCTAAAATCCACCCCTGGGTACGCGCCTGATGAAATAAAATCATAAACTTTTTACCAATCTAAAACACAATTCCTACAAAAAATATCTAATTTAAGAACTCTAGAAAAAACTATCATGAAATATTCAACAATACCGCAACTAGTTCATTAGAACATCAGAACATAAAAGCGTGTACAAAATGAATTGTCATGCTCATTAATAATTTCCATTGAAAACTCTTCCGTGTCAAAAAATATCAAAGAAGTGAAAACCAAAAATAAATTCATAAGCCAAACATCATCAGAACTTCAAATATCATACATTAAACCTCTTCAAATATTTACTAACGAAATGGATTTCAATCCACCATCATCAACACGCGCAGCTATAGAAAATAAGTATTTCATTTGGATTATAATATCAAAAAAGTTTATCAGGGTCAATTGGGAGCTTATCAGGTTGAAATGATAAGAAATTAAGCTCAAAAGTCGCAGGTTCACATTTTTTCAACTTAAACCTTTGTTACCAGGAATAAACTCTTCACTTATATCTCTCTGCTGATAAAGTCAAAGCTACGCATGTGGCGTAGCATAAAGCTTCGCATAGTTCGATTGCGTAATGTTTCTCTTTTATGTTTCTCGTGACTACCAAGAAAACAAAACAAAAGTTCGTAGTCAAACTAATGACCTCGGATAAATATCTATGATTATTAAACACGTTTGTGTGTGATTGTGAAAAAGAGACTCACCAAGTTGATGTGGATAAGGTAGATTCAAATTATTCATGATTTCAACAAACTCAGTGACTGATTTTGTTAATCTTGGATTATATTTCTTCTCTTCAGCGACTGTTGTTTCCATTACACCTCTGCACGTACACAGAAAAAATAAATTAAGATAATTTATTCGACCTTGACAAAATGACTAATCCAATTCCACTATTTTTACTTACTTATAATCGTGTGCAGGATAAAGAGTAAAGTTATCAGGCAATGATAGAATTTTTGAGTGAACCATTTCATATAAAACTTTTGGATCACCCTCTTGGAAGTCAGTTCTTCCACAGCCGCGAATCAACAAAGCATCACCGGTAAATGCAATGCCTTGTTCATGGATGATGAAAGTCATGCAACCGTTACTATTGTTTTGAGAATTAAATAAGATGAAAATCAGCAATAAGAACCGGTTCATGATGAGGCAAATTACAAATTGTAATACACACACAACCACCGAAAATTTCAGGTTCAACAACTCACGTGTGTCCAGGAGTTTCAACAGCTTGAATCTTATGTCGTCCAAAAACAACTTCTTCATTTTCATCGAGGAAGCGATCAGCATTTGCACCTGATTTCTTACCAATAACACTCAATGTTCCTGGCAATAACTTCTTCAACCATCCTGATCCAGTAATGTGGTCAGCATGGCAATGAGTATTCAAAGTCCATTTCAATTTCAATCCCAATTCTTCAACAAGTTTGGCATCGCGAGGTGCCATTTCCAAAACTGAGAATAGAAGAGAAGAAAATAACAAGAAATGAGATGAAAAAATCTCAAAAATTGAGAGTAAAAATGATTGGTAAATAAATCAGGGTTTAGGAATATTTGGCAAATGCGAAATAAGAATTTCACAAGATGTTCAATCATTGCGTGGAAATCGAGCCTTTTATGTTATGCAACTCATGAGAAGATCGCCTAATCGATAGAATAAATATCGAAAAACGACCTTTTTTGGGCTGTTAAGGTGAACGAAATGTTTATTTTTACCAATTCAAGCGCAAAGATAACGCCAATTATTACATTTATCAATAAGGTTCATTCCTATTTCTTCTTCTTATCTATGACATAAGAAGCAAATGTTTATTTTTATATCGAGAAAATAGTCGAGATCTTTTGAAATTTGAGGAAACTCACCTGGATCAATGATAACAGCTTCTTTCGAGTTTTTATCAGCTAATAAATATGAATATGTCCATGACTTTTCGTCAAACAATTGACGGAAGTAGAAGTCATTACTATATTGAACTCTATCCAACATGTTTTTAGCACAAAAATAAGTACAGAATCTCTTTTGACTTAAGTTACGAAAAATTGCTTGTCTTTCCTTGCTTAAAATCGCGGACCGACTGACGAGTGTAGTCAAACAACGTCTAGCTATTACTCCGTTCATTTTTATATGATTCTTTTATCGATTCTCCAAACTGTAATTCATGTACAAACACCAATGAAAAATGAGGAAAAAGAATAAAATTTATTAATAATTAGACATGTAATCTTATCGCTCAAATTTTTTGATATGATTGTAATGATATCAGGTCAGAAAGCTTATGAACTGTGACTTTTATCACGTAAAATACTTTAGAAATAGTTAACTTTAGATTTGAAAAAACTTTGACATTGAATTATCCACCGGTAAGTACGATCGCAAATTGTACAACACTACACTTTTTCACAACAAGTGATTTTTCTTATTGTTATTGTTTTGTTTTGGCATACAAATGCTTTAATTTTATTTTTAATTCACCTCTGATAACTTCAAATTCTGCCAGTGATATGATTCAGGAAAAGTGAAAACGTTAAGTAATATAGCAAAAATTATATCGATAGAAGATTACTTTTTTGGAGGACGAAGAAGACTTTGCTTATGAAATGATACACGTGATGGGTGACTAGAATATTGTGCGTATATTTATAGGAATTTCTACCACTTTATTATTCAAATTAATAATTTAATTTTTGAATAATTTATTAATTGAGAATTTTATTAATCGAAAGCTATTTGGCAATAGAATCATCTTCTCACCTTAATTCTCGCAATATTATTTGACTATTCAACATAAACTTTTTCCTAATCTACCATAATAATGCAACGTTGCCGTATTTTATTATTATTTCACATCTGTTTCGTTACATCCATCGGACAACACTACAATTCATGTGACGTCAGTCGTCTACATTATATTGAATATAGTGATTTAACAATAAATTCCCAGAAATTATTTAAATTTGTACAAACTATTCCATTTTACCATATTACCATCTAAGTTAAAATCAGTAGTAATCTCAAGAGATATTAATAAAGTGAGTTGACATCATTTTAGTGGTGTTTTTAGAGCAAATATTATAATCGTCTCTTCATATAATTAGATAGGAAAAAAATAGTTGTTTCTTGTGTGGTGTAATTTAAGTGAAATTCAAAAAAATATAAAGAAATGCTTAGGGCAATTGGTAAAACTACTCCACTACTAATGGAATCAATCCTAAAGAAGACATTATCACTGTCCGCGTGCAGTCCAAAGAGTTTTGTCATCAAAGATCACTTTGATTTCGATAAAAAAGTAAATTTATCCTTGAAATTTTATAATTGCGAGATGAATAATCCTTCAATTGAAATCATTTTCTATTTAGGTGATCAACTCTGATCTTCCGATCGTTGTAAATTTCCATGTAAGCTTTATAGAACTAAAATGATTATCGTCCAGTGAAAATAATTTCTTTTTTCTCTGTTTTCACTTTTTTTTTTAGGCTGAGTGGTTAGTATTGTCGCTAGTTCTAAGCACATAATGCTTCTATTGATGAAATAATTGAGCCTTAAACTTGTTATTTTACTTTAAACCTTAAGGTGTGAACCATGTAAACTCTTAACGCCAAAACTTACAGAGCTCTTAGATGAGAATCCTGACATTGACCTAGCAATTGTTGATGTTGACACGAACATCGAGTGAGTAGTTGCTTTAGTTATTCTCATTTCCTACTCGTAGCACACTTTTCAAGTAATTCACGTAATCAACATATTTATTGCATTTTTCTTTTTAGCTTGGTGCATTTGTTTGAAGTTAAAGCAGTGCCAGCCGTATTAGCGTTTAGGTTGATGACAATTTTTAAAATTTTTTCACTTTCTTATGCTCATTTTGTTGATAATCATGTTTTTTTTTCTCTTTTCTTTGTTTGCTTTCTTTATTTATTTTAGGAATGGTGTTGTAGTTGATAAGTTCATTGGTCTAGTAGGTAAGTTGTATTTACTTTTCAAATAACTAAAGCTAGATATTCTTTTAATAAAATCATTTTTTGATATTTAAGATGCCAACATGATCGAAGAATTGATCGAAAAATTACTTCGGAAAAAACGGTTATGAGGACTATATAATTTGCTAGACGAAACTTTTTTTACATTTATGTTAAAACAATAATTTTTTTCCCGAGATAAAACAATAAGTAAAAAAAAGTTTATTGCTATCATTTGTGATAAGGACGCCTTAATCTTAATGAAAAAAAAAATAATAACAAATATATAAGAAGCACACACTAAGAATTTTAGGAATGTGGCAATAATTCCAATTTGTAATTAAATTTGATCAAAACATAAAAACATAATAATTTTTTTCGCTATTTTTTTTTTTTTGAATCTTAGGACTGGTTAAACATATTTTTTTGAATGTGTCAAAGAATTCAGGGAATTCGAACCATATGATTTTATGACTTTTAATGAATTGTGAGGATTTTAGTTTAAAAAGTATACGGTTCGGTTCCTATAATCATAAAAAAAACTATATTAATAAATAATATAAAGGAAATGAAACGAAAGAATGACGACTTAAAAGAATGTAAATTAAAGAGAAAAAAAAACTTTCTTCCTTTGTTCTTTGTATCCTTCTTTTTTTAACATTGAGAGTAAGTTAGAAATACCTTATCACTCCTGTATTTTTTAAAGAAAAAAAAATTAAAAGAAAAATTAAAAGACCCATTAAAATTAAAGTGAAAGTTTCTTGAAGAATTGTTTTTTCTTTCATTTATTAATTTGTAAATTAAAACTTTCCACTAGATTTTTTTTTTATTAAATTTTGTTTATTTTTTTTTTCTTTTCAGAGATGTAAAAACAAAACATTCTTTTCTAATCTGTAACGTTTTGCAAAGAGTAATTTTAATTCTGTATTTTTCATCTAATTGTAATTATCACAAAATAGTTAATCTTTTTTTTTCAACTGTTCAGCAATTCATCTTCATCTTTACACTTTGTTTTCTTATTTCAAATCAATATTCAATTTTTTGTAGTATTTTTTTTTCTTTATTAACTTTACGTTGAATTTCAATATTTGAAGAGTCGTTTGTTGATTGAAAAATCGGTTTCTTAGTTCTGGCATTGTATGTTACTTTTTATGAGATGCAAAATTCTTAGTTTTAGAATAATTCCTTTATATTGGAGAGGAAAAATTTGAAGGAGAAAGACTAGAAGTATTTCTGTGCAATAAATAAGTGCTTCTTGTTTTCATTTCGACGTTTTTTCGAATATTATAAGGATTAAAATTCTTTTTATGCCAGATTAGTAAAAAAATTAATAATATTTACAATTTTTTTAAGGTTTCCATGTTTGAATTGTACTCAAAGAGTTACTTGTTCATCATCATCTTCATTTTCTTTGGAATCCTGTTCTTGCTCATCTATACTTTGATTCTTTGGTGCAGTCGCTATCGTATGTCTTGTTGACGGTGGAGAGGTTATTGTCTTATATTCTTTAACGCCTTTCTCACTAATTGGTATACACAACTCATCATCTACTTTGACGAGAAGAATATTATGAACATCACTTGATGCGGCAGCATGATTTGGTGAAAGACATCCAACGACAAAGCCAACCATACCAACTTGTGGCACACGATTTTTACGCCAACTTGATCGTAAGCTCGCATTTTGTAGTTTTTCATTAGGCCATATTAAATCAATTCGTTGATCATTCATACAGTCATAAATCTAAAAAAAGGTATCACAATTATATCCGTTATTATGATTCACAATTTAAACGGTTACCTGACTAATATCTACAATTATGACTTTTTTATTCATCGCAATATTAGTCGGTTGAATTAATAATTTTTCTTCTGGTTCTCCACCTTCGTCATCTTCTTCGTTATCTTCTTTTTTCTCTTTTTTCTCTTCGCTTGTTCCCGCTGCTAATGAACTTTCTTCTTCATTGAAAGTATCATCAACCGTTTCTTGTTCTTTTGTTGTACTTGCTGTCGTTAACGTTATTGATGGATTTAGAGATTCTCTAAAAGAATCCCGTTTACTTTTACAAATGCTATTTGTACTTGGTGTTTTCTTTCCAATACTTCGTTCTCTCAGAGTGAATTCTCTCTCAGACATTTCAAGTCGATCCCGATTTAGAAGTCCTGCAAGTAATGTAGACGATGTTGGTTTATTGTTTATACTTGCTAGACTTCCTCTATTTCCCGATCCTTCTCGTCCTGATATTGAGATACTTTGTGAGCCATATGATAATGTTCCTGCAGTTTGCGATAAATTAGCATTTGCCATTGTATTTAAATTTCCGTAAACGCTTCCTGCCGTGTTTACATTTTCTACTTCAATTCCACTACTGCAACCTTCTCTACACCTCTTTCGTATTCGATGCCATGAGCTTAATATCTTATTTTGTATTTTTTCTAATGTAATTTCTCCACCGATTATATCACACAATTGCTCGTTCGTTTCAGCATATGATGTTGTTAATGGTGAGACATAAATTGGATAACCTATTGGCTGATCACATGAACTATTTATAATATTTCGAAGTGCTTGCTTTGCATTTTGAATTGAACCTCTTTCAGGATTTCTATTTCGTAAATAGATCAACTCTTGTTGTTGTCCTGCCCATAAGCCTCTAACACATTCACGATTCAATTTTATTACGCGGAAATTCAAATATCTCTTTGTTAATCTAATTACACGATATTCATCAGATCCATCTTCACAAACATGGCGAAGTGCTAATAAATTTGGTGTTCCTCTTAAGACTGCGTTACGCCACAAGGGATCTGCCTCATGTGATATCACTAATTCTCTTGTATTTTGCTCAATTGATTCATATAATGCACTGTAGTCATCATAATCATCTGGAGCTAAGAAATGGTCTTGATGGAGCTTTAATGACATTCGAACACTTGGTGCTAATACACTATGAAGTAAGTCCATATCTGCAAAAACCCATTCGTCACGTACGTGAGTAAGACGAAAATCACCCTTAAAGAGTGAATGTAATCCATGAAGAAAAAACTCAACGCCTAAGGACGAAGCACTATGACTTGCTGTTGCTAAAGTTCTTCTAGCTAATAATGTTAATGCGAAACACAATGAAACGAGAATTGAATCTTTGGAAGAATTTATGGAATTAGTTATAAGAGGCGATGAGTCTTCATTATTTGATGGTCCCGCATTCTTTTGATCTTTTGGTGATGGTCCAGATTTTCTTCCATCAGTTTGCTTACGCGTCTCTTTCATTTGTTCTCTTTTCATTCTTTCTTCTTGCATTTGTTGCTGTCTTTTTCCAACACAAAACTGTATCCAATCTGAATAAACGTTCCAAAATGAATTTCTTGATATCCCAGCAACTCGAAAATCATAGTCATCATCCAGATTATGATTAAATATTGGATCTAGTTCAACAAAATTTTTCTCTAATGTTATCTCGAGTGCTTCTTGAATTGACGTTGATTCAAGCCATTGTTGAAGTTTTGGTGATCTTATTGCGTAATAGATTATACTCTAAAAGAATAATGAGTAAATGTAGTTCAGTTGAATGAGAATTTAAACGAGGAAAATTTACCTTGACATAATAAGAAATCAATACTTTTCTAAATTCGAATACTTGAAGAGTTGCGACAGCTGCATTATCTGAGATTGAGTAGCCTTCGATGACATATTGCGAAGCAATTACTTGCCACGCTAGCCATCTAGTTGAAAACATTGCATTTACGCTCAGCATGTGAGGTAAATGACCTGGACTACAACAACAACAACCGTCATTATCTTCGACACCCTCGGAAATTGCTTCAACTTCACGTTGTTGACAATAAGTTCCTCGAAATTCTAATCCACGCATTTGAAATGTACATAATCCATTACCAAGTTCAATGATATGAATCAAACAATTTAAATAATCCGATGCGAGAACTAAAAGATAAATACATTAAAGATTTATCGATAATTGAAATGTGTAAATTTTACCAAAACAATCTCCTTGGCTAACATTTCCCCATCTTCCCATTAATAAATCACCACATAATGAATGCTGCAATGATCTTGTTAAATGCTCGTAAAAAATACTATTCAAGTTGTTGTCATCTGCTCCTAAATCTCTTTCAAGTTGTGAGCTCAATCGAGTATTAGAGTGATCGATTCTTCTTGTATTGTAATCTCGTTCCCAGAATTTTATTGGTCGTGCATATGATGTTATGAATATGGCACTTCCTGAATGTTAAAGAAGAGTAGCTAGTATTTTTGTCAAAATAATAAAAAACATTTATAAAATTTCACCTAAGAAAGGATTTAGTGGTGTCGATAGAATGGCACTAATAGCAGTTTGCAAAAATAGCATTGCTGAGTGTGGAACCGAAAAAGGTTGAGCAAAAGCATGAAATGCACTTCCCCATGTAATCTGCCATGGTGCAATGTACGTAACAACAAATTGAAGCTACAACGAATAAAAAAAAATATTTATAGCATAGACAAAAAAATAATAAATCATTTCAAAATTTACCTTCAATAACAAATCTGATATTTTTCGATACAATATTGAAATGATAAAATAGTTTAGTAGGAAACTTTCAGTTGCATTTGCATAATCATAATGAAAGAATAAATCACTGAAGAGTAAAACTAAATATTGGCAGCTTATGTCTGAATATACACTTCTTAATGCTGAAATGTGTAAAATGATATTATGAAAATATATGCAATTTTTAAACCACAATAAATTAGAGAGTCTAATTTTCATACCTTTTATACTGGCAATAACGATTAATGCACTTCCAAATCCATGGCCAAATTTATCGGTGATTGTTGTAGCATCAGCCGTTAATGCACTTATGATAATCAAAGGATAGAGTATATTCTTCTCAATAAAATTCAAATAAACATAAACTTTCTCAAACCACATAACTTTTGATACCCTATTAACTTCAAACAATCCATACTCATGAGACTTTAATATTGGAGCAGCAACACACAAACATGGTAAATGCTTTCTCATTTGTGGTACAATATAATGTAGGAATAGTCCAAGAATAATTGCTATAATGTGTAAAACCAAATTCAAATTGGGCTGGAGCACTTTAAATATTGTGCTAATATGAAGTATGAAGAACACTAATCCTAAAACTGTGCAAACTACCAAATCATTTTTCAATCTTGCTGTAACAGTTCCTTGAAGCTTTTTCGGCAGAGGATCATCGAGTGATTGCGAGGTAATGTTATGCTCCTTAGAACTATTTGAAGCCTCCGAACTATCGTTATCATCTATTTTGGAAGATCCATTCTCCAAATCCGTACAGATATCTTCGTCACTATGTGAAACTAAAAGTGTTGACTTAATTAGTTGAAATAGATGTGTGAAGTCACTACTTGATCTTGACAAATGATAACTCATAGGGATCAGCATACCACAAAACATAGAAACGAGTATGTGTTGTGTGTTATTGGACTCAACCAATCCTCCATAGATTGGTCCATAAAGTATCAAACATCCAAGAGTTGATCTTAAAAGTGCTAAAAATCCGGCAACGAGATTACATACAGCATTTCCTCCAAATATGTACATATCAAATTGTTCACAGAAATACATCAGTCCTGTATTGATTTGTGGAAATAGTCCTATACTAAATGCAACTGGAAGACATAAAACCATCCAATGAAGAAAATTGCTGACTGATGTGAACAGATCTTTCCATATTATCACAATTCCATATATTGTAGCCTTTCTGGTGTAATCACTATCGTCCAGCTGAACTATGTATGGAGGAAACTCAGTAAAATTTCCACCAATCTTATCAAAATGCCTCTTTAGTTCCTCCTCTTCTTTTAAAGATTCAGCAGCGTAATGACATATTAACATTAATGAAGTTAGTAAACAAAAATATATTGGGCGTGAATACGTAACAGTCTTATTGAAACCGTGAATCGGTGACGATGCATCCGGTTGTACACTCTTGAGCAATGAGTACTGTGAACCAGCAATTGTAAAACAAAACAAAAAAGCAAAAATATCATTGTAAAATCCTCTGTGCAACACCCAACTTCCCAGGACAGCAACAAGTGTGCACAGTACAATGGCAAGTAATATTTGATAAATATATTGATCTTTATCGAACAATGCTAACAGTTGTAAACGATTCATTGTAATTTTAATAGTTTTTCCGAGCTTCAAGCCACAGAGACGAATTGGAAATTTATAGACCTTTGGACGGATTTGTGGCTCTATAAAGATGTTTCGCTGTTGCATAATGTCAACTGATTGGGCACTTGACAATGCGGAAAATTCTGCTGATTGTGCTGCGGTCATTATATGTCGATATGAACTTAAATTATTGTTGTGGTGACTACTATTGTTGTTATTATTATTGTATGCTGATGACAATAAATGCTGTTGTTGTATTTGGCTTATATTGGTCGATATTGTATGTCCGGGCTGTGCTTTTTGATCGTTCATTAAATTTATCCAATTACCCTGCTCATCAATGAAACAATTAAAGTCTGAACTATCAATAAAAGCAGCATTTTGTTGACTTCCCGATGCAAGAAGTAATCGACCTGCATTTGAATTGCCCGATGATGTACTTGGCATTCCATCGGGAAGATCTAGACACATGTCACAATCATTTGAAGGTGGAGATTTTGCGTCAACTATCACAAAGTTTTGTTTCTGGGGTTGCTGATTAGAAGTAGAAAAATTGAGATCACTACTTCTTAAGAATCTTAATCGACGATGGTTTTGTGCTGACTCATTTAAACCACGCGGACGAAATGATGAAAACGATGTTTGAGTTTCATATCCGGGTAAAAATATCTGTGGTGCTATCATAGCGTGTTGCTCGATAGACGGATTGTTTAGATATCGTATTAAAGATAAACCCGGAAGTGTACTTGTAGATTGAATTGCATTGTTTTCAGGTATCCGATCCGACGTTGAGCGTTGTGATAATGTTCTTTGATACATTCTTGATGTAGGATATTGCTCTTCACCAAAGCTAAGTTTTCTAATCGCGATTCCACTTCTATGATGGTGTCCATGTTGTTTAGGAATTGCACCTAAGCTTCTACCGCTAATTTGTGAGGCACTGATTGATGATGAAAGCATTCGATTTTCATCATTTTTTTGATTTTTAGTTTTATCTTGATTCGATTTAGTTTGTTCACTTTCAGATTTATCGACAGAAATTTCTCCAATACTTTCTGCCGTTGTATTAAAACTGAAATCAATACTATCAAACCACCTTGTTCTCTTTTCTTCACTAGCACTTCTTTCTTTAACAATTAATTGATCTTTTGAACTTGCACTAGTTTGTTCCCAATCACTAGAACCACTTTTGTTTATAGTACTGTTATTATTTTCATTATTATTACTATCTTCTTCTTTATTATCAATTTCTTCAATAATGTCCACTTTTTCTGACACTTCACTCTTGTCTCTTTCAATTTGATCAAGCGAACTTTTTGACAATTTCTTTTGACACTCTTGATGTTTATTTTGTTTTTCAACTATTATACCCTCTTTATGCTTTGTATCGAGCAATGGAGATCGAGATCCATTACGATTTTGTTCTTCATCCGATTCACTTAAATTAATTTCTTCCTGGTCTAAGCCACTATCTCCATCATTTGATGTCATATCATCTTCATCTACTTCCATGTCTTCTTGAGCATTTAGATCTAAATTATCTTCTTCGTCAGACGTACAACTTGTTGATGTCTTTACATTTCTTACACAGTTTTCATCACCTTGTTCAGCGATAGGATAAACCAGATCGCTTGCAACATTATGCAAAAAATTCATATCACTAATTGTTGTCGCAGATGATGAAGCTGTTGTAGATTGAACAGCCCCCGATGAATTTGGAAAAAGATTTAACGGTGCATTTCGAGATAAAAATTTACTAGGTGGTGGAATTACAGTGTTTTCGGGATTTCTAATGGTTTTACCATCAATCACTTCTACACTAATTGGATGAGGAGTCAAATTCGAAACAGATGGACAGCTAGTTTCTAAGGCTGCACTTTTAATTCTTCTCATTGAAGTAAGTGATCGTGGCATTTGACGATTGCTTGATGAATGATTTGTGTTGGAATGTCTTCGACTTTTGGACAATCCGGAAGTACTAGGGGCACCACCTAAAGTGGGAAGTTGTAGTGCAGACATTGTCGAATTCGAATCTCGTCTAATTGGTGTATTATGTTGTGCCTTATCACTTTGTGTTAAGCTTAAAATGTTTTGATCACCCGTCAGTTGTAATGCTGATTTTGTTGTATAATCGCCTGTTGTCTCGCTCTCTAAATATAATTCAGAATCATTAATATTTTTCGGATGAATGACAGTTGATGCTGATGCAGAACTTTTATGAAAGTGATTATGGTGATGATGATGATGTGAAAAATGTCTTTGTTTGCGATTCTTGGGCATTTGATAATTGTTACCGTCAGTTGATAAAACTGAACCCATTCCAATTTTATCAGAATCTAAGGATATTTGGCGATGAAGTTTAGACGAGGTTGGCTGTTGTTGTAGCTGAATATTTGATGTTGAGCGTTTTTGTTTTAGTGATTTATACTGTTGACGACGTGATGAGGCAGTATTGTGAAGTTTAATAGACGTTCCAGGACCTTCACTTTTCATCGATGGCAAACCTTCATCAGACTTTTCAAGATCTATCGATTCGCTTTTCGAAATATGTGATGCATCGCATTCAATTTCGATAGAATTCACAGTATCAGGCACTATGCTGTTTAGTTTAATTTTATTATCACTCGACGAGTTTTTTGTTTGTTTCGCATTATTATTGGCACTACTTCGACCTTTCGATGATGTCGATTTCTTAACTTGATAAACATCACTGTTATCACTTGATTCGGAACTATTTTTACGATGTACATCTACTTTTAAATCTACAAAATAAAAATAAATGATAGTAAACAATAACTTATTATTTGATTATGCACAAATGTTTGTTCAAACACGCACTTAATACATTTTTAAAAACGATAATGCCAAACAAAAATATTTGAATCATCATTTTAAGCTGTGCTCTAAATCGTATGATTCACATTACACATTAACAACTATTAGTTAATAATAAAAAATTAAATATGTATTTAAATTACCAATTGTACTAGCTAATTGTTCTTGAAAATCTACGGAAACGGCACTGTTTGCACAACTTAACTCATCACTTTGACTGTGAGGCTCGACAGATGTCCGTGATGAATGATCTGGCATGCCACCAGAAGCAATAACGCCATTCAATATTTGTAATTCAATTCCACCTTCCTCTTCACTAAAATATTGTTCAATACAAAGATCACATCTTATTGTTATGTTTGTTTAATTCTTCTCACATTCAATCAAACTTACTTTGATGTTTCTCGTTGAATCTTATTATTAGTTCCACTACCGCTTGTATTTCCATTGCTCATCTTTTTTAAGCTCGTCTCAGATAAAGTTCGAGCTTTATCATACATTTTGTGCAATGACAAATTGATTAGTTTCAGTGCAGTCATTACAATAAATATAACGAGAATATATACAATCCATATCGTAACTGTTGTGGGAAAGTACTGCATAAACATAAAGAAATATTACTTTAATTTTGTCACTGCATAATAAAGATTTAAGTTTTGTGCTGGATTGGACAAGTTGAAATTTCAGTTCATGTTGATTTAAGTTTTTTTTTCTTTTCTTTCCACCTTTTCTCTTTCCTTCACTTACTCACTCACTCACTCGTTCATTCATTCATTTACAAATACGTAATTTTATGTCGTGAGATATCAAAACATTTCTTTACAAATAAAGAACATATTACATACGACGAATTAAATACAAAGGTCATGTTTGGAAACTTCCTTATGAATATTAGAATAGGGATTTGAATAAATGATTTATAGGATATTTAAAAGATATCCGTAAGTCGCGCGTGGAGGAGAGAGAAATGAAAGAGAAAGTGAGCAGATTTATGTGATGTAACGCAAATGATTCAATGGTTAATTAAACATGAGACTGTTTCAACAAAGTAGTTTACATTTTACTTCATTTTCACGACTAATATTTTCTCTTGACGGATATCTCGTCTCAAATTACTTACCATAAAAATGAAAAAAGGAAATATAAGAAGTAGTATGAAGATGTAGAGATGCACCGCATTTATGAATAGATTCTGATCAAACAGCTCAAATCCACCACAAAAGGATGCGATTAAAGAATGAAGGATTTCTTTATTCATAGTTGACTATTATAAACTATTATTAAATAACTCTCGACTTTTTCATTTTTTTTTTTTCTTTCTTTTTCTTTTTCTTCAATTGATTTTCATTTCTTCTGTAAATTTATATTTTCCACATTTCCAACGCAATATGCTTATTTCCTATATGTACTTGACATTCTTTCAATTAATTCTTTACTATTACGACGAATTTTGAGTTAATTATACACATAAAGTTGATTATTCTCTCTTAAATTCTCAATTATCTTTAAAAACATTCAATTTTGCACTTTTTATTAAAAGGTTTCCAAGAAATAATCAGAATTATGAAAATATCCAATGCTCATTATTATATCCACAAGACACTATCACCCAAAATAATTCACTTCATGTTATATGCTTGTTATCACTTATTTTTGAGAAACTTTTGTTAATTTTTTTGAAAGGAATGGCTGATTTTTAAATGTCAGTTAATTATTATTCTAGTTTAAGCTTATATTTATGTTGCTGTAGTATCATTGCTGAGCATAAGATTGTTTAAATTGGTTTAAATGAAATCAATAAAAAAATGTTCTTATGACAAATAGAGGCACCGATCTAATATGTCAATAAAAGTTTTAATCAGTTCAAAAGCTATTTTTTGGGCATAAATCATCAAGATTTTTGTATTTACAATTTTGAATGATTTTAGCAACATTTTGTGGCAGTTTAAATTATCTTTTTAAAATATGAATAATAGAAACAAAACTCACCAATAATCCTTAATTATTGAGGCATCTTGATCACTTTTTAAACACTTAAATTCAAAATTTTCTTAAATATTTGCAAAATCTATTACCAAATGTTTAAATTCTTTTAAACCGTTTCAAATTCCCTAATTCATTAATTTTGTGGTCTAATAAATCCTTTAATTATCTGGAATCAAATTGAATTGATTGAAGTAAACATGATTGAGGTTGAAACTTTTGGGTGATATTAGAGTAGATTTTGGTGATATTACGAATTTACTTTAAAATGATATTTAAATCAAACCGTTCAGAAATTCCATCAAAGATGAACAAAACATGATTTAAATACCTATTTTTTAACTTTATACGCCACTTTAAGGAGCTATTTCGTGGTAAAAAGAGATTATTTTCCTAATTTTAATAACGTTTAAAAACTTTTAAATTTTCAAAGTCTACTAAGATCAACCAAATGTTTACAAACAAAACAGAATTTATTTACAATTTTAGACTTTGTCAAATAATTAAATAAACTTAGTAAAACAGAATACATACTATACAAAATGAATATCAAGCAAGAAGCAGAAACACCGTTGAGTACAGAATCATCGCAAAATCTAGCTGGAAAGCCAAAAAAATACTGTGATAGACAATTCAAAATACAATTAGCTAGAGCACTAAAAGCAAACTATGGAGAAGCTGAAAACTTTGATAAAATCAAGCAGTAAGTGATACTCAATCCGTCCATACTTAAAAAATTCATAATCATCTTGTTGATTCCACAGAAATAAACTTTTATGTTTTTATGAGGATGACAAAATCATCGACAGCACAAAAAAAATTGCTAAGGATATCGAACAAAGCGTTGAGGATTCAATCAAGTCACAAAGGACGAAGGAAATCATTGATTTCACTCGAAATGTCAACGATCTTACAGATGTAAGGAAGCCAGAAGAAATTCCATTACTCATAAAACTTAATTCTGTATCTCGATTTCCGCCTACAATGGAAACAAATGGTGTCAATTTTGAGTAAGTTAAACTATAGTATACTAATTTGGCTTGCTAATTTAATCTTTATTTCATTCACAGAGCATTAAACAAGTTCCTTTATTCATCAGTGTCTGGATCTATAGACTTTGTGGATATGAATTATGAGACAAAGTTAGTATTGCACGAGACTTACAACATGCTAATGACACAAGTCGAAACCGATGCTCCAAAAGTATTAGAAGAATTAAGATCAAAAATGAATGGTTCATCGGAAGTAACTGAAATTAGAAATGCTGAAAAATTAACAGAAGCTATTCGGGATAGCTCATTAAACCCATTCAACATGCCATTAGAATTTCTCCTGCAAAGAAAATCGTCCGAATAATTTATTGAAGAATTCAAGATAATAAATTAATGATAGTAAGTTAAAGGATAGTTGTAATTATTAAATTTCAATTCCTTGCCAGATCTAGCTATTGTAAAATGACTTGCATGTGGTGTAGAGAATTGAGTATGAAAGTGTGTCTGGAAAGGCAAATGCTGATGAGTATTAACAAAATCAGAAACAGAGATTGAATTTCCAACAATATATTGGGATGGAAATTGTTGCGATGGAAGTTCACGACTCTTGACCATTTCAAAGTTTCCAAAATTCTGTAATTGTTGTGGAAATCCAGGAAGTGACTGGAAATTTTGTGCTTGAATTTCAGGATTTTGTACTGCATTCATAGGTTGACTTGACATAGATTGAGTTGGTGGACTGTCCATTGATGGCATCATTGAATCAGAAGCATTAATAGAAGCTAGAGTTGTTGATTCCATTAATCCAGAAAGCATTTGGGGTTGCATCATGTCAGACATGTCTTGTGAGTTCATCTGCATCGGCATTCCTTGTTGATTAATTGCCATTTCTTGAGAATTCATCTGCATCGGCATTCCTTGCATGTTCATTGACTGTATTGGCATTCCTTGTTGATTCATTTGCATGCCTTGTATATTCATCTGCATTCCTTGAGAACTCATTTGCATGGCTGGTGGCTGCATCATATCTAAAACTTGTGGCATTTCTGGAGGAGATTGCATCATTGGATCAGTTAATTTCTGTAACATTACATTGGGCATCTCCATTGGTCTAATCAAGAACTCTGTTCCCTTCACTTTATTAGGTTTCAAGGTCGTTTTCTTCGTGCTATTTCTCACGTTCAGGGGAGATCGCATAGTCGTAAGATTTATTTGAAACATCGAGTTAATTATGTCGGGTAATAGAGGATTGAATTTAGGAATTGATTGCGTAGTTGTTGTTTTTCTTGACTTCATAGTCGTTTCCTCCACCTCAACTTTAATTGATGGTCGTTGTGTATTGATTCTTAAAGCTTTTGGATTGCGTGTAGATTCAGGAATGCTTTCCGTCACAAACTCAACATCGTCAATCGGAATGACTTTATAGCCAAAAAATCTCAACAATGTGCCTAATGTTCTTTTCGGACGCTTATTTCCATCGCACAGAACATTCAATATTATAAGAATGAACAGAACTTGAGCAAAAATTTTCATCACTACTAATTTCTATTTTTTTTTCTACCGTCTAGTTTGTCGTCATCGAATGAACTAAATTATAAAACTTTTAGTAAGTAAATTAAAATGGCAAAAAGTGAATTTTTATCCCCCAAAAATGATTGAGTAAGTGGCTTTATGAATATAGTCTAAGTCATGTACATATTGGCCGTACTTTACATAAATCAGATATATCAGTACTGTATCTACTTAGGGGTTATTTGTAATTGACGTCTGAAGGTTTGGAGCAGTTTGAAGAGGTAAGTAAGAAAGATTTGATTATGGGCTGAATGATTAGGGTCAGAGAGATAATTCACGAGGTGAAAGATAGGAATGAGGTCAAATCATTCCACCATGGCAGTAGACGTCACTTGCGTGGAACCCCAAGCATATATAGCCTTTATAGTTCACTAAGTCTATAAAAGTTTGTAAAGTCAACTTTTGCATGTTCCTACCTACAGTCCAATATCAACTTTTTTAAAACTATATATTTTCATTCTCATTGAACAATAACGGCACGACATTAAAGACAAAAAATATCAACTATCGAATTTATTTACAAAACTCTTAGTCTGTGTACATAGAAGTTTTTCCTACATGGTAAGCGAAACATAAAAAGTTGGCACACGAAATAAGGTAATTGTGTCTGTAATCATAAGCATTCTCAGTATTAATCAAATACAATTTAATGCTTATGAGCGACCTTGACACAGAGGAAACATAATGGATGTGAATTTATATTTTTAAGTCATTCATAACTTTCTTCGGTATAAATAAAAAGATATAAACAGTCATGTAATAATGAATAAATTGATGTTTAGGTTATTACCTTTAAATTGCTGCATGTTTAATGAGATTCTCGTGATCAACACAAAATATTCTCGAGATACAACATTAACTGTTATAATAACGTGACATGTGATGTTGAAAATAAATATGGCATCGACAAAGGGTCAAGCGATCAACTTCTGTTTATTCTCTAGTGGTGTATTTATCTGCCAGTAGAATACACCCAATTAAACACCTTACTCATGATGAAAATGATTATTATATGGAAGAATAAGCAATGAAATCAAGTCTTGTATTTCCTTTCTCTTTTTCTTGTGGTTCCGATTAAATGATTGATAGATATCAAGTAAGTAGTAGTACAATCTATGTACTTGAATTTTGGGCTAGTAAGATGGCTAATGTCAAGAACTAGAGGTAAAAACGCTTTTTTGAAATGATTATTTTGAATTTGAATTTTATTTGATTGACATTTGTAATTTAAAATAATTATCCTTAAATCTGAGGACTTTCAAACCATACCTATTGACTGTTAGAAATTGCTGTCATTTTAGCCTTAACTTAATTATTAGAACAATCAATTTTAAACTAAGCTGAGATGCCTTTTCGAACTTAACTTTGACTGATTAGTTTATTAGGAATCCAAAAATCTGAAAAATTTGTAATAAAAGTTTTCAAAAACTTTAAATTTCTTAAATACTTTTATTTCTTTAAAGTAAAAATATATTTTATAAAATTGCTAGTTGAACTCTAAAAAGCTAAACAGGCAATTTAACAGTCAAAATTTAGTATCTCACACACAAATACGGAAACGAAAAAGTTTAGCAATGAATAAAGTTATGGTGAATATAAAAGAGCAAAAATGCTGGTAGCACAAAAAGTCATTAAAGAAGTAGGTAAAAATCGTAAAAAATTAAAAATGATATTACAAAATGAACAAATTATCATTTTTTGTCGATTGATTGTACACTAGAGTCTTGATATTTCCATAAATCTTTAAAGTCTATGGGTGGATATTGATTAATAATCTCTCGATTTGAGGAAGGTGATTCGACCGTGTTTAAGAATGATGAATATTCTTTAGATGGATAAACTACTTCAAATGTTGGAATATCTCGACTGTTAAAATTGAAATCTGATGATGATGACGATGAAGATGGTGATGATGGAATGAAGCTTGAGAAACTTGGGATAGAATATTCTGTTCTGCATGTACAAAGACGCTCCTCAGAATTCCTAATTATTGGTCTCTCAGGTGACTTGTGTAATCCAAAAATACTATATGGACGAAGATATTGATTGAATGAATCAAACAATGGATGTTCTGTGAACTCAAATGGCTTTTCTGTTGTTACTGGAGTTTGTTCTTTGGTAAATAACTTTATAATTCTTTCAGCTGCATCTTTTGTACTATTTTTAAGTTTACTTAATTCAACAAGAGGCTGAGGATCACTTTCAACTACAACATCCGATGTTGTGCTTTTCACAGTGTCATTTAAGGTTTCACTACAATGTATTACTATGAACAATGAACAAAAAATAATTAACTCCTTCATGTTTTTGCTTATCTATTTTAACCCTCTGATCTGACTGAACTTTAAAACTCAATTGATGGAACTAATCCTTTGAAGAAACTGTAGCAAGAAAAATTGAAGATGATCCCCCACTTTCCAAAGCCGAAATTAAGAGAAACGAGCGAGGTAAATTAAAACTATGAAGGATAAACAATTCATAAAATTAAAAGCAACAATTAAAAGCCAGCATTTTCAAAATACTTCGACTCAGAGGTGAAACAGTTAAGATATTTTGTTGATAACTCGTTAAATTAAAGGCAATTTCATGGAGCATAAAGTTCAGGTCTGCATTTGAATTCCACTAATGCAATCAGCAGCAACAACACTCTAATAAAATGTGTATATGTGTATCAAGAGTTCAACCGTAAATTACGTTTTATGATTTTGATCTTATTTGATTCATACATAGCAACACCAACAACAACACTATGTTCGTTTTTCATGAATTTCATTATTGTGGCTTGCGATATAATTAATTTTTTGCTCGTTTTGTTTGAGATCTCACAAAGATCTAACGAGAAGCTCGCAATATTATAATGAGATTGATTGGATTGTTACAACGGACTAATTTAGAATTGCTTGAAGCTTTTTTGACACAAAAGATACGGAGTTAAGAACCTACTGAAATGATCAATAGGGGTTCTGATCTAGATCTAAGCACAGGCAATAGGAACGTAAGATTGAAGGATGGTTGATTGTTTCTATTTGACAAATCAATCTGGTGTAGGCAGTCAACAATAGCACAGGCAGATGAAAGATATCTAAACGTAATCAGTCGTAATTTTTACCGAAATAATATCATTTCGAATGGCAGAGATATAGACAACATTAGGAATGCTTTAATTTCTAATGAAATTTTGTAATAATCTCTCCCATCTTAAAAAGATGACATTTAATATATCCTGATTTTCTATTTGGATTTGTTGTGAAGCTACTAATTGAAGTTATGTAAGTTTGGAATTAAAACAGATCTGCAGGAAGTTGTAACAGCATAAGGTTATTAAAGGTCAATGCGAGGTAAATTAGCAATTGAAAAACCATTGAAACATTACTAGAAAATTAATTTGAAACAATTAAAATAATTAAAAGCATAAACAGTTCAAAATTAAACCAACAGACCACCCAAAAAACTCCTTTTATACAACCAATGAATCAAAAATCTGCAGAGTCATTCTAAAATTTTGATTCTAAATACCGATAAATAGCACTGTAAGTCAAAGCTCTAATTTTCTCGAACAGAAAATATTTCATCAATCGCATACCAAAGATTCATAATTGTGAAGGTCAGTGAAACAAAGTCATAAACCAATTAAAACTAATATTATAATTATCGCAAAAGAGTCATCGTTAGTGCATGTTTAGATATTATTTCATAAACATTAGACTTTCAATATCTATTTCCAAATTTAGAATTGTGAGAAACTTTTACTAGCTTCAAAATTTTGTAAACAAATGAAAGGCTTTCATGCTGCAATTTTAAAATGCATGTACTTACTTTACTTCGCTGGCCGTACAGATCAATTGTGATCCATGGCCTCCCTTAGATGGCGCGCATTAAAATGCATGTGGTATTCAAAAATAACGTAATCAACTTTGGAAAGGTGCCTAAACTTAATCAATTGACTGAAAGATCCACAAAACGTGATATGAATGATTTATAAAAAATGGAAATTTCCTTCCTGACTTATATTGCAAATTAATTTAAATGTTATGTAGTTGTTGACAGTAATTTTTATCGTATTTATTAATTCTGTATGATTTTTATTAAGCAATTACAACTTTTGTGCTGCAACAATTATTTTTCCCATCAAATGTCAATTTTCGGTATTTTTAGACTTTATTTAAAAATAGCATATTGTTTCGCATACAAACCAAACTTACTCTTTCACATATGACTGATTCATATACAAAACAAAGCAGTGAAAGCATTTATTAAATGGACGAGACAGCTTACAAAAATTTTAAAATGATATTTCAGTTTGTAAGTCACTTTGTCTTTAATCAAACTTTAAAGATATGAAAACCAGAAAATTGACTATTGTGACTAGAAGCAGTTAAGTTTACTATAGTGTTTGATCAAACTAGAAGCTTAGGTTTCAAGCTATAGGTAGGCAAAATTATTAGGGTTGTAGTAAATCATTATCGATCAGGATCGCAGTGCCTCCAGCTAGTCGCAACGTGTAGTAACACATCGCTTGGCTGGAACCCTCTCACATTATTAAATCTATTGTTTAAATTAATTGAACAAAACTTTAAAGTAAAGCAGCAGAAGCGCACATGGTGGATATTATGTGTAAATATGTAATGTTAAATTGGTGCTCAATATAAAAAATTACGCTCATCGTTTGTTATGAATTTTAAGCAAGTTCCTACCTCATTTCACTTGACGATTTTTATATTTTTTTGCGACAAAAAGTAGTGATTATAAATATGAGTCCACCCAATTGTTTAATAGTCAGTCTTGATTTAGTTTTCTTATCAATTTAATTGCAATGGTGCGGAAAAGTGCTTACGGAGTGTTCCTAATTTTTATTATTCTCATAAATAATGGATACGCAGATGAAAAAGAGGAAGTAAAAGATGAAAAACCTAAGAGTGATGATAAAACGGTCTCAAAGAGAGGAATTTTACATTTTGGAATTCACGGACATCCGCATGTTCATGGTGTTCCGTTTGTGCCTAAGATACCAGTAATTACAAAAGTTCCAACATTTATTAAGCCTGCTGTTTTACCGGCACCTGTAATTCCTACCACACCATACCATCTTACGCATGGTGGAGCTACTGTAACATCGTACAATGCTAATTATCCACGAGTTCCAATCTATACAAAAACAATCATTCCACCAGCTTATCCGTTCTTGCCTGCTATTCCTCATAATCACCATCATGGATTAATTCCACATAGTCACCATCATGGATTAATTCCACATAGTCACCATCATGGATTTGACCTTCATCATGGATACGATCATCATCATTTGGCTGGATTGTTCCCCCACAACCATCATCATCATCATTTGGCTGGATTGTTCCCACACAACCATCATCATCATTCGTTATATCCACATCATCATCATTCCTTATATCCACATCATCATCATTCCTTATATCCACATCATCATAATCCAGCCTACCCACACGTCCACATATCCAAACCAATCGTTCCTGTCGCAGTCCCAGTTCCAGAATATCATCATCACAAAATTCCAGTTTTTTACCCATCAAAACCGGTATTTTCAAAGCCTGAATTCAACCCAACTTTCGTACCTATTCCCGTTCCTTCAAATCCGCAACCAAATCCAACAGTTATCACAGTGAACCCAGGTATTTCGTCGTCAACAAACCACAATATTAATCACATAAATTTATATCCAAAAACACAACAAACACCCATACAACCAATACAAAATCATCATCATCATCATCAAAATTCGCAAGGAAATTGGCAACCAATATTAAAACCGACACAAGCAACTATCACTGACAACTGCACACCTTACAATTATCATGCTGCACTGAAATCATCTTCGTCATCGACGTCAAATAATTCCGTCCAAACTAATAATTTTGTTTCAGGTCAGGGACCATCCATGGCACAGCAATTCGCACATTATCAACAACAGCAATATTTGCATGATCAACATAGTAAGTATTTTTGAATTGTCATTAGATTTTATTGTTTTCTGATGGAATTAGAAGTAGGTTAAAATCAAGGTCACGCAGATTATAATCTATAAATAATCCCATAGAAAGATTATAATCTTCAATAATCTTTGTATGAAAGATTATTAAAGATTTATAATCTTCGTTTTTTAAAGATTATAATCTGCGATTTTAGAATTTATTGAAAACTATGTGACACAATTGTGTCAAAAACACATTAAAGAATTTGTCGAACAACTAGATTCAATACACTAGACGTTCCTTAAGTAACCCTAATTCAAGTAAAGAAAGTGCTGACTTTTCAAAAAGTCGGTATTGCAGTGTTTATTAAAAACTTTAAAGTCGAACAATTAAAAGTAATTCGTCTGTGTTTTGGAGCATATAACTTACCACAATTTTCACATGCTCAAATTTTCTCACGCAGCACATTTTGGACTAAAACTGTCAGAATAGTCTACTAAAAACTCAAAGATCAACTTACTATGAATTAAAATCTTTAAATTTCAGCAATTCTAATGCAAACTTATCTGATTAATCTTTGATAAAATTTCAGACTCATATCCCTACCCAGCAGCAGCTGAAACATTTTCACAAAATTATGAGGCACCATCTAACAATGGAAATTATCACGGTCTGTCGTCTTATCAAGTGCCGCTAGGTGTTCAATAAGAATAAGTAGTGAATGATGTAAAACTATCTGTTAATTATGACATTATTAAGTAAAGCAATGTGCCAAAATAACCTTGTTATTTATGAGAAATAAAACTTAACATTTGAATATTATGCTGTAAAATATTCCATTGAGATTATTCTGTGAAGTAATTAGCTCTTAATTAATTCTATTTCTTTACAGTTCTCAGCACATTCGTGCCTTTATTTTGAAACGAAAGTGAAACAGCTTTACAATAACATGCTTGTGGAAGAAATTCGATGATTTTAATTATGCTTAGCACATCGTCGTTTTCATAATTTTCATTTCTTTCATCACCATATTCATGCATAAGCATACACATGCATGAAATGTGATATGAATTTTCAAGCATTCTGAGTTCACTGCTTCTCTTTGTCAACGAATATCGGCCATCGTAAAGAAATAAAGGTACAAAGAAATTTTTTTAAGACCATCCCTCAAAAAAAAAATACAAAATTTTGAAATTCTTTAGCACTTCTGCTACTCATGTGATCCTGTTACTATTTTTACACTTTTTAAATTAAGTTTCCCATGATCCCATCAACTTAAATTCCCACAGAATGGAAATTTTAAAAAACAGGCAGGAAACATTTCAAAGCGATGTAGTCAGGTAGAACGGAATGTTTGTTTAATTTTGTATGCAACTTGTTGTGCATCTCTCCTTAAACGAGTCTGTCGAGGACTGTGGGAATATTTTTGGGATCATAGGCATTCAATCGATTTTTTTTATGTGAAATAATAAATGCTGAGATTTCTTTTTACTTTGATGGGATTTTATGTAAGGATACAAATTTATTATCTTTTTTTTTATTTTTTAAGGTAGATTACAAAAAAATATATATTTCATTTCTTGAAGAATAAAAAATAGATTTGATTGAAGGAAACGAGTCATGAGTATACACAAAATGATTTTTTTTGGCTTTTCTCTTTGAGACCATCCAGGCAGTGCGTGGGAAAGTCAAATTTTTTATCGAATTTCAATGACTTAGTATACTAGGCCACCATAAGGGTATGATCCGTAAAGTCCATGGTTGTAATTGCCATAATAAGTAGAGCTGTATGGGTAAGATGAGTATGATTTGTAAACTGGATATGATGAGTAGCTGTATGGTGAGCCATATCCGTATGATCCAAGTCCGCTATATCCATAACCACCATATGAACTGCCGTATGTGCTTCCTAATGAGCTACCGTAGTATGCTGGATGAGCTGAAACTGCTGAATATCCGCTAACGAGTGGAGATCCGACTGTATAAGTACTTCCTAATCCATAACCACTTCCATATCCATATCCACTTCCATATCCATAGCTGCTACCATATCCTAAGCCACTGCCATATCCTAATCCATATGAAAGTCCACGTTTTTCCTTCTTTGAAACTTCTTCATCAGCATAAACAGCTGAGGCAACGAAGGCAACAAAAAGAACTGCAACCTAAAGGCACAAAAAAATATTTTAAATCACTGATTAATAATCTTTTTAATCCTTTAATGTCACTTACAAATGATTTCATTTTGAATAGATTTTTAATTGGCTTTTTTTAAAAGAACACTTTTGGAACTTTGCAAATAATTCGCTAAGAAGATTGCTGAAGTTATGATACTCAATAGCTGCGATACCTCAGTATTTATACAATTTTTTTGCTTGTTTGTTTCTTCTCTTCTCAGCGTCCATCAATTACAATTGAAACAGAAATCATATGGCTCGCTTTGTCTTAGATAATTCAATTTTTTCTACTCTATAGTCGCTCTATAGTTGTTGTAATTTTTTGGGGGGCTGAGAATTAAGCCAGCTAGAGATCAACAATGAGACTTTTGTGATTTTTCTCTCAATTTTTTTTTTATATTCAATTGTTATTAACATGTGGTTATTCATTCATGCATAGATTAATATATGCATAGTGCATGATTAGATGCGCTATTTTGACAAATTGCAATATTCTCTTCTAACCGTCTAATTTAATATTTAATCATATATGCTCATATTAGCTTAAACATAATAAGAATAAATGTTGAGAAGGGTCAAGAAAATTCCTTCGCATTCTACTCGGCATTCTTCGTAACGTCTTCGCATTTGCATTAACCCTTTCAAATTATTCTTGGAATCAAAATTTCCAAGACGTTCGGAACAGGAGAACATGAAATTCAGGAGGGTTCTTTTTTCTATTCCACATTTCTTATTTCTTCTTTTCTTCTTTCTTTTTTTGGGGTTCTTAACTCATAAGTATACACTTACACAGACGCAAGAAAGTGACGGAACAGAAGGGAAAGAATAAAGAAGAAGCACAAAGTTTCAGGTAAACGGAAAAATTCTCATACATGACTTCATTCATGTTTTGAATGTTGAGCTGTACACAGTGTTAATAGTTATTAACCAAACTATTTACCGACAACCCTTGTCGAGGCTGCAACACCAAAATTCACTTCTAATAAATTAATTAATGACGAATTTGCTAGAAATCATTAATTAAAATTAAATTCATTGTTAATTTGTTTTCGCAGACCTATTAATGTCTTAATCTTCAACTCGTTAAATATGTACGTGAGCATATGTGAGATGTGATGTGATTTGATGTATGTTCAAGTGTTAAGGTCGATATAACATATTATTCGTGCGTGCGAAATTTGTCTTTATTGTCTTCCCTTTTATTTAATTAGTCTAAGCGGGTGCTGATGGCTATAAATTTCTCATAAGAATTATAATTTAATGAATAATTTATAGACTTTTTGATTTGTTTAGACTTTAAGTTTTGATGTTAAATTATTAATATAGTTTAACTGAATCTTTCGCATTCTGACTTTTGTGGGAAGCTGTTCAATGCGACTTTTAAATCTTTTACATTGTTGACATTCTTAATCATGTCAGTTTTGTCTGGTTCTTGAAGTTTTAAATTAATTCATAAAGTTGTCAAAATATAAGTCGATTCAGTTTAATTTACCAAATTTGAAATAAAGAAAGATTTGTTCAGTTTAATTTCATTTAAGTTCATTCAATAGCCAATATCTCAACAAAATCTAATGATTCATGAGAGAGCAAACGGAACTACTTATCTCAATACGTCAATAATGAAATTCTAACCACACAGTAATTAGTAAAAAAAGAACAAAAGCAATAAGAATTAAAACAGGTGCCTTTAAGATCATGAAAATGCAACACGGAACTTTTTATTCTCATTCTCCCATGTAATATATTTTAAGCACCTTGAATTAACATTAGTTTTGCACAAAATTGAAAAAAAAAATCAAAAGTTCTTTAAAGTATAATAAGAGATTATCTACTCGAATGATACATAAAGACAGCCGAATGAAACAATTAGAATAACGATTATTGTTATAATTATTTCAGTGAGACCCAATGTCAGTAGCATCGGCTAATTGTTTGTTTGTCTGCAGATTTGTTACTAAATCATAATTACTGATGTCTTCATATCAAAAATCTTTTATTCGTGATGGAACAATCGTGATAGACAATAAATGACAATCACATGTTTTTCGTAGGGTCAATAGGTGCGGAAGAACTTTGCTGTGAAGTTTATTGAAATCGATTTTATAGGCGTTACAAAAGAGAGATATAACTAATGATTTATCTCCTGTACGGCTCAATTTCATCAAATAAAATTGGCTATAACCGACCATGAAAAATTGTTGGTAAAAATTATATTTTCTGAGAACATTGACACGCTATGTTCTTGTTGGCTGTTGACTGTTGACAATAAAAAATTTGCTATTAAATGAAATATCATCACAGTAATCATTGAAATCTTGTCAAATCAAAACAATTCTTATTTATCATTGAAACTTTGTTGAAAATAAGTCATTCGAGCCTTGCGATTTGAATCAAGGATTGCATAAGTGAAAGAGATCGTATTTATTTGGTTCTTTAACTGGATTTAATTCAAAATCAATCATTCAATTCAAAAGTTTTAAAATTTGAGGATTTAAGGTATGTTTCTTCAAATTTTTTTGATTTACGTGTGAAATCGGGTTTTTAGGATTGCATAAGTGAAAGAGATCGTATTTATTTGGTTCTTTAAACTGGATTTAATTCAAAATCAATCATTCAATTCAAAAGTTTTAAAAATTTGAGAATTTAGGGTATGTTTCTTCAAATTTTTGTGATTTACGTGTGAAATCGGGTTTTTAGGATTGCATAAGTGAAAGAGATCGTATTTATTTGGTTCTTTAACTGGATTTAATTCAAAATCAATCATTCAATTCAAAAGTTTTAAAATTTGAGGATTTAATGTATGTTTCTTCAAATTTTTTTGATTTACGTGTGAAATCGGGTTTTTAGGATTGCATAAGTGAAAGAGATCGTATTTATTTGGTTCTTTAAACTGGATTTAATTCAAAATCAATCACTCAATTCAAAAGTTTTAAAAATTTGAGGATTTAGGGTATGTTTCTTCAAATTTTTGTGATTTACGTGTGAAATCGGATTTTTAGGATTGCATAAGTGAAAGAGATCGTATTTATATGGTTCTTTAACTGGATTTAATTTAAAATCAATCATTTAATTCAAAAGTTTTAAAAATTTGAGGATTTAGGGTATGTTTCTTCAAATTTTTGTGATTTACGTGTGAAATCGGGTTTTTAGGATTGCATAAGTGAAAGAGATCGTATTTATTTGGTTCTTTAACTGGATTTAATTCAAAATCAAACATTCAATTCAAAAGTTTTAAAATTTGAGGATTTAAGGTATGTTTCTTCAAAGTTTTTTGATTTACGTGTGAAATCGGGTTTTTAGGATTGCATAAGTGAAAGAGATCGTATTTATTTGGTTCTTTAAACTGGATTTAATTCAAAATCAATCATTCAATTCAAAAGTTTTAAAATTTGAGGATTTAAGGTATGTTTCTTCAAATTTTTTTGATTTACGTGTGAAATCGGGTTTTTAGGATTGCATAAGTGAAAGAGATCGTATTTATTTGGTTCTTTAAACTGGATTTAATTCAAAATCAATCATTCAATTCAAAATTTTTAAAAATTTGAGGATTTATGGTATGTTTCTTCAAATTTTTGTGATTTAATTGTGAAATCGGGTTTTCAGGATTGCATAAGTGAAAGAGATCGTATTTAATTGGTTCTTTGAACTGGATTTAATTCAAAGTCAATCATTCAATTCAAAAGTTTAAAAATTTGAGGATTTAAGATATGTTTCTTCAAATTTTTGTGATTTAATTGTGAAATCGGGTTTTCAGGATTGCAAAAGTGAAAGAGATCGTATTTATTTGGTTCTTTAAACTGGATTTAATTTAAAATCAATCATTTAATTCAAAAGTTTTAAAAATTTGAGGATTTAGGGTATGTTTCTTCAAATTTTTGTGATTTACGTGTGAAATCGGGTTTTTTGGATTGCATAAGTGAAAGAGATCGTATTTATTTGGTTCTTTAAACTGGATTTAATTCAAAATCAATCATTCAATTCAAAAATTTTAAAAATCTGAAATCGGGTTTTCAGGATTGCATAAGTGAAAGAGATCGTATTTATTTGGTTCTTTAAACTAGATTTATTTCAAAATCAATCATTTAATTCAAAAGTTTTAAAAATTTGAGGATTTAGGGTATGTTTCTTCAAATTTTCGTGATTTACGTGTGAAAGCGGGTTTTTAGGATTGCATAAGTGAAAGAGATCGTATTTATTTGGTTCTTTAAACTGGATTTAATTCAAAATCAATCATTCAATTCAAAAGTTTTAAAAATTTGAGGATTTAGGGTATGTTTCTTCAAATTTTTGTGATTTACGTGTGAAATCGGGTTTTCAGGATTGCATAAGTGAAAGAGATCGTATTTATTTGGTTCTTTAAACTGGATTTAATTCAAAATCAATCATTCAATTCAAAAGTTTTAAAAATTTGAGGATTTAGGGTATGTTTCTTCAAATTTTTGTGATTTACGTGAGAAATCGGGTTTTTAGGATTGCATAAGTGAAAGAGATCGTATTTATTTGGTTCTTTAGACTGGATTTAATTCAAAATCAATCATTCAATTTAAAAGTTTTAAAAATTTGAGGATTTAAGGTATGTTTCTTCAAATTTTTGTGATTTACGTGTGAAATCGGGTTTTCAGGATTGCATAAGTGAAAGAGATCGTATTTATTTGGTTCTTTAAACTGGATTTAATTTTAAATCAATCATTTAATTCAAAAGTTTTAAAAATTTGAGGATTTAGGGTATGTTTCTTCAAATTTTTGTGATTTACGTGTGAAATCGGGTTTTTTGGATTGCATAAGTGAAAGAGATCGTATTTATTTGGTTCTTTAAACTAGATTTAATTCAAAATCAATCATTCAATTCAAAAATTTTAAAAATCTGAAATCGGGTTTTCAGGATTGCATAAGTGAAAGAGATCGTATTTATTTGGTTCTTTAAACTAGATTTATTTCAAAATCAATCATTTAATTCAAAAGTTTTAAAAATTTGAGGATTTAAGGTATGTTTCTTCAAATTTTCGTGATTTACGTGTGAAATCGGGTTTTTAGGATTGCATAAGTGAAAGAGATCGTATTTATTTGGTTCTTTAAACTGGATTTAATTCAAAATCAATCATTTAATTCAAAAGTTTTAAAAATTTGAGGATTTAGGGTATGTTTCTTCAAATTTTTGTGATTTACGTGTGAAATCGGGTTTTTAGGATTGCATAAGTGAAATAGATCGTATTTAGTTGGTTCTTTAAACTGGATTTAATTCAAAATCAATCATTCAATTCAAAAAATTTAAAAATTTGAGGATTTAAGGCATGTTTCTTCAAATTTTTGTGATTTACTCGATTTACTTGTGAAGGAAAGTTAGGAAAACAGTAGCATTATGAAGGAAACTCAAAAAGTATATATTTTACCGATAAATGCGCTGTACCTCAATGTAGCATTTAACAAATCTCCTAGAAAAAAGAATTGACTAAGCTACAACCATAATTAACCACACCAATTGCATTACGCACAACAAATTTTTAAATTTTTATCACTTTATTAATAATAAAAATCATAAAGCATGCAATTGGATACAGCGCTTAGTACAAATTAATGAGGATTTGTTTTTTGGTAACATGATCCGGATATAATAAATGTAATTATTTATTGTATATATGGAGGCAGTTGGTCAATCTTGACTTGATTTTTTTCGAAGCGACATTGATGATTTAATTGTATATCATTTATAATGTTATGAAATAGTTTATGAAAAAGTTCAGTTTCTAATTCTGAAAGAGACAAAGAGACATCCAGTCACGCAAAAGAATAAAAATGCCATTTTTCCACTCATCAATCATTTATTTCGCATTGTATCAATTAGTGAAAAAAATTTATACATTTTTCTTTTAAATTCCATAATTCATATATCCATTCATGAAGCTAGTTATTTTATGTGGTGCTCAATTGAGTCAATCGTTCGTTTAGCTGTAATTGTGTCTTAATCAATTGCGATAATGTGACTACCATAAGAAGATCCTTAACATTGGAATTGAACATTGTGGCAAATTGATCGTGAGTCATGTTTGGAACGGAATGAATAAGATCTAAGAGTGAACGTCCGACTGCATTATCTGGTTGTTGCTTTTCATTGAGAACATCTTCAACGTATTGTAAGACATGATTTAAAAGTCCCAATAATTTCTCGCTGGCTTCAGAGATTTGAGCAAGATCCATCATCGGCTCAACTTGACGTGAACGAGTTCCGATTGTTTTTTGTGACAATTTCAATGCAATAACTTCTGGTTCGTAGCAAACAGTATCAACTTTGATTGGTGTAAACATACATCCTTGGACACCACTTGGAATTCCCAAAGAGACACAGACGTAGGCTTTAAGACCCATTTTGCCTCCTTGAAGAGATGTATCCAAAGTCAAATGGATTGGATTGTTGCATTCTCTAGCATAATATTCATGAATGACTGAGCTATGGTTGGTTACTTCATTTCCAGTTGCCCACCAGCCTGATTAAAAGAAAGTATATTTTGAGATCCAGTAAAATGGATGATTTGTTGTTGTTGTACTTACCGACAATGCTCTCCGATGAATTTACACGTCTATTTAAATCATATACATCTAATGCGTAGCTAATTTCAGCTTCAACTTGATCGTCGGTCTCTTTATGAGGTACACAGAAGCAGTTTGTTACTTCTACAACTCCTTTTTCCACACAACCTTTAATTTTGATAGAAATGTTTAAGTCAAAGAATTTAAGAACCAAATTAAATGCACTTTTTTACCTAATAGAGTCCCAATAACACGCTGTGAATCAGCATTACGTCTTTCAAACGCATCAACGATTTGGAATAAGACTACAGGATGTACTTTAACTGTCAAATTCATTGTGAATTTCTTAAAAATACTTTAGAAAAACTATTAAATCTTCTCGCGACACGTTGAAAAAAGTCTAGGGATGACAACTTTCAATGTTTGGGTGCTATTTTGGTACTTTTTGAAATTTTTGTTAATTCCTGAATGAACTCTTAGCCGATTGTTTTTTATTGTGGTTTTGTTGATACTTTAGCAACTTTTTTAGGAAGTCAATGATCTGATTCTCAAAGTTTTAAGTGACATTTGAATGTAAAAAATCTCAACTGAGAATGCTCACCCCTCTGACACAAAAAGTTGCAAGACCCTCTCAAGTATATTTTAATCGAGAAAATGGGAAGTTTTGTTAAATTATTTAATTCCTCGTTAAATATCATATCTAGACAGTTGACATTGCCTTTAACTAATGGATTAAACCTTCAGTTTGTGAGAGCACTACCTCATTTTGTGGATATTCCAAAACCAGGTGAGAAACAAGTGATTTTTAATGCTTTAAACTTGTTATTCAATAAAATAAATAATTTTAGGTGAAAAACATCGACAATACAGACGAAAAGTGCATTTTCCAGAGGATGGAAAGTATACAGTAAAGCCTTTAGACAATACGCATTTAGCTGGTCGAGATCCAGTAACTGGACGAGTTGTTGCAAAAGGAATTGGAGGTGGAATCAAATTTAAGTGAGTTCTTTTGGATTATTTAAGTGCTGTAAAGTAATCAAGCTTATTCATTGTAGATATCACTGGATCAAGTTCGAACGAGACGGTCCAACAGAAGATGTTCCACCAAGAGAAGAAAAAGTCCTTCAGATACTGAAATGTGGATGTAGAACAGCAGATGTAGCTCTTGTTGGAACTGGAAATGAACTTAAATATATTTTGGCAACAGAAAACATGAAAGCAGGCGATATAATCAAAACATCAAGGTTTATTCCAAGAATTCCAGTGAGAGCAAATGAAGGTGATGCTTATCCACTTGGGGCACTTCCAGTTGGAACCATTGTCCATAATATTGAGAAATTTCCAGGATGTAATCGAAACTTTATCCTAGCTGCTGGATGTTATGCTACAATTATTAGAAAGTTTGATGATCGTGTTGTCATTTTAATGCCAAACAAGCGAGAAATAGCACTTTTACAGAAATGTATGGCTACAGTCGGCAGATTATCAAACATTGATCATTCAAAGACACCGATTGGATCGCCAAATAGGAACCGTGAATTAGGTAATCGACCAAGATCAGGTTTATGGCAAAGAAAAAGTGGTAGACATGGACGTAAAATTAAAAGACCACCTCCAATGCTCCTTCAAGGACCTCCAAAAGAGCAGAAATCAGCACCAATGAAATTAAACATAAATAAGATTTCTTAAAATGTTTATTTCATGAAAATAATATTGTATAGGAAATTCAATAGAAATTCTATCTTAAGTTATTTAAACAACTTTTGATTTTAATGTGTCCAAATCGCGTTTCTGGATCTGCCTCAAATGTTTCTTCTTAATTCTCTTCAATTTTGATGTATTTTTGATAATTTGGACAGTCTGTGATTTTAATTCATTTTCTTTCTTACGTTGAAGGTTCTCTTCACGTCGTTGCTTCTTTAATTCATTCTGTTGCTTACGTTCATCCTTAATGGACTTTGACAATTCCTTGACTCTTTTAAGTTCTGCACGAATTTTCAATTGTTGATCTTTTGTTTTCTTTGGAATTGTGTTGTGAATCTTCCTGAATCGTTCCTTAGGTGTCTTCCAGAACTTGCCTGACTTTGCAATGCCTCGAACTTCTGTTTTCTCTGTTTTATTCTCCATTATTTAATTAATTTATATTATCAGCGTGTTTACAGAATTTATTTTGAAGGGGAAAACAACTACGCTGCATCATTAAAATGTAATCAATTTTTCAGTTATATTACTTAATTATAGACTGATCTAATATCCTAATCATACTAATCAATCATTTTAAGAACAGGTTTTTGCAATTAAAGATGGATAATCGACAGAAAATTTTAAAATATAACTGCCGAAAAATATTCAAATTCGAGGGGTAGGCAAAAAGTCAAAGAAAAAAAATAACAACAACAGAATTTTATTAAAATAATTATTTAATTTTAATTTTTATGCATTATCCAGTGATCAAACTAATGTGATTTTACTGCAGATTTGAAGAATTACCTCAAAATTGTCGCAATTTATTGACGGCAGTCCTTATAAACTTCGAGATTCGCGTAATTTTACTTAAAATTAAAATTTTAGTCAAAAATGGAGTTGGAAAAAATTTGTAGATTATGTTTAACGATCAAAAAGGACATGAGGAACCTGTTTACTGAGAATATCATCAGTATGCTGGAGGAGTTTTGCAATGTAAAGGTAATAATAAAGTTGTAAAATTAAATCCAGTACTAATTTTGTGCAATCAAACAACTTCCTTCTAATTTGCATAATCTCTAGATTTCAAAGGAAGCTGGATGGCCGAATTTAATATGTTCCCAGTGTGTACATCAAGTATCCCGTTGTCATTCGTTTAAGAAGAGAATCGAAAAGTCAGATGAACAATTAAAGCAGTATATAAAATCATTAACAGTAATAGTGGAAGAGCCAATGATTAAGGAAATAACTCAACAAAGATTACCTGAAATGAAGACACAAACTATGCAGCAGCACATTCAAGAAATACAAATTCAAAGGCCTGAACATCAGCAACAGATGCAACAACATCCTTTAATAATTACTAATTTAAATCCAACAATGATAAATGGACAGCAATTAATTCAAACAGCGAATGGTCAAATTATTCAAGTTCAAGGGCAGTTTGTGCAAGGTCCTAATAATACAATTCAAATGATTGCAACTAATACAGCACAACAACCTCAACTCTTACAAATTACACGGCCTGAACAAGACAATAGATTGACAGAACTTATCGTACAACCAACAGAAATGACAGAGCCTCAATTTTACGAGGAAATTCCCGTAGTTTTACAATCAGCGAATGGTCAACAGACAATAGTTAATCTTCCTCATCATCAAGTACAAGCTCTACAGCAACAAGTTCAACAACAAGTCTCACAGATGCAACAAGTTACCACAAGTAGTTCAGAACAAGACGAAATTGAAATCCATGAAGTACAAAATTATGACGATGACGAATATGGATGTGATGATTTAGAGGAAGTGATTGAAGACGATACAGAACAAGAAATTGATGCTTCCAGTACAAATACAACTTACTACCTTCATGAACGTCATCCAAATACTGACGAAAATAGTTCAGAAATTGATCAAGATCAGGTTGAGGAAAAACAACTGCTTGCAGAGTTTTTATCTCAACATACCATTTCTGAAAATCCTAATAAACACGTCTGCAATCTTTGTCAGCAAGAATTTAAGCACATGAAATGGCTCGAGCAGCATATGAAATCAATTCACAGCAATTGGATTAAAGCGAACTGTAAGAAACAGCCACAGTGCAACATTTGCCATAAAAGTTTTCGAGGGCCTGGAATGCTTAAAATGCATCAGAAGGTAAGTTCACAAATTGTTAATTAATTTTGATGTTAACAGAGCTATTTTCATAGACTCACGAACGTGAGAACAAGTTACCGACATGTAGTGTCTGTGGAAAAGAATTTAAATCAAAATCTATATTATATCGACATCGAGCGACTCACTTTGCTGATCAAAAACCACACATATGCTCGATATGTAATAAAACCTTCAATTCAAACTATCAGCTGAATGCTCATGTAGCGCGCCATCAAAAAAATCATCAATGCACTCAATGTGAAAAATGCTTTCCCAGCGCCAGTGACTTAAAGGTAATTAATTAATGTCAACTACATTACAAATTTAATTATAATTATTAATACGAGTTCTCACCATATTTAAAAACACAGAATCACATACAGCAAGAACATAATGAAAAGAAGGTAACATTAACCACGAAAACAAGCTAAGTCAATTAACCCTTTTTCGAATAAAAAAAATTATTAAAGGGAAATGAAGAATTTATGTCATCATCAACATCTATTGAGCATGCAAGGCAGGGTTTGATACTCTAACTTGATTTTATTCCTAAAGGTTCGATAAAATTCGCAAAAAAGAGGGCATTCTTCTATTCATTTTCTAATTTTGAAAGTTAGGATTTGAACCAGTTCCTTTTCAGAAAAATTTTGCTAATAACTTTATGTAAAAGAACGTATTCATTTAGATTTTGAATATATCTTACAGAAGGTTAATCACTTTCTAAAAGAATTTATTAGTTTTAAAATCCATCAAGTTTAATTCGATGAACTCCAATGATCAAAGACACGATTGGTTTATCAACCCCTTACAACTATGTCAGCAGATAGTAAAGTCCGTAAGCGAGTGCAATTTAATTTTTAACTGATGTAAAAAGAAAGTTTAAAAATAAAAAAAAAAATGAAGAAATGTATATTTAGTTCCAATTTTTTTTCTCAAGACGAAAATTGGCCTTTTCAATTTTTGTACTCTTAGTATGAACAATCAGCATAACGATCGTTGTTAATGACTTTATGAATAAATAAAATTAGACTTAATTTTAATGAAGGAAGGAAAAGAAGAGAAAAAACAAACGGACAAGTGTAAGAGAATCGGAAATGAAATGGGAGCATTCATAGAAAGGTATTTTCAATTCATGAACATGTGTTGCATTCCTCATCATTTGCCTTGTAACATCACAACTAAAACTATCCCATTGCTATGGCAATGAATTCAACAAACAAATACAAAAGGTATCAGAAGAAGTAATTTTATTCGAAATACAAGTATTAGTATCAAACATGCAGAATAAAGGAACTGTCCCGAAAATTGTTTATAGAAAAACGTCTGCAGAAATAATAAAAGAAGCTCAAAATAGCTTAGTGTCGGGCAATGGAGCTAAGCTTGTGTCGACAAAAAGACCCATAACACCAAATGTGAACAACAGACAGCTTTATGGAAATTCTTTTCCATCGGGTCGACCACCAAGTGCATTTAATTTGAAATATCTACAGTATGAAATGCGTGCACTTCCGTGTCTAGAGCCAATAAATCAATCACCAACTGGAAGTGAAGTTCAATTGAATACAAATACGAATAATACAACCATAGTTCAAAGATCAAGTTCAATAGGAACAATACATGAATCAGGATTAAAAACAACAAAACTGCCTGCCCTTCAAGAGCCAACGAATGCAATATCATCAGCAACATCCTTAAATGAGTGTAAGTAATTAAATTAATATTCATTTAAAATGCCACCGACGAATAGAAGTTTTCAATTCACTTGAAAAGATCACGCGATGGAACCATTTACCTTCAAAAAAATTTATTCCTTACATTTTATTTACATTCGTTTGCATTGAGACATTCAAAAATAGAGGATAATCGATAAAGCTCTTTTTTTATATGTATTTTTGTCCATTTCAATTTCCTCAACAAAAATAACAATACATAAAAAGCTCATTCTGAATCCTTTTTCAGTACGCGAACCGATGCCTTTGTATAACAAAGCTACTTCCCTATCGCTTCCACCTAGTCGAGGAGGCGATCCTGATCATAAACAAAAAAATTCGCAACATCCATTGAAGCGTAAACAGCCAGTATCATTTGATGAAACTGTTACACAAAATAGTAGTGGAAGTAATAATAAGAATGATGGCATGTTGAACAAGGATTTATCTAAAAATCGATTGATTCGATCTAATGACCTCAATCCGCTTATTCAATCATCAACTGATACACTTTTGGATATGCTTAAGGCTTATGCAGGTATAAAAGAGTGCTCGGACGAAACTCAAGTTCATTTGAATATGGTAATGTATAGAAATTATATCCACAAATGTATGTACATTTGATAATCTCATTGTGACACATTTTCATTTAACATAGATTTTGTTGGAGCTATATTCACGTGTCAAGGGAACGCAATGTAATAGAAGTGCAATATTGGGTGTCTTGTATGGACTTGTCGAGTGTAATTCACCTAAAATTTTACTCGCAATCGCTCGTATCGTATTATCAATGAACAATATCAGCGGAAGTAATCTAACAGGCGCATGCAAACTTGTCTTCAAAGTGGCACGAAACGAGGTAAACGATTCTCTTTTTATTGATTCTGATGTTCCTGAATTGTTAGTAGATGCGTTAGGTAGAGTTAATCCAACAGCAGAAGGTAAGGAATGTAATTTCCATAATTATTGCGCAATCATATAAATTATTTCATTGTATTTATTACATCAAAGGCGAACCTGAAGCAGCAATTTACGGATATGGCGCAATTCGGTTCTTGGCAACAGCAAATTTAAATACTTTGAATAAGAAAACGGAAAATGTTGAAGGCAAAACTATAAAAATTTCGAAACATAAGTCACTTGCATATCGACTAGTACGGGTAAATATTTGTTTCAATGTTCTTTTTATTTTCAAAATTATCCATACAAAATTATTTTGATTGCACATACATTAATATAAGAAGAGAAAATGTAGTTACATTGATATGAAATTAAGCGCATTATATTTTAACTGATCAATAGCCAAAATGAGTCGAAAACAACATTCATTCATAAAAGCACAGCTAAAACTAATAACAATAATAATTTTCGTTGATCATGTTGAACACACTATAAAACTTACGATGACTAGTCATTTCCATAGATAGACAAATTTACAATACATAAAATCGTTTGTTGACAAAATCGAGCTAAAAATATGTTCTTTTTTAAACAGCATGGTATAATTCAATTGATGATTGTTCATCTTCAAATAATAAACGAATACGGTTCAACAAATAAATTGTGTGGACAGCCATTGCATGCACTATATCAGTTATCAGGAGCTTTACGAGTACTTTCAGGTTCGCCTGTATTTGCGCAAATAATCAACATGAAACATTCACGTGCATCGTCAATTGACGAGGAGGATACTCATTTGGAAATAGCGGGGAAGCACTTAGTCAGGGCAGCTGAAATCTGTATGGATGAAATTGAAGTTCAAACCAATATAATAAGGACTTTAAGTATTTTATCGGAAATAGAATCATGTTGTGAGAATATGGCCGTAGATGCAGGTCGATTGGGAATATTATTTGGACCGATTGCTTACAACTATTCATCCACGTGCTCACCTGAGAAAGCTTTAGGAGTCATATCAAGACTTGGATATATATTAGGAAACATACATGCAAAATATGATGAAGCTAGATTAGACTTCTTCAACAATGATGCAGCTATGGAATATCTACTCAATACCTTAGAATTTTTCTCAAACCAACGTTTTGATATCAAAAATACAAACGGAGATACAGTTATGGATGCTTTAATAAAACTCATAAGAGTAATTGCAAATATGAGTGTAAATGCTGAAGTTGGATATGGTCTTGGCCTGAGACATCCGCTTGGCGTTGTCTTATTAAACATCTTATTAGAAGCTAAAGAAATTAAAACTGAAGAAGCATTAGAACTTGTTCTTGCAACACTTGCAGCCTTGCATAATTTATCATACTACCAATATAGCACAGAAGACATTAACGTTAATCATCCTGGTAGTATTATTGAGAGAATGAGAGACATAAGTGCAGCACTGTGTCAAATCTTGAGTACAGGTCCGATTACAGCAAAGTCTGAGGCAGCTCGAGTATTAGGAAACTTAACAAGAAATTCAACAGCCAGGCAGTCATTTTGTACATCAAATGGATTAAAGATTCTCGTTAAATGTCTACAATCAGATGATACGGAACTTGTTACAGCGTCATGCGGTGTTCTTGTAAATTTACTTGGCGATTGGGAAAGAAGAGCTTCATTCAAAGAGCTCAATGGAATTAAAATTCTTCGAGGAGTTTTACAAAACGCAGCAGATAATGAAGATTGGTTGCTAGCGGGCATGTGTTGTCAAGCTTTTTGGAATTTTTTGATCGATAGCAGCAATGTAGTTGAAACACTTGGCGAATGCGAGAGTGATTTATTGGGTGGTGACTTAGCTGAATATTTAGGTTTGATTCATTTGATGTTTGGTAGAAAAAAAAGATGCATTACTTATTGCCAATGATTTATTACAGATGAGGAAAGAATTTTTCAAGGTAATCCCCCGGATCAAATATGGGAGCAATTTGCACAAGTGGCAACTGATCTTCTTGAGCGTCTTCAATCATGCATGAGTATTACAAATTCGCCAATCAATACATCTGACGACGATGAGGATTTAAACCCTAGTCCGATAAAAAATGACTCCTGGGGTGGCAATTATGAAAAATGGGTACAGGATTAAAAAATAAAATCCTTAAAAAAATTTACACATTCTATTATTGTTCTTTGTTTTAACCTTAAATTACAAATCAACACACTTTGTGCTAAGGATTTAAATTCTATGGCATTGCAAGAAAAATAAGAAACTTAATAACTTCAATCATTGAAATGAATTTAATCTGTCTATATGAATGTTATGAATAAAGTAAAAAGATATATACGAAAAAAGAAGAAAAATGTTTTAAGACTTAATGTATGTAGTATAAAAGTAAGACATTGTTTAAGCTTCCTGTCGATTACAAATCATCAACTTATTCCTCGACCATAGTCGAGATACCTAATAACCACATATTCTAAATTGCAAAAATAAACGTTTCTCTCTGAATTGAAGCATAAATTGTTAACAAAATACAGTGAGAAACCACAAAATAAATTTACACCCTAAAATATACACTCGTAACATCTCAATTTATATCTTTAAGGTTCTTTCTGTAGACCAATAAAGCTTAAAAACATGTCAAATGAATGACTTAGGAGGAAACCAAATTTATTTTGTGTTGTGTAACGATAACTCTAAAATTGCACGTTTCTAATAAATTAGTTTAAATAATCAGTTGGGGATTTGGGCATTTGAGCACTAAGTTGTTCAAATGTAGTGTACTTTAATTTTACTAATAAGCTTGAGATACATATCTTACGTATTTTGACAAAAGTCAAGTAAAAACCTTGATCGAAGTATTTTTATGCTGAATAATTCCAGAATAACTCTACCACCCAGCCAGTGAAGTTCCGTAGAAAAACATAATATTCGAGAGAATTACGCTAAAAGATATATGCCTATATATGTGCAGCATATAACAAAATAAAAATGCGAAAATGATGACTAAAAGATTTACGAGATAAGAAATAAGTGAGAGAGAAGCACAAAAGTTGAGGAATTAAAAAAGCCCATAAAGATCAAAAGAAGCGAATGTGCATTGTGCTAAGGTCAGCATCATAATGCAAAATTTTTATATTTTTTGGCTCCAATTCGTCTGCAAGTTTTCAAAATCTGCATTAAAATGAAAATGAAATAAAAATAAGGTATGTTCTATACATATGAGTATGGTTATGAGGCTATCTATTTTAAAATTTTTCATGAATTACGAGCCGTGAAATGCAAGTCATTCAATAATTCATCCACTAAAAATATAACATTTACTATCTGTAACGAAAGTTTTTTTTGAATTGTGGGTTGATGTGACTCATTCGAGATTTTGTCGTGATCATATGGTGACTTTTAGACACGCTGTATGCTACTCACAGTACATAAATATTTTTAGTTCAATATATAAATTAAGAATTAACCTTTCTAAATATATTTCAAGTAATCAAAATATTCGCGTATACTACTCGTATTTTCATACATACTATACATGTATATGAATGATCCTTATGAATTAAAAGAGAATAAAAATGTTTGGCAAACATGAAAAAAAAGCAGGCAGAAGAAAACAGAAATGAAGAAAATCATTAATTTATGAATTCTCTTCAACAATATAAAAGATCTCATAATGCACCGGAACTAAAAGCTACACTGGGCCGTTGAAGGTACACACTCATATTTCTTCATTACGATGTGATTTTGATTCTACCCTGAAAGGCATATTCAAAATTCTTGAAGAAATGAGGTGGAGATGGAAGCAAGCATGTATTGCAATTCATTTCTCTCATCTTTTACCGCGTCATTGAACTGATAACGAAGAATGAACATATTCTCTTATTATTTTTTTGTGGACCGAGAACATGCAACTGTAGGGACGGGTAAGCCACACTTGAAAGATTTCAATGAAGTTCTATCAATATTGAGGCATCTCTACCAGTTGTTGGTGATCCTTGCATTTTTGGATGTATGAAATCATTAAGAAATTAATGGTAACTTATTACATGCAAGCTTTACTTTTATGATCGACAGATAAATTTCATTTCGCGTCAAATCCATATACGAATATATATAGAGCATGCAATGAAGAAACAACAGACTCTCTGTCTTCACTGATCATAACTGCATATAACAGAAACTGCACAAAAATAAGCAACATTTGGTTATGGTACCAAATCGATTACGTTCTTCTCTCGTGTGATCTGTTTCAACATGAAAGCCTTCGCCGCTCTTTTTGCCCGACGGGGATCTCTTGCTGTTTTTTTTTCATGTACCTCTATACCTCTCTTCATAAAACGATGATGAAAACATAATGTTTCAGGTGTGTCGAGTGATCGCTGTGGTAAATATTTTCATGACACATCACATTTTTCGCTGTGCTCCCACAATTCGATATGGAGCAAAATCAAACAAATCTAATCGAAAATTCAATTAAACAAATTTTTTTCTCTCTCTTTCTTTTCATTCATCGTCGCGGGTCGTAGTAAATTATAATGGATTTGTAGAGTAAGTCACAGATAAATAAAAAGAAATCAATTTGAATAAGAAAATGAGATTTCAATTGATTGGTTTTTAAAATTCATTGACAAAAGGCTTCCTGAGGAACCCGTTAGGCAACAACAAAAATTAGATAAATCATATTCATGACCACATCCAAAAATATCTATAGATGGACCATTGATTCTTACACTTTCTTGATTATTATAATCAAGCATACTACAAAAGATTAAGTAAGTAAGCAATTTCCGCACAATAATTCAAAACATAGCTACAACAACACACAGCATCATACATTCATGAATCTTTAACTTTAAATTCCTCTTTCATTCAAGACGAAAATTTTCATCATGCTCCAAATAGAGAAAATCGGCTCAAATCAAATTTCGTTGATCCGGTCTATAGTCGTCTATAGATTTACGTGTGTGTCTGCCTGCCTGCTTCTTTATAGTCAACGTAAATCTAAATAATGTATATCTGCAATGCGATGATTAATTTCCGTCTAAATGAAAGAACAAAAAGGCTCCAAAAAAAAAACTTTGCTAGCAAGAACAGCAAAAAATAAGCCGAAGCAGCAAGAATATTTAATCTTATGAGATGATTCAGGTGGAAAATTAATTACGCTATGGCTCATTTTCATGAAACTGTTTGAAATCTGGTTCACATGGAGGATTAAATGCTTTCGATGGATGATCAATTGGACAAAACCATAGTTCCCATAATTTTAAAAAGATCAATTGCTGGCCATTCATCAAAATGAAACAAGAACTTGATCTCATGCGGATTGACTTGCATCATATTTTGTTGTATCTCTTCGTAGCGCCTTTAATAAAAACAAATAAAAATTCCATTCGAATAAAGTGCGCAGACTAATTAATTCCTCCTCTTTTACTACCTTCTCTCTCTCTCTTTTTTTATTACTCATGTTAATATTATGAAGTGATGCTGGAATTCAGTTAGAAAATTGATTGCCACCAATTAATAATAATAAAAATCAGATCCCATCCTCATCATTGTATAATTTTTCTTTGCTTCTCTCTCATTCTATCCTCTCCAGTTCCTCTTTTTATTCTCCTTCGTCTTCGTTCTGGCTTTTGTTTTATCCACCTCTTTTCTCAGCTTCTACAATGAGATTTAAAGTTTGAAAGATCTAATTTAACGAATCTTAGAATAGCGCACTTTAAGTCTGTGAAATTCTTAGTTGATTAGGATTGAACAAATTGGTAGTATTATGTGACGAAATTGTGATAATGAGGAGAATGCTGTTAATTGAAGAAGTCTCATTGTCGTTGTTAAGAATTTTGAGAGATAATAAAATGAGAAATATGCAGAATATTATATGAAAATAAAAGTTTCATTCATTGAAATTGAAAACTTGTCGAAATTGTTTCTCAAACGTTTTGGCGTTGAAATATATTAAAAATCGTTTGAGAAACAACCTATACTAAAATAAGAATTTGAAATCAACTTCTCAAAAAGATCCTAGGTTTTTTTGACTTAAGTTAACCAAAGATTGTTCAATATTAAGTCTTGAAATTCAATTTTTGATTAAAAGTTCAATTTTATATTGAAAAACTTGGAAAAACTCGAAAAACTCTAAAATTTATTTGAATTAAGAAAACCAATTAAAAACTTAATTAAAACTTTTAATTATGCAACTATTTTTAAATTACCTTCATTGCATTGATTTCCACGCCATATAAATTTCTTATTTTATTAAACAATTTGACATGGAATTTGGCAATATCCGTTTTTTCGAACACAGTAAAAAAATCTTTTGACAATGAATTATTAATTAAACTTTTTAGTATCAACCTAGTAATGTACAAAAAAAGTTTTATGGTTAAATTTGAAAACAAAAAACCAAAGCACCTAAATTGCAAAGCACGTTAAAGTAACTTGTGTTAATTATTTTACATTCACTTATATCTTCTTAGGGGCCGTTCACTTATTACGTTACGCAAAAAAAACAACTTTTTAACCCCCCTTGTTACAATATGTTACAACTCACAACCCCCCCCCCCCCCCCCTTATCGTTCATAATTTCATAATTTTTCATAAATCATTAAAAAGGCGGAAAATTTTAAAAAAATGTTTTTGTTGTGAATTTGTAAACAAATATTTTTCGTGAATTTTTTTTAAAAGACAGACGACAGTTAAAACGTTACATACTTCTTGACACCCCCCCCCCCCCTATGTTAAATATTGTTACAATTTTTCAAACCCCCCCTCTCCCCTAAAATGCGAACGTAATAAGTGAAAAATGTTGTCATATATTGTCTTATGTCACAAGCAACCTTAAAAGTCCTCTTTATATTTGTTTTCAAAAACCACACAGACATTGCAGACATAAAAACCAACATTACAACACATAAAATATATCAGGCTAAAAATCCCCAAAGATCTCAGCTTAACTCATCTCATCAAACGATATATATTTTTTTTCCCAAAATGAATCAAAAAAGTCGAAGAGTAAAAATTTGATCTCGCCATTCATCATTGCAGCATTGCTCTCATCCAAGACTATCTTTTTTTTCTATTTTGATTATTTTTTGTTTTCGTTGGTTCCTTATGATTCAAGAAATTGTAAATGACCATCGATTATTCATCAAGCAACATTTTCCTCTTAAGTAAATTAAATGTAGAGCTAATTAGTCGTACATCAATGTAAACTATTTTTCTGCTCCATTCTTGGATTAACGCCAATTAATCAATGCAAAGAGAAGAAAAAGCCCTTTTTTATGTTTTTTAAACACCATGGGAACTTTTTTACTTCTTCTTATATCTCCTATAACTCATTATTACTTACTCTCTTTTTGTTTTAATAGAGGATTCACGCATATAATATAAATATAAATACAAATTTTATTATCAATGGATCGTTTACTTAAAGTATAATATATTGTATTATCATTATAAAAAAAAATATGTACACAATATTATGTGCCTAAGGCGGAGTCAACAACAACAACACTTCTTCTTGATCTCCTTTACTGATCATGCATCGCTAACGTTAGAGTGAGGCAGACATACTCACATCTCATGCTAAACGTGTCTCTATCTCACTCGCATCCACAGACAGAATTGAATGCTTTTCAATTGGACATGAGTTCTCTATATTGTGCCGGTTTTGAGACCCTTTGACTGTGTAAACCAATCTGTGCACAGTTTATTGTTAGATTTCATTGAGATCGGCACGCGACGCAGAACGGAAAGAAGTTTTTAAAAAATTGTGGAATAAGATTTTTATATACTTTTGTGAATCATTAGATTCGCTTCTATAAGAGAACTGTCGTGTGTTATATCCCACGCAAAATTCTTGTGATTATATTATTTTGATGCAAATAAGGAATATTATACAAAAAAATAAAAAGAAGAAAATATACAAAGGAATATTAATATAATTAGAATTAATATTTTATATCTATTATTAAGTGTGAACAAAGTGATAAAAGTGAATAAATATAAATTATGGATATATCAGGATCAATAAGCAATAGTAGCTCTCTCAACATGCGACCTCTCTTTGCTGGATATCCATTTCAAGGTATCATCTATCAAGATTCCTTTCAAGGTCCTAACAAATTTGATTAAAATATGACTTGAGTGGTATAACGGAATCGCTAGATTACTGTCATATCACTAAGCTAATCGCAATGCTTTAAAGCAATGTTTCTCAAGCTTTTGAAGTCGCGAAACAATAAATTTTTGTTGATCTTTCGCAACATAAAGCATAGTTTGAGAACTACTGCTTTAAAGAGAATTGGCGGTAATTAGCTTATTCACATTGCAGTTTGCTTTTGTCAATAAACTCTAACCTTTATTTAAAAGTTTTGTTGACAAATTGACACCAAATTTCCATAATTACAAAGTATGGATCATTTGATTACATTCTAAAACATAATATTCAAACCAAAACTCGAAATGAAAATTAATGAGGATATTCATTTATTATTAAAAGTCAACTCCAATCATTATCCATCAACCAGCACCAAAGAAATCAATCAATAACTCAAAAGAAATCTTGAAAAATGCACCAAATGCCATATGCACCATAACTAATACGAGACCGTTGATTTAAAAATTTGTGACTTTTAATTTTGCTGTTCCTCATCTCTAAAATGCAACTGGCAAGGGAAATAGTTTCAATTTTTCACGCCATTCCAAAAAAAAAGTTTTTATGTGCGCACATACATACGTACAATATTCTATTTCCCTGACGTTCGTCGAGTGAACAAAACTCAACCCCTGTCCCAATAATTGAAACCAATTTACAACCTTTAAATAGCTGCTACTAGTGAAATATGTATCTAACATTTCTGAATGCATCAAAAGATCCAGAACGAATCAATTTCATTGGCTAAGAAATTTCCACGCATTTATATATACATATGAGTCCCTTCTATTTTGTTGTATTTATAAATCGGGGGTTACAGTATTTGTTGTTGTCGTCTCATTGATGATGATGTTGCAGCTGGTAGTCAAGTCAGCTGCCAAAGAATCTTTCTCTATAGATTTTTCTCTTCTTTATTACCTTAATTTTTTAATTTATGAGAAATAAAAAAGTTTAATTAAAACATTTATTAGCCAACAAAATCTCATATTTGATTATTAAAATGTGATAATTTTAGGACAGGGTCGTGTGAATCAATTAGGCGGTGTATTTATAAATGGAAGACCACTTCCTAATCACATACGATTAAAAATCGTTGAAATGGCAGCTAGTGGAGTTCGTCCCTGTGTAATATCACGACAGCTTCGAGTATCTCATGGATGTGTATCAAAAATATTAAATAGATATCAAGAAACCGGAAGTATCCGTCCCGGTGTGATTGGTGGAAGTAAACGTAAGTTTAATATGGATTTTTGGGGTGGTGAATTCATGATGTGCTTTAGATGTATTCAAAGTGATGCAAATCAATGTGGAATTGTCTATGATATTTAAGTTTGGATTATAGTTAAACCTTTAAGAAGATTCAGAATCAAGCTTTGAAGTTCGAATTTAATTTCATCGAAGTTGTTTATAAGCTACATTGTCTTTCAACTAGCTTAAAATCTGATAATAAACAGTCATGCTTCTCACTTGTTCACTCGTTGTTGTCACTTGCATTTTCATATCCCAATCAAATTAGACCGTGAAAACTCCAGATGAAAAAGTTTTCTTAATGATTCACACAAAATTTGATTTTCGCGCTCTATTAAAATTCTATTAATTAAGGTTAAGCAAGCAAGCTTCCAGGAAATAGCATTTAAATAATAATACCACTAAATGAACGGAAATCTCGTTAATAAAGATATTCTTCCTCCTAATATTGAATTGGATTGGACTATATGGATTTTTGAATTAAGTTGTTCGATTCATGAAATGGCTGTTACGAATTTAAGAATCAATTAGTTTCCGATTAACTGTATCGAATTTAAAGTGTACTGTTTACTTTAGAACTTTGTTCTACTGATTATGCAAAAACAATTTTCTGGTGCCTCAATTTAATATTTGCTATTGATTTTCATACAAATTAAGCTTCAACAAATAATTATATAGTAAAGTGCGATTGAAATATCTAAACAGAGTTTACAATTGAGAAAAGTAAACAACATAAATCAATAAATCGTTTGTGAGTAGTGCAAACTTAATAAAGTTTATGTCTACAGTAGCCTGCAGCTTAATTGAGCAGGTTGAATTTATAAAGGAAATATCTTATTTTTAGTAAAACGGATTATTATTAAGTGAGGTTCAAAATGACTTCTCATGGTAAAATTTAAGTTTTTTTAAATTGCTTATGTTTTTACTTAAATTATTAGGATGTTCAAGGTTCATAATATTAATTTTAAAATTAGCAATGATCTTTGTTTCACGAATAATTTAAATAACTTGCCTTTTTCCATTCATTTTTTTTTTCAATCAGCAATAATAAAATAGTGAAGATTTTCTTTTATAGTCCAAAAATCGTAATATACCCTATTTTCTTATTAAATCAAATAAAAAAATAAATTGTAAAAATCTTAAAAATAAATTTAAATCTAAATCTCAAAAATTCGTTCATTGACAGCAATCAAAATTTATCACTTTTCAAAGATCAATAATAAAAATCAACCGAATATCAAATTCACAAGAAATCGACAGACTTGATAAAATATTTACGCTACTTAGTTGGGATTTGCTAATTACTTAAGCTAATTACGTTTTTGAATACATCTAAAATGCCGTGAATTTTTGATAATAATCTCATAAAAAGTTTGAATATCATTAAACCATAGAAAACATTACAGCACGTGTTGCAACGCCTGAGATAGAAAATCGGATAGAGGATATGAAAAAGGAAAATCCGGGAATATTCAGTTGGGAAATAAGAGAAAGACTGATAAAGGTGTGTAGAGTTTTATAATATTAGTAAGTCAGTATGATTTTTAAAATTCGAGACACAATAGAACCTCTTAAATTGATACGACATTTGTAAAGCATCAAACAATTAAATTGTTTCCAGCACTTATGGATTGTATTTATGATGGTGTATATATGTATGCATTAAATGGCCTTTTTTATGAGTTTAATATTAAGTTTTTAAATTTCAATTTTTTAAAATTAAATTAAAAGAAGATTTGTAGATTTTAAAAAAACAATTAAGGTCAACAGTTCAAATCTCGTATTCTTCGTTAATATTAAAATCCTTCCCAATTTCAATCGATAAAAGTTGTAATTAATCTTTTACTTAATAAATCTTTCAATAATAAATAAAAAGTCCAATCAATCAATTTAAGAGGCATATTTGCTGTCAAAATGAGAGACTAAAGAAATGCTCTTGTGCTCTTAATTGACGAATTTAACTTTATATTAATAATATGACAAAACTCCTTCAACAATAAATAATAATAAAAATGAATTTTTAAATAAATGCAGGAAGGTGCTGTTGATCCACCATCAGTTTCATCAATATCAAGATTACTTCGTGGAGGCATCGGAATCGATAGAAAAGATGATCGAAAGGACTACTCTATTCATGGAATTCTGGGTGGTAAGTAATCATAAAAGCTACTTGAAAGAATCTATTAGGTGGATTGTACTTGAGTAGAATAATACCATTGTTGATTTTTGTCTGATGATGTCACATCATATGAAATTAAGAAACTTACTGAAACTGAGAAAAGCTGACAGTTTACACGTCCTTCAAAGAAATTCCTTTTCAATCTGACACTTTCAGAATATCACAGACGCGTCGGTGATATTCAAGAGTATTAAAATATCATTGCAATAGGATTGCGCTTCATAATACATGCTAATTTCCAACAACATGCTTTCATTAATGTGCTTAAATATGGAAAACATATTTATGATCAATTAATGTTTTCTTGTTTTCTAGTTTCTGTGACCATTCACGCTGTTCCAACCTCCCAAACTATCTAATTAATTGATTGATTATAATCGTCAAGAAGAAAGAGAAATGAGATAATCTATGCATTTTTTTTTTTTGTGGTAGTCACAAAACGATAAAGGAACCTGTGAACAAATTGCTCGTCTTTTAATTCCATTCATTTGATGTTTTTGTTATGTGTCAACGTTTTTGTTATTCACAGTTTGCCTTCACACATCGCATTCCTTTTTCGGCTTCGTTTGATGATCATTCTGTTGATACAGGGAAGGATCGAGTCGGATAGAAAGAGTGAGAAAAAGAATTATAAAGTTAAATATCACACATCTTTCGTGTTCAAATTTATATTTTTTTTTCATATTCATCATTTATTATTTTATAAATAAAGAATATAAAAATAAATGTAAGAAGCAGCAGCCCTGCTTGTTCAACTCACACTACGCTCACATATATTTTTTTTGAAATGGGAATAATTTCTTGCACAAAAGGGATTTGCATATGAAACAGTATTAATCACAATTCGGCGATGCTTATGAATGGACATATTCAGGTTCATAAACACCAACAACGGTGTCTTATATATAAAGTCATTCTTACATGCGGTCTCATCAAAGGGCAATTAAGGCTTTACTCTTTATGAATTCTTACTGTATAAGTGTGTATTGGATATTGCTTCATATTTTTGTAACTTCCACGTGATAATTTGAAGAAAAAGAAGGAAGCTGTCACGCAGTCTGATGTGAAAAGCAAGCAAGTCTCACACTGACGTTAAATATTATAATAATTCAGTTCCTTTGAGCATAATTCAAAATATATGTTGAATTCGTACACAAAAAAAAAATAAATTAATTAAAACTGCAAAATCATTTCGATTAGCAATAATTTTAAAGGAAATGGTTTACTTTGAAGTTCACATTGACATGTTTATGAAGAATTCTATTGAGCTGCAAATAGATATAGATATAGCTTATTTGTCAAGTTTTAAGCAGAGATCTTGCAAAGAGATCCAAACCTAATATAATTTCATCCAAAAACCCAGGGTTGCAATATGTGATGACATGTCAAAAAAATATTTCCTGTGACACCTAAAATTATGTCACACATTTTACATGTTCACACTGGTTCACACATTTTTTTCTGCGATATGTCAAACATATTTCCTGTCAAACATATTCATGTGTCCACATATTTTACCTGTCACATATTTTATGTGTCACATATTATGTTTTTCTAACATAAAATATGTTTTTCCGTTTTTTTTTTTTGGAATCCAAATTATATTAAAAAGGTCCAAAAATTAATTATATTCACACCGTTTTCACGTGTGAATCTATTGGTTTTGTTCAGATTGAAAAATCAGTTTTTCGCATTTTGTGAGAAAACAAAGCAAAATTGGTTATAAAAGGGCAAGAAGAAAAGTTTGTGCCTGAAATTTTACATCATTTTCAAAAAACAGATTTCAAATTGGTTGTGGCATTGCTGAGAAAATCGCAAAATACGCTTTCTGTAAGCAAACAAGCAAGCAAGCAAGCAAGTTAATCAGCAAGAAATCTCAATAACGAGACATCGTAGAGACTTCTAGTTTTTTACATTTGATCCGTGCTGCTCTTTAGAAGAGCTGTATTGTTTTTGGGCAAGGTAGGAACAGCCGTTGCTTCAGAAATGGCAAAAAACTTTCCTTTCTTACGAATTTTTCAAAACAAAAGTTGACTGTGATTTTTATAAAATTCAACTTTGGATGAAAATTTTTTTTAAAAAACTTTTAAAGAATATTTGGCATATTCGTCAAGCTTTATACCTTCAAACTTATGCTGAGCGTAGCTCAGCTGACTCGATAGCTTTATATCTTCAAACTTATGCTGAGCGTAGCTCAGCTTACGCGATAGCTTTATAACTTCAACTTATGCTGAGCGAAGCTCCACTGCCTCTCTAGCTTCATATCTTCAAACTTATGCTGAGCGTAGCTCAGCTGACACTCTAGCTTTATATCTTCAAACTTATGCTGAGCGTAGCTCAGCTTACGCGATAGCTTTATAACTTCAACTTATGCTGAGCGAAGCTCCACTGCCTCTCTAGCTTCATATCTTCAAACTTATGCTGAGCGTAGCTCAGCTTACGCGATAGCTTTAGAACTTCAAACTTATGCTGAGCGAAGCTCAGCTGCCTCCATAGCTTCATATCTTCAAACTTATGCTGAGCGTAGCTCAGCTGACACTCTAGCTTTATATCTTCAAACTTATGCTGAGCGTAGCGCAGTTTACGCGATAGCTTTATAACTTCAAACTTATGCTAAGCGAAGCTCAGCTGCCTCTCTAGCTTCATATCTTCAAACTTATGCTGAGCGTAGCTCAGCTTACGCGATAGCTTTATAACTTCAAACTTATGCTGAGCGAAGCTCAGCTGCCTCTCTAGCTTCATATCTTCAAACTTATGCTGAGCGTAGCTCAGCTTACGCGATAGCTTTATAACTTCAAACTTATGCTGAGCGAAGCTTAGTTGACTTATCAAGCTTCATACCTTCATACTTATGATGGGCAAATCTTGGTCTATCCATAAGACTTATGATAGTACGGTGTGAATATAATCCGCATTGGGTTTCTACCCGATACACTAGTTTTCTGTCAAATTTGACTCTAAGCATATCATTAATGCTAAAAAATCAAAAAAGTGAAAATATTGAGTGACAACAACATTATTTACTGCTTAAAAATAACATTTTCCAATTTTTTCTGCTCATTTTTTACTAACAGGAAAGGTTTCTTAAGGTCCAAAATTGATAAAATTTAAATTTTATCCAACTTAGACCGAAAAATCAAAAAATTTATAAAAAAATATTTTATGTTTGAAAAGCATATTATGTGACAGGAAAAATATGTGGACACATGAATATGTTTGACAGGAAATATGTTTGACATATCGCAGAAAAAAATGTGTGAACATGTAAAATGTGTGACATAATTTCATGTGTCACACATAAAATATGTCACATATATGCGCATATTCTGTAAAACATAATGTTTTTGCAACCCTGCAAAAACCTTTAAAACTTGGCAATTCATTGAATTTAAACTTTGCGAACCCCAAGAAATCCTCAAAACATGATCTGATTTTATTACAACTTGCTACCAGACTCATAAATGCAGATTAAAATAAGAATGTCTATTCAGTTCTCATTTATTTTTTTTTTTGCAAATCGATAGAAGTAAACCCACTGCGCGAGGACTTCTTAATTCATTTCATTTTTAGTCTCCCGTGCTCAGTGTATCCCAAAATTAGACGTTTTAACATCAGAGAAACAGAAAGATTATAATAAATTAATCCGACAGATGATTTATTTTTGTATAGTTCTAAATTAAAAATCTTAAAATAAAAGAAATGAGAAGTCTCGAATCATAAAACGTCCTTGGATATTGAGAAAAAAGAGTTACTTTATCGAGTAAGGTGGCAATAAAAAGATATTTTATGATAACAGTAGCAATATTGCATTCAAGGAATTTTAAAGAGTGTTAAAAGATTTGTTTTATTTATTTAGGAGCTTATTTATTTTTAACACTTTTTAATTAACGCCTGTTTTTTTCGGCTATTTTCTATTGATAATGAGAAAGAAAGAAATGCTAGGGAACCAATCAACAAGCCAACCACACACATTCTTATAGTATTTCATTTGAAGAATATTTCAAAAGGTGTGAAAATCTAATTAAGTCGCATCTCTCTTTCGGTATGGAATAAGAAGCTGAGATCTATTAGCATAAATTATGATTGTTTATGATGATTATTTTCTCACCTCTCTCGCTCTCGTCTTGCGTTTATGCCTTTTATTCTTACTCTTTCGATTCTTCCTCCCTTCTCTGTTAACCGGCGAAATTAGATGATGAAAATAAAAAAAGAGACTTGCATTTCGGAAACTTCTTTCATCTTTAACATTTTTATGACTCTTTTGCTTTGTTTCTTCGGTGGGATATAAAACGTTATGAGAAATGATCAAGTCAAGAACTTGCCACACAGAGAATATTTTAACAAATTAAAAAGCGATCTTCATTTAAAAGATTTATTGATAACTTTTATACTCTTTATTACATAAAATATGTATAGGAAGAGGCTCAGACTCTGATAGCGAAACTGAATCTGAACCCGGTATTGTGCTGAAACGAAAGCAACGAAGATCTAGAACTACTTTTTCTGGCGATCAACTTGAAGCATTAGAAAAGGCATTTGCTAGGACTCAATATCCTGATGTGTATACGAGAGAAGAATTAGCTCAAGGAACTGGGCTTACTGAAGGTAAACTGCATATTTGCTCTTTAAAATTTTGTCAAACTAATAAATATCTCTTAAAACAGCTCGAATCCAAGTATGGTTCTCAAACCGTCGAGCCAGATTACGAAAACATTCAGGAACTACTAACATGGGCCCACCCCTAAGCACTATTTCACAATACCATCATCATAGCTCATCAATGCCCAATGAATCATACCCAATGATGAACGGATACGAATTCCTTAATTCTTCAGGACATCAAAGTTCTTTCCCATCATCTTCACTCGGAAGCTTTCAACATACTCCTTTCCCTAATCAAACTCAAAGCTTCAACTCAAATCCAATGCATTTCAATCAAAATCAGGGTGAGTTTTGTGATATTTTACGTTCTTAGCTTTTAAACTTTGAATCACTTTGAATCTTTAAATTGTTTAACAAGATTTTATTGTTATTTTGTGCCATATTGAGCTTTTATATTGAGATTTGAAAGAACTCTCAAAAATGAGTTAATTCTGTAATTTTTGAGTTTAATCCAAAGTGTTACTATTTGATTAACTTTGTTAAAGATTTTTAACTAGTTTATAACTTAATCTAATGCTCATAATTGAACTCATTCACTTAGAACTAGGGTTCGCCCACATGCACAAATTTTACAAAAATATTTTTTTTATTTAATTATATTCCTTTTATCATATTTATCAAAAAATACGATAAAAATGTTGAAGTGCGCTTGAAAACTGCTTAAAAAGACAGGTTCCTACATCAGAACACTTCTAATTTGACCTTCTACTCACAAGATTTGGTGTCAAATTGATCAAAAGTGTCCAAATAATCATTATTGAGACATATTGAAACGATTCCAGCAAAAAGTAGAAGTTGTAATTTTTTTTCTCAGATATACATGCGCATGTCAATTTGGCGAACCCTACTTAGAACTCGTTTTTAAATATTTCGAAAATCTCCAAAGTATCGATTGCTAATAAAAAGGCACGTAAACCTTTAAAGAACTTAATAAAGGCATAAAAGAACTCTCCACTTATTTCCATTCCGAACGTATCTCTCCCTCAAACAACATACAATTTTATTTAAATTACATGTATTATCCACAGATTATTCATCAAAGCATTTAACTGAACCACAAGATGCAATTATCTCAAAACCATCAATAAGTCCCACATCGTCTTCGCACGTAATTTCGTCGGAAGCACCGTACGCAAAGCATCATATCGAAACGACCAACAGTTGGCCAACACAAAGCTACCAATCACAACAGTACTCATTACCAACGAATGTTCCATTAGATTATCATCAATCTTATACAAACTCAACAAGCAAATATTGGTCTTAAGTAAAATGAAAAAAGAGACATAAATAAATATACTTTATACTTTTTTTACAACAATTGAATATATTGTGTTGTTCATAATACATTAATTATTATCTTCATTGTGATTCATCGGAAATGTTAATATTCCTCATTTGTCTTATGGCTGCTATTAATTTATGATCAGCGCCAGTACTTACAGACAAATAATTTTGTGGTTTAACTTTAAGTAATTGAGCAATATGCTTCAATTGACTCGAGAGAACTAAACCGAGTTCTTCCAATACATTCTCAAGATATTCGATATCTGTAGCTAATTGTTTTGCCTCACCGTCACCAATCGAATTAATTTGTCTGATTTTACTTTGATACAATAAGCAAGTCTCATCCGCAATTATAGACAATAGAACATCAGCACTAGGAATATTTTCTTTATAGTTCTCGTCACTCATTTCTAGAGCAACTTTTAGTGGTTTCGACGGATGTAAAAGTAACGGTTCCAAATGTTGTGGAAGAGTTAATAAAAATTGTCCAATTTCCGTTATGTAGCTTAATGGTGACAAACTGAAATCAGGCAAATCTGCTGATGATGATGAATTAGAATCGCTAATTTCCAATGACTTAAAGTAAGTATCAATTGGAACAAAGACATTACGCAGCATCATTTCATGGGATTCTTTAGCAACTGACTCAATTGGATTTAATAAATTTTCAAATATTATCAGTTCTTTAAGTTCATTAGATAAAAGGCGTGAAACGTATTTGGAGAAGTCATTAATGTCACGTTGACCGACAATTTTGTAGCAAAACTCTTCCTTTGTATTAATTTTCTTAGATTTTGCCAGAATTAACTTTCTAATTTTGTCTTCGACCTCATCAAGTTTAGACTTAAAGACACCGACATTTTGAAGCAATGAAATACAGATTTGCAGTAAGTTCCAATCTTGTTGGTCTGAACGACTTGCGTCTAATTGGAGCTGAGCTTTCTTAAACTTTTCTAGATATTTGGTCTTGAAAAATGTATTGAGGATGTAAATTATGGATATTATTGCACAATCTTGTGTTATTGAACTTTGACGATCGATCGATTGATGAACCCATTCAAAAACTTTATAAATGGAATTTTCCAAGCATCTAACTGTTTCACTTCCGTTCGTTTGCATTATTTTCAGTGTCTCAAAATCAGAATCAAGATTTGACTGCTCTAATGTTGAATAAGTTACAATAAAGATATTAAAATAGTTAAATATGGAATGTGATAAGGATGTCATCTTTTCATTTGGAACTAAAGTTCCAGAATCTTCAATTTTCTCACGAATTGCATCTGAAAACTTAACATTTGATTGAGATACTTCAAGTAGTAGTTCCATTTTTTCGTTAATTCTTTTCAGATAACTACTTATTACAGATTCTCTTGATGGATGTAAGGACATAAGTGTCTCAGAAATGATTGAAACTGTCTCAATTACTCCATCGCATGAAAATACTTCTCGATACCATCTAAGATGCTTATTCCAATTAGTCAAAAATACCTCATAGAAATCTGATAAGAATCTTGGATTGTCTGAATTTTCAACACCTCCACTAATTTCTATCCAACTTCTCCTAAAGTTCTCTTGCTGGATTGTCGCGTAATAATTTTTCATTTGTGGCAATCGTTCGATCTTTCGGAACATTTCAACGAATCTTAGAGACTCTTCAATATGTCCTTCCTTTAAAACTCTTACTACGTCACTAGTTATTGTAGCTTCAAGTCTGTTCTTAAATTCTTCCAATTTTAATTCACGATCAGTTTCACCTGCTAATCCTTTTTGTGCTTCATACGACTTTTGTAAAGCATGCAATTTCTCACAAGCAAGTGCCAAATCCTTTGGCTCGCTGAGATCTTCAAGTAAACTTTCCAGTTCCGATGTAAGTTTAGAGAATGAGTCATTTTGTTCCAAAAAGTTTTTAGCAGCTTCCAACTTAGTCTTTAAATTATCAAGTCTCTCGAGATTAGCCATACTGAATGCTGTTTCTGTCTTTGAGATGTCCTTCTCTAGTTCATTCATTTTAGCCTTCAGTGTCACTGCTTGTTGCTTTAATCTTTTCGTCTCATTCGCCAATATTGGCATGCAGCTAACGATATTCGTAGATATGCTGTCAATTTCTTTGTTTGCATCATGTACATGTTGTTGGAGATTTGAAACTATCTCATTTACTTTCGTCTGTGAATTATTAAAGGAATTAAGATCCAGTAAATATTGATTTCGTGGCATAACTCACCTCTTTTTCATTTTTCTGTAAATCCTTCAATACGTAATTAATCCACTCGATCTCATCGAAATCATTGTCACTGCTGAATGCCGAAAAGTCCTTTAGAATGAGAGATAATAATGGATTTACTAAGTTATTTAATAAAATATAATAGCTTACCATTTTTAAAAACAAAACAAAAATCGGTGTCAAGTGCCATGCCCCGCTGAAAATGTGTGAAAATTGAAATAAAAGCATTATTCCAGCATAATTAAGCATATTCGACTATAGTTATCTTTTATCCACTAAATACTATTGATTGATACGATTTTCAATGTAAATATGGGTGCCGGAAAGTCAAAGGTAAGACATAAATCATTCTAGAAGTTATTAGATAACATTTATTTTCTTATTTTCGTCATCCTTAAAAAATTGTGAAAGTTAAGTTAAATATTTACTGGATGTACTTAATGATCTATTTCTTGATTATAGGAATCAAATACAAAGAGCTCAGCAACTGTGGATTTTACACGATTCAAGGTAAGACAATTCAAGATACAGGAATAAAGTTGTGCATTAATACTTCCATAAATAGGCTCGAGTTGCAAAAATTAATATTAATGGACTGGATAGGACGAAAGATGATTATGTGCAGCGAGCATGTAAAAAGCTCTTTGCTGCCAAGACTTTCCAAGATGTGCTCATGGAAACAAATCAGTAAGTTACAACCCAGCATCATCAAATTGAGCACAGATGGATGTTATTAATATTTCGGCATAAACTTATTTTTAGTGCATACGAAAATCTTATAGAACTAGGGATTTATAAGAACTTGAAAGCTTTTATTGATTCTGACAAGTCTGCAAATGCATCACAGAACGGCTATGTCGTGTCGTTTGATGGTGATGAATTAACAAGGATAACTGGAACGATTGGAACTGAAATCGGTCAAAATGATGGAGCACTTACAGCTGAATTGGTGTCACCCAACATTTTTGGACGTGGTGAACGATTGAGTATTAATTATAGCTACAGTTACATCAAGGCAACTGAAATGAATCTTAAGTTTCTCAAGCCATTCTATCACACAGAGTTTGGTGATTATAAACCTGAGTAAGTTTCTGTTATATCCAACCTGTTTAATATTATGACAATTTGATCTTATTTGCAGGACTTCCATAACAATTTTCCGTCATTCGAATGTATTTCCATGGTCACGTTTCAAGTCTGATCATGCTGGTTTTCTGCTAGACTTTTCGTTTCTTATGCCACTATCAATTACTCATAGTTTACAATATGAATGCGGAATGAAAGAAATATTTGCGAGCAATAAGCAAACACCTTTCTTCATTCGACAAGAATGTGGTCCCAGATTGGCATCAATATTTCGTCATATTGGAGCTTATGATACGCGTGATGATCGCGTATTTCCAAGTCAAGGCATTTATGTACGTACGACAAGTGAACTTATTGGCGATAAACTATCAAATTATGGCGCAGTCAAGTGCGATGGTCATGTTGAAATGAATGTACCTCTATTTGCTGGCATGTCATTGCAATTGTCTGGACGATTGGGAAAATTGTTTGAAAATCAACGAGTAATGAAGCCACTTCCAATTGATAGCTTATTCTTCCTTGGTGGTCCACTATCCTTACGTGGTTTTGATCCAGCTGGAGCAACACCTTCACAAGAAGGTTTACCAAAAGGAAGTAGAGTTTATTGGGCAACAGGTTTGCATTTATGGGCACCGCTACCATTTAGTCGTTATTTCGGTGATTTTGGTGATCTCTTCCGCACTCACTTCTTTTACAATTTTGGAAACTGTGACACATTATCACTAGGTAATAAAACCATTATATTTTACATTAAATTAAAGGTTTTAATCTAGTTCCGTTTGTAGATAATTTGAGAATAGCTGCTGGCGTGGGGCTTGCATTTCGAATTGGTGGACGAGCACGTATTGAGTTTAATTATTGCTATCCACTGAGGAAACAGAAAAATGATAGAATTAGACCAGCTTTTCAATTTGGCATTGGATATGAATTTTTGTAAAGATTCTGTTCATCAGACAAATAATAAAATGTTAAAGCTTAAATTTCTTAGAATTAATGGTTTTTTAATTTTTGAATAGTGTTTTTCAGAGGAGCATTCAACTTTCTCAAAACATAAGTCAAAACGATTTTAATCGAGAAAAAAATAAAACATAAAAGCCGCTTTTTATTAATTAATTAAATATCTAGTTGAAATGGACGCAGATCTGTATGATGAGTTTGGTAATTATATTGGACCGGATTTAGAAAGTGAATCAGAAGAAGAGGATTTCGAGGAACAAGACCAAGATGTAAGTTTTACTGTTTTTATAAATTTTCAGCATGTTTACAAGTTAAAATTTGTGTATTCTAGGACGATGGAATCGACGATGAGGCTGAAATGGATGTTGATGATGAGGATAAGACATCCAAAGCAATTGTATTGCATGAAGACAAGCGATATTATCAGACAGCAATGGAAGTTTATGGAAAGGATGTCGAAACCATTGTTCAGGAAGAAGATGCACAGCCACTAGACAAGCCATTGATTGAACCAGTCCGAAAAGTTAAGTTCCAGTTGAAAGAACAGGATTTACCAGACACGACTTATTCAATGACGTTTTTAACTGATTTAATGGATACACCGGCATTAATCAGAAATGTTGCTTTAATTGGACATTTGCATCATGGAAAGACATCATTCATTGACTGTTTAGTTCGTCAAACACATCCACAATTTAGGGATATGGAAGAACGTAATTTAAGATTCACAGATACACTGTTAACAGAGCAAGAAAGAGGAGTAAGCATAAAATCAACGCCTGTAACTTTAGTGCTACAAGATGTTCGTGACAAAAGCTACTTAATGAATGTCTTTGACACTCCTGGACATGTCAATTTCTCAGATGAAGTTACTGCTGGTATGAGATTAGTAGACGGAGTAGTTTTATTCGTTGATGCTGCTGAAGGAGTCATGCTTAATACCGAAAGATTACTCAAACATGCAATCCAAGAGAATTTAGCAGTCACTGTTTGTATTAACAAAATCGATCGGCTCATATTGGAACTTAAGTTACCTCCACAAGATGCTTACTTCAAACTGAAGCACATAATTGATGAAATCAATGGATTAATCACGTAAGTTTAAATTCAACGGTTTTTAAACGTTTGAAAAAATTCACTTGTCTAATCCTTTGTCAATGATGTAACTTTTAAATCTCAAAAATGCGTTAAATTAATAATTTCCTGTTTCATTAATTAGACTATATGGCAACACAAATCCACAACTTTCTCCAATCGTTGGAAATGTCTGTTTTGCAAGTTCATTGTATGGATTCTGTTTTACATTAAAATCATATGCGAAACTTTATGCCGACACTTATCCAGGAGTTTCAGCTACGGAATTTGCAAGAAGACTTTGGGGTGATATGTATTTTAATGCTAAAACTAGAAAGTTCTCAAAGAAACCAGCTCATGGATCAGCACCAAGAAGTTTCGTTGAATTCATTTTGGAACCAATTTATAAGCTTTTCGCACAAGTCGTTGGTGATGTCGATGGAACTCTTGCAGACACTTTATCGGAGCTTAATATAAGAATAACGAAAGAGGAAATGAGAAGCAATATAAGACCATTATTGAGACTTATATGTAATCGATTCCTTGGTGATTTTACAGGCTTTGCTGACATGTGTGTTGAGCATATTCAATCACCAGCAGATAACTCAAAAAATAAGATTGAGCACATTTATACTGGTCCAAAAGAAGGTGTCATTTATGAGGATATGCTTGATTGTAATCAAGATGGAAATCTTGTTGTTCACAGCACTAAAATGTATCCGAGAGAAGATTGTACAATTTTCTTAGTTCTTGCACGAGTTATGAGTGGAACTTTATATAAAGGACAAGAAGTTCGAATCCTTGGAGAGAATTATACACTGCTTGATGAAGAAGATTCTCGTATTGTTCAAGTTGGACGATTGTGGGTTTATGAGGCGCGCTATAAAGTTGAAGTAAATCGAGTTCCAGCTGGTAATTGGGTATTAATTGAAAGCATTGATCAAAGTATTGTCAAAACATCCACAATTGTCGATGTGAATGTAAAAGAAGAGTTGTACATCTTCAGACCATTAAAGTTCAATACACAGAGCATCATTAAAATTGCTGTCGAGCCTGTAAATCCATCAGAATTGCCAAAAATGTTGGATGGCTTGAGAAAAGTCAATAAATCGTATCCATTGCTTGGAACTAGAGTCGAAGAATCAGGCGAGCATGTCATTTTAGGAACAGGAGAACTATACCTCGATTGTGTCATGCACGACTTGAGAAAAATGTATTCAGAAATTGACATTAAAGTCGCAGATCCAGTTGTGTGCTTTACAGAGACAGTTGTCGAGACTAGTTCTCTTAAATGCTTCTCTGAGACACCAAATAAGAAGAACAAAATCACAATGATTGCTGAACCTCTTGAAAAAGGCTTGGCTGAGGATATTGAGAACGAAGTTGTCTCGATTAATTGGACAAAAAAGAAAATTGGTGAATTTTTTCAGACTCATTACGATTGGGATTTACTTGCAGCCCGTTCAATTTGGGCTTTTGGACCTGACAATTGTGGAGCTAATATTTTAGTTGATGACACATTACCATCGGAAGTAGACAAGTCACTTTTGGGATCAATTAAAGACTCAATTGTTCAAGGATTTCAATGGGGTAGTCGTGAAGGTCCATTATGTGAAGAACCGATTAGAAATGTCAAGTTTAAGATCCTTGATGCTGTTATAGCGAACGAACCAATTCATCGAGGTGGTGGTCAAATTATTCCAACATCCAGGAGAGTTTCATATTCTGCATTCTTAATGGCCACTCCAAGATTAATGGAACCTTATTTATTCGTTGAAGTTCAAGCTCCTGCTGATTGTGTCTCGTCTGTCTATACAGTATTGGCTAAAAGACGTGGACATGTCACACAAGGTGAGATAATACTCAATTGTATTTTAGTTCCATATCTTGATTTATTTGATTTAATTTCTAGACGCTCCAATTCCTGGATCACCGCTGTACATCGTGAAAGCATTCATTCCTGCTATTGATTCATTTGGTTTTGAGACAGATTTGAGAACGCATACACAAGGACAAGCTTTCTGTCAGTCAGTTTTTCATCACTGGCAGATTGTGCCTGGCGATCCACTCGATAAAAGTATCATAATTAGACCATTAGAACCACAGCCTGCAACACATTTAGCAAGAGAATTTATGATAAAAACGAGAAGACGTAAAGGATTGTCTGAGGATGTATCTATCAATAAATTCTTTGACGATCCTATGTTGCTTGAACTGGCTAAACAGGATGTGCTCTTGAATGTGTAAAATTAATAATCAACAAACTTCTCAACTGAATAAAAATAACGTATTTTAAAAATTTAAATTCTCAAAAGGGATTGTTACTTCTACGGCATTTTTGGACATTTTTCTTTCTTTTTCACTGAACATCTCGACGAGACAGAAGTGTTCTGCTTAATTATTTTTAATTATGTCGTAAGTTGATGTTTTTACTTAATTATTTAAATCTTAAAAGATCCACAACTGTGATATTAAGGTGTACAGCATAAAGTTTTCATAAAAAACTATCAATTTATTGGAAAATTTGTGAAAATGTTAATTCTAACCTTACACATGCTACACATTTTGATATTAGAGCAACTATCAAGCCAAGAAATTAAAAGATATAGAGTCCACTTTTCTTTCTATGGAAGATGTTGCTAAATAAGCAAATTGGTTTTCCGTATCATTCAATATATCAGTAATTAAATAGATAAATTGTCCACCAATTAAACCAGACATTTAATCACATCCAGAACAAACTGGATTGACTATATTTAAAGCCTTTATGAACACAACTTTTTACTATTTGCAGATCGAAAGTATCGAAGGATATTTTGTACGAGTGCGTCAACGAATTGTTGACAAAGTCTACAGAAAAGAAACGTAAGTTCTTGGAAACTGTTGAGCTCCAAATCGGATTGAAGAACTACGATCCACAAAAGGATAAGCGTTTCAGCGGAACTGTTAAGTATGTATAATTCATTTATCAAACCTTATTGGAGATTTTGTGACAATAAGGAAGTTGTGCAGTCGAATATGTATGTACAACGGACCTATACTCAGGGTCTTTAATAAACTGAGGAGGATAATTTTACTAATTATGTATAAATTATCCGAAAAATCTACAGATTGAAGCACATCCCAAGACCAAAAATGCAAGTATGCATTTTGGGTGATCAACAACATTGTGACGAAGCTAAAGCTAATGAAGTTCCATTCATGGATGCTGAGGCACTCAAGAAGTTAAACAAGAACAAGAAATTGGTCAAAAAACTTGCAAAGAAATATGATGCTTTCCTTGCTTCCGAATCATTGATCAAGCAAATTCCAAGATTGTTGGGTCCAGGTTTAAACAAAGCTGGTAAATTCCCTGGTCTTTTGCAACACAATGAATCAATGACTGCAAAGATTGATGAAGTCAAGGCCACAATCAAGTTCCAGATGAAGAAGGTAAATTATACTCTTACCTTTATATCCTTAAATAGTTGACTAATCATGTGATTCTTACAGGTATTGTGCTTGTCAGTCGCTGTTGGACATGTCAACATGACACCCGATGAATTGGCTCAAAATGTTCATTTATCAGTCAATTTTATGGTTTCTTTGTTGAAGAAGCACTGGCAAAATGTTCGTTCTCTTCACATCAAATCATCAATGGGACCACCACAACGTCTCTATTAAATGATTATATACTTTATATATTGTGAAATTCCAAGAGCTACTATAATTTCAAATAAAATTGATTGAAATTGAAAATAAACACATTTTAACGGTTTTATAATTTTTGAATTTTTCAGGGGGATAGCAATTTAATGAGAAAAATTGTCGTAAAAAATACTTTAGCTTGTGAAAAAAAAATAAAGAATTTTACGATTTATCTAGTCAATAAATGGATTTAAGTGAATTAAATGTAGTCGTTCCAGGTGCGGATGATGAGAAAATAGGACAAGTGTTGGAGAACTTTTTGAAAAAGGTGAAAAACATCGATTATCTATAAAGATTAGAATTTTCTTTGAAGAAAATTAAATTATCTGAAAATTGAATTATGTTTATGGATTTTTCGTCACTTCCAGTTTGGCGATTCCTTTAATCTATCAAGTTTAACGACGACTGGACAATGGACATTATTGTGGAACAATCTTTTTGAAATTCTCAAAACACCAACTATTTGCATTACAATGCAATGTCTTAAATCTATTAGAATATTAAGTCGCGACAAGACATATCTCAATGAAACAATTAATGACGATCAGTTTGACTGTTTACTTGAATTGGCATCCATTGGATCTCAAAATCAACAGTTTGAGCCCGAAATACAGACAGAAGCTCTCAAAATCTTGTGCAATCTCGTCTTTCAGAGTCCCAAATGTCAGGAGCATTGCCTGAAAAATTCAGCTGTGGAAGGTAAGAAGTTCAATTTCTTTTGATTCAATTAGCTCTGTTTTATTTGTAAACAAGGGACAGTCAACTTCTTCTCAGTTAATTTTTAAATCTAAAACGACTGTTGAATTTTAAAACAATTTGTAATTTAATTAATAGGAATCTTGAAAAGATTACGAACATGCAAGGAGAAATTTGTGGACTATGATATTAAATTCTTCGACATGAAGCTACTGTTTCTGATAACTGCTCTCACACCAAACGTACGCATTAAAGTAAGGGATTTTGATGGATTGGTATATCTTGTTGAGACACTAGACTTAATGATGAAGAATGCAACAGCAAAGGAATTTGAACAACAAGAGATCAATTTAATTAATGAGATTCTCAAAGTACTATTTAACATTACTGTAAGTGGACCGACAAATGTTGACAGTGATGATGACGATGACCAGCATTTACAGAGACTAGCTATAGTTTTGCATGACTTATTGCTATTTGAATCAAAATCCAAAGATGGACATGAAGAATATCACTCAAATATTGTCAATCTTCTCACAAACATTCCAATTCATTGCTATACCGAGCTAGTTCCAATGGCAACCGATGACACACAAAGTAATGAGACTTTTGAAAATTATGATATTCATGCAATCAATGTTTTTCTTCAATTCCTCGAGATTAAGCTTAATAAAATTTTTGGTCCAATTGCTTCAAAAGATTACGATCAACTTCCACCAATTTTAACAGTTCTCATCAAAAGTGTTCGATGTACAAGCCATATTCGACGTTATGCACGTGTGAAAATTTTACCGCCATTAAGGGATGTCAAGAAGCGACCCGAAGAAGGAACAACTATAAGAAATTATCTCTGTCGATTGCTGACATATCCATCGACACAAATTTCGGATCTTGTTGCTGAGCTTTTATTTGTGCTATGTAAAGAGAATGTTGGACGTATGATTAAGTATACAGGATATGGAAATGCTGCTGGACTGTTTGCAAAGAGAGGCTTGCTTGGAGGCAGAATCAGTGAAAGTCAACAACAATATTCAAGTGATAGCGAGGATAGCGACACTGAAGAATATAAGCAATTATTGCACGGAATTAATCCTGTCATTGGATGTTATGAGCCACCAAAGATAAATCCTTTTGAAGGAATGTCCGAGGAACAAGTGAGTAATTTATGTGCTATACAATTCTATTTTTAATATTCTTTTCTTTTTATTCAAATTACAGAAAGAGTATGAAGCTGAAAAGCTTGTAAATCTAATTGATCAGCTTGACAAGCAATGCATAATCAAGCCATGTAAAATTGGTGAAGACGGCAAACCAATCGCAGTTGATCACATTCTCGAGCTTCAAACGGAAATACCTGAACAGCAAAGGGATTTCAAGAAGAAAACTTAAATGATAGCAATAACAAGCAAGTAGATATAAATGCAATTCTTGCTTACTGATGCCAAAAATATGAAGCATAAAAAAGCTTGCTGCTCATCAAAAAAAAAAACGAGTTTATGAATGAATACCTTTGAATTTTACCATGTATTTCGATGTTTTACTGAAATTTTATTCAATATATACCTTCAAGAAATAAGCGGTATGTATTATTAATTGATTTAGTTTCAGGTACGAGAAAAAATTGGAAAAATATGAAAAGTTTAACGGTTTTCAAAGTTTTGAAATTTATGCTCCAAATTTGAATTTTGAAAATTCGTTAAAATTCAAATCCAGAAAACCTGTTACGGAATTATTTAATTTATTTTATTTCTTCATTTTGTTGTGTACAACAATTTTGCTTAATTTTACAAGTAATTGAACTGCAAGCAATCTTTCGTGCATATCTGTAGATGTTTCTAACGTTTTATTTGCAAGATCGTGTGTCTTGTTTTGTCGAATCAAGCTTAATTTTTTATTACGACTAGCACATAAGATTTTTAGAGCATAAATTGATCGTCGACGATCTTGATCGGTCCTCTGATTTTCATAAAAAGTCTGGATTTTTCCGATATCATGTAGATTTAGGAATACTCTGCATAATAATCTTGTTACTTTCTCGAGATGCTCGACTGGTGTTTTGTCATTGACAAACATTTTCATTAAAAATTTGATGTCTATTGCAAATAAGTCATTTTCGTGTATATTCTTAAATTCCTCAATGCTCTTTGGTGACAATAGGTACGTAAACAACTTCTCATAAGTGCCTCGATTCTTAGAATTGTGTATGAACCACCACTTTAAGAAATTATAGTCTACAATAATGTTCACAATTCCCACAAACTTCATAAGAATCGCTGATGAATTTTCCACAAGTGCACTGCCTGTAATATTCACAAAATTTGTTGTATAGATGTAGAACATCATTGATGCAACTCCTTTATCCATAACAATTTTATTCTCTCTAAAAGATTCGATGATGAATGCCATTGTGGACATCATTTTACCTTTGCATGGTTTAATCTTGCTCCATTTTAACAGCACATAATATTTGAATATAGTAAACAGCATAGACTCTCTTGACACTTCACTACATTTCTCCATCCTTAAATCTTCTGGGTCAATGTCACTTTTGAGGATTATTTTCAGGTACTTTTGCCTTAATTGAGCCAAATTATCAATGTCATCGTCATCCACTTCCAATAGAATTTTAGAAATGTGCAGCATAACTTCAGAAATTACAGCACGTGCCTTAAATTTGAGAATTTTGTTACTATCTTGACTGTTGACTATAAATATGAGGAAGTTGAGTCCATTTAATGTAAGGAAGTAGTTAAGGAGCATCTGATGAACATTAATAAATACAATTGATGTAAAAATGTAATAAAATAAATTAAGGAAGATCATATAACTGGTAGCTGGCAAGTCACGTATCTCGTCTAAAACGAATCTGATCAAAATTATAAACTTTTCACTAATTGATCTCACTAATATTTCATCGTCAGCTTCGTTTGTTGCTGGCAGGAAGTTAATTATAGAATGAAAGAGTCTCGCGACAAGCACGAAATAATCCACATCTAGTAAATCTTTCTTGGAAAAATTAAGGTTTGTAAGGATTTCGGTGATCTTCTTTTCTTGGTAAATCTTGTCATCAAAGCTAGTCTGCATTAAACGGAAAATATCAAGTGATGTGTTAACAAATTCCAATTTTTCAATGATTCTTGAATCTAGACTAGTCAGTGAAGAAGCTGTGATCACCAAACTGACTTTTGGTATTCTCTCATCCTTGAAATTTACTTTAAAAATCTGTGCTCTGCAATTTGAAAAGATCCAGTACTGGATGATTTAATAATTTGACTTAAAGACATTACCTTACCTTTGAAGCATAATTGTATTAAAAGCTAATATATTTTTCTTGTAATGAGCCTCCTCTAAGCTGTTATCTGACACACAATCCGGAGAAAATGAATTAATTAATCTCAAACTGGATCTGATGCATCGAAAAAAATCATTTTTAAAGAACTCCTTCACTTCTGATAAATGGCATATGATTTTTATCACTAGACTCGATGATATTCTATGCTGATAAATTAGCATTTCGCTCAGGAAGTAACTCAAATCTGAATTAATAACTTTAACGTAATCTTTCTCGTTCCATTCATGCAATTCTGTGACAATATCCTTTAATCTATCTATTTGCACTGACTTGTCTTTTGATTGTACATCGCACTTCCACTGTGAGAGTATCCCTTCCTCCATTATATTTATGTACACTGCTTAATTAAACTAATAAATAATAATTTCACTGCTTTTTTGGGAATTTGAATTTTGAAAGCTCCACAACAGCAAATGTGTGGTATCAAAACATTACAACAGATATACAGTTTTCATATAAATTAGCTCATTCTTCTATTTTTGGCGGTTCCAAATGACCAAACAATACATTAATTAACTTATAATTCGTATTAGATAAAATCCTTGCGCAAAATTCTAAAACGAGTAATAAAAATTCAAAACTCAACATACCGTGTAGAAGTTCTTTCAGCACGGAAGTTGCGAAAAGAAAATAGTCTCAAAAAATGGATATAGTAAGTAAAAATGTAAATTATAGTGTAAATAGTGGATAAATCAGTGAAATTAATCAATATTAAGCATAATAAACATCAATAGTATAGTGTAACACATAAATCAGCTACTTCCGACTAGATTAAATGACCTAATTTGTGTGAAAAAATTTACAAAAACAAAACTGCATAATCTGCTATAAATAAAATTAACTGTCATTTCAGGAAGTATATACATACATCAATCAGCTGACTAATCCAGAAACAAGGGAGAATGCATTGTTGGAGCTCAGTAAAAAAAGAGAATCTGTATCAGATTTGGCTGTTATGTTATGGAACTCATTCGGTACAATTGCAGGTAAAAACAATCACATCCAGTAAATGTTGCACAAATTTTTAACAATCTCGGATTTTACAGCACTTCTTCAGGAAATTGTGAATATATATCCATCAATCACACCACCGACACTAACGGCACAGCAATCAAATCGTGTTTGTAATGCCTTAGCACTATTACAGAACGTAGCATCACATCCAGAAACTCGATCGGCATTTTTGCAAGCCCATATTCCACTCTTTTTATATCCATTTCTTCACACATCATCAAAGACTAGACCATTCGAATATTTAAGATTAACAAGCTTGGGTGTTATTGGAGCACTGGTCAAAACTGATGAGCAGGAAGTCATTACATTCCTGTTGACAACAGAAATTATTCCGTTATGCTTAAGAATTATGGAGAGTGGATCCGAATTATCTAAAACCGTAGCTACCTTTATCCTACAAAAGATCTTACTCGATGACAGTGGATTATCGTACATTTGTCAGACTTATGACAGGTTCTCACACGTTGCAATTATTCTGGTAAGTTCCTGGAGCTTATTAATTAAGCAATTGATTAATTATCGATGTTATAGGGCAAAATGGTGATTGGATTAGCTAAGGAACCATCTTCGAGGCTGTTGAAACATGTTGTCAGGTGCTATTTGCGACTTTCGGACAATTCTAGGGCACGAGAAGCTCTTCGCCGCTGTTTACCTGATCAACTTCGTGATGCAACATTCAATCAGTGCTTACAGGAAGATCGTTCCACAAAGCATTGGCTGACACTGTTAATCAAGAACTTGGAATCAGGAAATAACGATTCAATGCAAATAGCTCCATTAGAGTAAATAAGAAAGGCTGCTAAATTTAAGGATTTTTAAGGGCATGCTTCTCTAAGAATTTTACTGTTTGAGGTAAAAAAGAATGTAGATTTATTATTATAATTAATATTTTTTTTTAATCTTATGAGTTTGTCCAATATTAATTTGTACCTCAAGTCAAATAAATAATATCATCTTATGTACATTAACAAAAAAATAAAATAAAACAATAAAGAATAATTTTAAATAATTTTTATTAAAAAAAGGTCCTATCACTTGTTAATCAACAGTTTTACAAAAAATAATATTAATATTAATAATTATTTGTTCTATGTTGCAGAACTGAAGATCATTCGAATTGGTTTGTGCTTCAAAACCGTACAAATTATTATATATTTTTAGGAATTGAAAGGTGGAAAAAGTTCTTTGCCCCTTGGACTAAGCACAACAAAAATCTTACAAAATTAAAAATTTGAGTATAAATAACAATAATAAGACAGAACAAATCTACACAAAGTACTAAAGAATACATTAATTACGCAAATTGAATAAAATTATAGTGATTACATTCATAAATAACCGAAAAAGCAGGAAAAACAAAAAATTTGTGACGAAAAAGTGACAAGTCCCGGCTTTGCCGGATCTCTTACAATGGTTCAGACAAAAAACAATAAAAGCACAGCAAAACTGCCAGCAAATCAGCTCCAGAAATTACAGGACAAGTTAATAGCTGATAAAAAGGAACAACTTTTCCCAAGTCAATCACAGCAAATAAATATCAACAATCATTCAAACATCAGGTATGACTCAACAATAAAATTAACAAATAACACAGAAGGAGAAAAATATTTGATTATGCACAGAGACCACGAAAACAAAACAATGAAGGATTTTTCTCCAATATTATTGGAGAAAGCTATACACAATGCAACACAAAATGGAAAGTTGGATTGTAAAGTCCTAAAAAGTGGAGATTTATTGATAAAAACAGAAAACTTGAGACAAGCACAAAACCTAATACGAATAACAGGCATCCTAGACGCAAAAATACAGGTTACAGAACACAAAACGATGAATAGTTGTAAGGGCGTGATTCGTGCATACGAATTACAAAACGAAGACGAACAAACGCTATCAGATTATTTAAAATCACAACAAGTAATAGACGTAAGAATGCACAAAAAGACAATCAACGGTAAAACAATCAACACTGGTTTAGTCTTTGTCACCTTTGGAGTGAGCAATTTGCCGGAATATCTGACGGTCGGACTGTTGCGAGTGCGCGTCAGGCCTTATATTCCCACTCCGATGAGATGCTTTGCTTGCCATAAGTTTGGACATCTTTCAAAATATTGTAACATAAAAGAATCTCCAACATGCTACAACTGCAACAGCAACAAACATATCCAAAACAGAGATGAAAAATGCACAAAGGAAGCTTTTTGTGTAAACTGCAAAGAAACTGGTCATAATAGCTACAACAGAAATTGTACAGAGTACAAACGACAAGTAGACATCCAGACTATCAGAGTAACACAAAATGTTTCGATGGCCGAAGCAGTTAAACGGTCCAATCTTAACAGAATAACGTACGCAAAAATTACATCAACACAAATCGAAACAATCTGCAGTTGCAAGCACTGCAATTACCACAACAACAAAACAACTCCACAAATAAATAACATAAAGCAAACACCACCAGTAAATAACATTAAAGAAACACCACAATTAATTAACAAAAATAAACGATTAAGACAAATCAACTATAATCCTCAAGAACAATCAACTGATGAAGAGACACACAAAAAATCCCGAATCAACAACACAGATGCTAAAAGCGGAGACGAAGATGAAGACGAAGAAATGATAACATAATGAATAACACAACATCAATTTTAAATTGGAACATTAGAGGCTTTTTTACAAATAAATCCGAACTGCAAGTACTTATTAATGAATTTCAACCACTTTACATTACTTTACAAGAAACTAAATTAAATATTGACACACAATTAAATAATTACAAAACATATATTAAAAATAAGACATGTACACAGGACAATTATGCTTGTGGAGGTGTTATGACACTAGTTAATTTGAATATACAATCCTCTCTTTTTCACATTAACACAAATTTACAAGCTATAGCCGTTCACGTAACATATCCATTCGATTTTGTTATTTGTAACATTTACATAGACCATAATATACCTACACAAACATTAAAAGACGAACTTGAAAATCTAATTACACAATTAGGACATTCATATATATTGACAGGTGACTTTAATGCGCATAACGTATTATGGGGTTCACATAAAACAGACAGAAGAGGAACTATAATTACAGAATTAGCAGAACTACACTCATTGACAATACTAAACGAAAAACTCCCTACACATATTGCCACTAACGGTAGACTAACATCCATTGACTTAACAATATGCACACAAAATTTAGCTACTTTCACAGATTGGACAGTACTTGACGATCTACATGGAAGTGACCATTTTCCGCTTCTGATTTCCTTCCCATTCACACAATACGAAAAGACACAAAGACAATTATTCAACATCAAAAAAGCTGATTGGAACGAATTCAAAAAGAACCTTAACTTCGACAACATCGATACATCAAATATAAATAACATGGAAAGAGACTATACACAAAGAATAATAAACGCAGCAAATAAGTCAATCCCATATATAAAAACATTTAAAGGCAAAAGAAAATTGCCTTTCTGGAATGACGACATCAAACAAAAAATAATTGAACGAAAAAAGAATACAAGAATATATAAGAACACTTTAAATCCAGAAATACGCAATAAAATTACAGAGCTAACAATAGAAATACGCCAAATGATAAATAACGCTAAAACAGAAAGCTGGAGACAGTACACATCTACACTAAATCACAAAGCTAACACAAAAGAAATCTACGACAAAGTGCGAACATTAAGCGGAAAAAGTAAGAATACAGAAATAAGAAAAATTAACAAACAAGACGGTACATACACAACAAATCAAATAGAAATAGCAAACACTATTAAAGATACGTTCGAGTACATCTATAGCGATGAAAACTTAAACACTAATCTCAAAAATCTTAAAGAACAATCAACCACAAATGAAACAATTACTGAAGACACAACAAACGAAGCATATAACGATAACATAACAATGAAGGAATTAGAAGAAGTAATAGCACAAACAAAAGGATCATCACCTGGACCTGACAAAGTGCATTACGATATGATCAGAAACCTAACGCAAAAAGGGAAACAAATGTTATTACAGCTATACAATAAGATACTAAATGAAGGACTACCACAAACATGGAAACACTCAATAATTATCCCAATCAAAAAACCCGGCAAAGACCCACGACAAGCAACAAGCTACAGACCTATAGCTCTTACAAGCTGCACGTGCAAATTGATGGAAAAAATAATAAATAAACGTATACAATGGACATTAGAAAACAAAAATCTTTTAAACAACTTTCAATCAGGATTTTTAAAAGGAAAAGGTACAATAGACAACATTACATACTTAGTTGACAGCATACAGAAAGGTTTTGCATCACAAGAACAAACAACAGCAGTTTTTATCGATTTAAAAAACGCGTATGACAGAGTCTGGACGCACAAAGTCAAAGAACATATGGAAAGACTTGGATTTAAAGGAAAAATAGTTAATTACATCAACAGCTTCTTGCAAAACAGAACATTCAACATTCAAATAGGAAACATAGAATCAGACACAGGATATATGGACAACGGAATTCCACAAGGCTCAGTACTATCATGCACACTATTCAACATAGTGTTCGACGATGTACTCAACAACATAGATCAACATACAAAGTTTTGCGCATATGCTGACGATTTGGTCCTTTTCCGCAATGGAAAGGACACTAAATCCACCGAAGCAAACTTACAAAAAACACTTAATGAAACAAGTACACAGATGAACAAAAATGGTCTTGAGATTTCAATAGACAAAACAAAAATCATGCACTTCACAAAACAACTGAAGAAAAATGTTAAAATACCACACATAAAATTGAACAATCAAAACATTGAACACGTCGACAACTATAAATTTCTTGGAGTTATTTTTAATAATAAACTCAAGTGGACGGAACAGATCAATCAATTACATAGCAAAACAACAAAAAACATCAACTTAATAAAAATGCTATCACACACTAAATATGGAGGAGAGAGACAAACTCTGCTACGAATACACGAAGCAGTCACAACATCGATACATAACTATTCAGCACTTATTTTTACAAAACTCACAAAAAAGGATGAACGGAAACTTAACACAATACACACAAGAAGTACAAAATACGCAATTGGTGCTTTTGTCACATCACCAAATGCAAGTGTCCACATAGAATCAGGAATCACCCCACTAAAACATCAACGAAAAATACACCTAATAAAATACGCATGCAAAGTCAAAAACAACAGCAAAAACATTCTAAACCCTAGTCTACAAGACGATTCCAAAGACAACAAATACAAAAAATTGACAAATCCACCAATAACGTATATCATGAGACAAGAACTCCAAAAAATGAACATCAACAAAGACACAAAATTCTGTAAACCACAATCTTCATTTCATCCTTTCTGGAGAAAATCTAAATTCAAAATCAATTTGAAAATGACACAATTCAACAAAGACAACACATCACACGAAGTAATCAAAAGAACATTCAACGAAATACTAGACACATACACAAGAAAAGGGTACGAAATAATCTACACAGACGGATCTAAAACAGAAGAAGGATACGGAGCAGCAGTGGTAACAAGAGACAATACATACAAATATAAATGTCACGATTACTCGACAGTGTACACAACAGAGCTATTCGCGCTATCAAAAGCATTAAAACATAGATTAACCAATAAAACACTCATATGCACTGATTCGCTCAGTGTAGTCCAGGCATTAAGAAGCTCACATACAAAAAACACAATGCTACAGCAAATCCAAGATAAATTACGAGACAATACTACAGAAACAACAATAATGTGGATACCAAGCCATACTGGAATAAAAGGAAACGAAGAAGCAGACAAACATGCAAAAGAAGCCACAAAACAACAACTTTACACAAACTATAAAATATTGATTGAAGACGTTACAAAACATGTAAAAGAGCATGTCACAAAACTTTGGCAAGAAGAATGGAATGAGGAAATCAGAAACGGAAATAAATTAGGAAACATCAAAAAAACATGTAAGAAATGGACAAATATTGACACATATAAAAGAAAAGACCAGACAGTACTGACAAGACTTAGAATTGGACACACAAATCTAACACATATACATCTTATTGAAAAAACTTCTCCCCCAATATGCACATGCACCATCCCACTTAAAGTCAGACATATATTTGAATGCACAAACAACCAATCAGCTATTTCAAAATTTAATATCAGTTACAAAACACTTGAAGTAGACGAAAAAGATGAAACAGACAAAATTTTAAACTTTCTAAAAGAAATTAATATTTACGACAAAATCTAACACCAAAACACATAATATCCTGTACTGCAGTTCGTATTTATAAATTTAAAATAATGTAAAACATATTTGGAATTGAAAATGGTCTTAAAATTTATTAAAAAGGACCTTAATAAAGATAATTAAGAAGAAGAAGAAGGAATTGAAAGGTTTTTAATTGAGAAGTTAAAAACATTTGTACAGTTTCAAGGAAAGTAAAGAAATTCAAATCAGGTTCAGTTCAAATTTCACAAGTCTTAGAGTTCTGTATGAGAATATTCTGTTGTTACTCTATTCTCTCCGTCATTAAATCTTTGACAATCTATTGGATATTTCTCCTGACATTCATAAGGATCATTTACAGCACCAAATAATGTCCAGAATGGTGTGTGTGTCTTTTCACTGATGAACCATGCTGCTGCATAACTTCCAAACTTGAGAACGCCTGATTTAAAACCACCCAGACCGAGCTTCTCATTAGGATCATGTGAATTAATTTCACACAATACATAACGGTCACATTCTGAATCCACATTTGTTGCATATCTATATGCTCGATGGATTTTAAGAACTGGTTCAATGATCTACAAGAATTTTTTTATTATTTAGACAGTGAAGCGTTAATTAAAGATGCACGCAATCGTTTCCTTACCTCTAAGTTAAGTGTGTCAGTCAGCTTATTGCTTACATCAGTTGAATTCATCTTTTGTAAATATTCACGGTTCTTTCCTAATTTAAGTACATCTTTAACGTAGCTGATAAATGGATTAACGTATGGCATTGAATCAACATCAATCATTAGATGCTTTTTCACTGCATAATTTATGAGACTTGAGATTGTCTCACTTGGCTTCTTGATATCAAATTGTGTCTTCTTTGGAAAGTTTTGTGATTGCAAAAATCCGTTGAACATCATTTGACCAGTGGCGAAGTAGCTGTAAATATATTTAGCAACAATAGATTGAATTAGTGACTTAATATTAATGGAAGTAATGGGGTATTGTCGTGATTTGGCTGAAGATGTGTCAGAGAACATTACAAATGTTTATTAAATAATTTGTATGGTTTTCTGCTTGAATTTTTAAAACCCGTTAAAATTTTAAAAATTTCAAAAATTAATAAACGTTTATCAAATATGCTGCATAATCGAACTTAAGAAACAGCGCTAAATCTCTAATCCGAAAGCATATTAACGGAAGTTTTGATACTAGCTCTTCCATAGATCACGCTAAATGCCTTAATTGTCTATTTTAATTTTCTTTTGTGAAAATACCGAATTACGCAAGGAAATGGAAACAAGAGCTACATACAGCAGTGAGTAATAATAACAACAAATATGATAAATTATAAAGAAAGAAAAGTTAAAACCAGAACATATTAAAGTAATTGTGAAATTTACAGTTAAGTTAACTTTTCATCGTCATCGCGCATCGAATAAACGAAAAAGAAAGACTATAATGATGTTTTCTTCCATTTAGTGCCATACATATGCATGAAAAGAAATGGCAAGCTATTGAATCTATTGGGTTCTTAATATTCATTTTTTGCTAATTTAGGTGATAAACAGACACTGCCAAGTATTTGGGCCTCGTCGCAAAAAAATTGTGCGTGAGTGACGCTTTATTATTCTTGATTATCTCCTTATCCTTAAAAGTGATAAATTTAAGAGTTACTTTTTTGAAAAGAGCATTAAAATCCCCATCTATTGTTGTACAATTCACTTCATGAATGTCTACAGTTACTCGAAAAAATCACTTTAACTAAGCGTCACTCACGTACAATTTTTGGAAATTTTGCTATATCTTCATTATTGTTTATTGATATATCTCCGAATGTATTTTTTTAGAACCAAAATTCAATTCTTTTCTTTTTGATTTTATAAAAAATTTAAAGTTGCTGCATTAACATACCCAAATGGACAAAATTAAGTTAAAAAAGTTTTAACGGTTTTAACTTGTTTAAATTTTTTCGGTTGTAATTTATTTGTTTACAAACAAAATCGAAAATGAAATTTGAAAAGTCACGAAAATATCACTCAATAATGATGTAAAAGGTCTTAAAATAGTCAGAACAGCTAATGCATCATCTCCTTTTCGTATTCAAATCATAATATTTGGGATTAATGATTGAATAATTAAGAATTTTGAGAATTTAATTTTTTAATTTTTGATGTTTTGTATGATAGTGTTAGTGAAAAATTCAAATTATTTTTTTCCGTTAAGCAAAGATCCTTAAAAAAACGTCGAGGCCCATTTATTTTTTACGATGATCAACTTTAACTTATTTCTTTCTTCTTAAAACTATGCGTTGCCGTCCAAAATTAGGTCAACCAAATATTTTCACTCACCTTCTGTAAACTTCTGGATTTGCGAGATAATTTGCCCATTCTGCAAGATATACGATAGATTTTTGGATCCAACGCTTCCTATATGATTGATTTTGGAGTGTCTCGAAGAGTTTATCATAATCAACTTTTCCGTCACGTCCTACGAACCCTTTAAAGACCATATCAAGTCCAATTTTCTTATAGATTGCGTCACTAAGTTCCGAATTTGTAAAGTGATCCCAAGCTGTATGGATCTTCTCTAAGAATGGCGGCAAAACACCTCCATGATCGTGCTTATGCTTTGCCTCAGTCTTTTCCATTGCTGATCCACTGAATGAATTTAATGTCTGCATGACTATTGGAAGTAAATTAAGCAGGTTGTCGCCATTTAATCCAGGATGCTTTGGCTCTTCCTTCTGTTTCTTGTAGGGATTCTCGTTATGCTTAATTTCATTAGTCTCAATATCATCGTCAGTCTCTTGATTATTATAACTAGACAAGAAAGTTGATGCCAGCGATAAAACTGTTTCTAGTCCATTGCCTTCACTCGATCGTTTGCCACGCTGATCACTCCCGGAATTAGCAGCTGCAAACATTTGAATAACGTTTCCAATAATTGATGGATCAAAGCCCCCACCCCCACTATTACTATTTCCAGTTCCACTATTTGCTGCCAATAAACTTCCAAGACCAGCAATAATTTGTGCAGCACCCGATGGTTGTGATTTACCAGTTTCTGATGATTGCATCATACTTCCAATCATTGAGGCAATTCCAGCAATTCCTTCAATCCCGGATCCACTATTTCCACCTTGTCCCTGACTAAAATTCTCTAAGAATGATGCTGCCATGTCCAAAAATGGACTTCCTTCTGCTTCAGCATTTCTATTTGGTGGACGTTGTGTGCTGTATGCGAATGCACAAAAGTGCATTGATATCATCGTGATAACTAGTATTAATTTCATTTTTTTTATTATAACTGACTGACTGATCTGATCACGTTGATGTCTAAAGTAAAACTGCCAGCAATTCTTTTCCTAAACCATCTGAAAGAAGAAAAAATACTCAGGCATAAAATTTATGTATAGCATGTGTATTGAGGTACAATTAACACAAATACACGAGTATACTATGAAGAACATTTTCATCAGATCGGAACCAAGGAAAATTTTAAATAAGCGTTCAAACTCGCCTTTATAGTCTATATCTTTTTGGATAATTCAATACTAATGTTTTTCACGAAATATTAACATAATAGAGTGAAAGAATGAATCGAAATTCTCGATTTTAAATTTTTTTACTGCCATGTGCGCATTTTAAAATTATATCCGAAATTTCAAATTCAAAATATAATCCTTAGTCAATGATGAAAATTTCTGAAAACTATTTTTACAGTTTAATTTGATCAATCTAATGATGTGTATTAAGTTTTCACCTAGAAACACTCATTTGATTAACTGTCAATCATATTCTTTGTGATGTTCATTAGATTGATGCTTCTGCATTGAATTATCGAACAAATAAAAAAATTGGGAAAAAAGATTCCATGAAAAAATGACAAAAACGCATAAAATTTAAATTTTTAAAAAACGTTTTAATTGAAATTTCCAAAGTACGTTACATTTCAAATATATTATAGTTTACAGGAATTAACTCAATTTTCAGCTCTGGACAAAATGTAAATCAAGCATCCGATAAAAGAGTTGAAAAGAAATGAGAATCCGATATAACAACATGTGAAATGTTACTATAAAGCAATATAAAGAGAGAAAATATGCATGAATTACTCACAGCCAGATACACACAGGTAGTAGATAGTATAGTAGGTAAAAGAAAGAAGGAAAAATAGTAAGAGAATGAAGAAAAGAAAGAAACAAATTCCGATGATGACTACATGGCTTTTAACTGTAAAATTTCATAATTTCATACCTTACGTGTTCTCCCATCGTAAATGCACGACGACAACATCATTATTCAACATGAATGTATGTCTCACAGCCAGCAATTAAAGGATGTGTCTGCAAAAATTCCTTGTGACCTTGTTATCCTCATTAATAGATCATTAAACCCATTTTTCCTGTCGCCATTCACGTACAATATTCAGCAATAACAGAACTTTCTAAAACCGGTTCCTCTTCTGTCCATACTTTTCTCCTTGACCTAATTAAGACTTTATTCATTGTCAAATACTGTTCTGTTGTGCAAAAAAGTCCGTTGAAATAATATTCAAATTTGTTTGTCGATCCTAGCGAAACACTTGGTCGGTCCGCAAAGTAAACCACTGAATTCTCTCTCTTTAAAATTATTTACTTCTGTTCATCTCGCGCCTTTCTGGTGGAATTAAATAACATCACAAGGCCTTATTGTTAATTTGCAACTCGAATATGTCTGGATTAAGGTGAGTTTCATTAAATATTTGGTGATTAAGAAACATCCAGTACTGGATCTTGAAGACTTGTAAAAGTATTCACTGTAGATGAAATTATACACCGTGGGATTATCAGTATTGCTTAGCATAATAATCAAGTGATTATAAAGTTATGAAAGGTCATGAAAAGTTATCATTTATGTAAATTCCTGGACATTCTGGCTTGTTTTTGCATATTTGACATTTGCTTCAAAAACTTATTTTTATGCATAACAAGGAACTAAAAATCTTTTGTTCTATAACTGGTTTTTAGAGATGGCATGTTGCTTGGAATGGGAAATCCCCTTCTCGATATTTCATCCGTTGTTGACAACGAATACTTGACAAAAAACGATTTGGGACCTGATAATGCCATTTTGGCTGAGGAAAAACACATGCACATGTAAGTTGTGCCTTATTATTCTATTCATAGATACACATTTTCTTATATTGTTGCAACATATCCAAAATACTTGATTTTAGTTTTAAAGAGCTTCAAGAAACGTACAAGGCTGAATATATAGCCGGTGGATCAGTACAAAACACTTTGAGGATCTGTCAATGGATTTTGAATCGTCCAAATGTAGTTACGTTCTTTGGATGTGTCGGAAAGGATAAAAATGCTGAAATATTGGAAGAAAATGCTCGATCTGATGGAGTGAATGTCGTGTACGATAAATGTGATGAAGCAACTGGATGTTGTGCTGTTTTAATTACGGGCAAACATCGTTCACTTATTGCTCATTTAGCAGCTGCCAATCACTTCTCAAAAGAACATGTCATCAAGAATTTCAATTATGTCGAGAATGCTGAATTTTATTACATTTCTGGATTCTTTTTAACCGTCAGTCCATCATCAATTATGATGGTTGCAGAAAAGGCACTCGAATCAAATAAAGTCTTATTGATGAATCTCTCTGCACCTTTTATATCAATATTTTTTAAGGATCCATTAATGCAAGTTATGCCTTACATCGACATTTTATTTGGAAATGAGTCAGAAGCTCTAACATTTGCAAAGGAGCAAGATTTTGGAACCGAGAATCTCAAAGAAATTGGCTTTAAAATGCTAAACTTACCAAAAGAAAATAAGAATAGGAAACGAGTAGTAATCTTGACTCAAGGTCATCATCCAGTAATGCTGTTCGAGGGTGAAACTGTTAGAGAATTTCCAGTCGTCGAATTACAGGAATGCGATATTGTAGATACAAATGGTGCAGGCGATGCTTTTGTTGGTGGATTTATAAGTCAATTAGTCCAAGCAAAGTCATATGATGACTGTATAAATACAGGAATAATTGCAGCACGTGAAATCATCAAGAGATCTGGATGTGCTACTGGTGGTGACTTTCCATGCTTAAACTAAAACTTTTTAGAAGCAATAAAGCAGACTTTTTTGCACAATTATGTTATTGATGAAAGCTTTTTATATTAGTTCTTTTTTTTTTGTGTGACAAAATTAAGGTAAAAAGACACTCAATGACAAGTTTGCAAAGGAAGTAAAGTAATAAAAAAAACAAATTTCTTCTGGATGTGTTGTTGATGGAGCATAAATTAATTAAGGACTTATTTCATTGCAGATATAACAGATAATTGCTGTTGAAGTTTTCCTAAATTCTCTCGGTGCTTATCTTGTTCTTTTTCAATCGTTGTAAGACGATCATTGCACTTCTGCAATTCCTTACTGATGTAATCGATACGTTTACTAACATTCTGTTTGCTTTCTGTTAAACTTTGCTTAACTAGAATCGGTCCGATTAATTTATAGACTGTATTCTTATCCTCAGCTAATATATTCATCTCTTCTAATACATTTTGATTTTCATTCAATTGCCCATCGAGCTGTTGTCTCTGCTGAACTAATTTTGAGTATTCTAGGGATCGAATTGATTCATTTATTAACATTTGGTTCCTTCTTAATTCTCCGAATAACCTTAGAATTTCAATTTTCTTACCTTTTTGAGTCGCTTTAAAGCTATCAAGCTCTATTTGCAGCTTCTTTTGGATTTGTGCAGCTTGCGTGTCCATTATCTTGGCGGTATCAATTTTAAAAGCCTTTAATTCCACTGGTTTTTAATGAAAAGTTTAATTACAAAAATTATTTTGATCAAAATTGGACTTTTTTTCAAAACACAGTGACGACTCCTTCACTAGTTTTTGAATTTTAAAAGCCCGTTAATATTGCAAGTTATAGGTTAATTTCATGACTCAACTGGTTGTTTATATCAATAGATTTCTTTAATTGGGAAATTTGAATTACTCACTTTTGATGAATATTACATCTCTTGCATGATGTGGTCGTTTTTTGGAGAAATGTTTAACGAATTTTTCATATTTTAAAAAATTGCAGCATAAATTTCAAATTCTAGCTGACCGTTAAATTTTATCCAGAATTTTTGGTTGCTTTGAGATCCAGCAACATTATTACATTATTGCTAAGCCTTTCTATGAAAACACATTGTATATAAAAACTTCTATTATAGCTTACAATCATCAATGAAAATCAATTAAGCCGGCCGTGAAACAGTTGTAGTCGTAATCTAGTTGCTAATCACGATGCATTATAAATGAATAAGCAACTGATCGTTGAACTTTTTAATAAACACGAAACAAAGTATCACTTTCTCATTTTTAAAATGAGATTCATTAGTTTCCTCAATGCGATTGAAATAGTTATAATAAGTAATAAGAAATCTAAGGCGTGTGTAAAGGAACTTGATGACGCAAGTATGCTTGTTATGAAATTATTATCGATATATGTCTATTGATTGCAGCAACAGTGTCGTGTACCTGAAAAATATTGTGAAATCAGAATTGATAAGCATAAACCAGAGCAAGTTATGATATCCATAAAAAGTTTTTATTCATCATATTATATTCCAGCATATGCAATTATGTATGTTAGCCCCCATGCAAAATTATATGTTATCGCATCATCAATTAAGACATCATTATGCTTGATTTTTTTCTCACAGAAAATGAAAAAAATGATTTGCTTTAATTATAATTAATTAACATTCACTTAGGCAACTAAAAGTACTTAAATTTCAAAAATATATAATTCATATATTATAATCCATAAAGAATAATTTTTATCCTTAATTTCACAATTTAGGTAATATTTCCACATTTTTCTAGCCTTTTCTTCTTTAATTAAAGAAGAAAAAACTTGACTAAATACTAAAAGACATTATAAAATCAACAGATATCAATAATAAAGTTTCTTTTCCTACAAATTATTACCATAATTATATATTACTTTATATAAAAATCATTTGTGTTTTGGAAATGGTGTGTAAATTTCGACTTAAAAAGTTAAATTTAACGAATAGAAAGCTGGATCAGAGTTGGCAGGTGAGAACCAATGTATTTCGCGATGCAAGGATCATTAAATTTCAACAGAAAGTTTCATTTTGAATTACTTCCAGCAAAAATTTAAATTATTAAAAACCGTTAAATTATGCTTCAATTAAGCAACAATCACGCGCATCAAGCAACTACCAACCCTGAGACTTGCTCGAAATAATTCATTTCATGCTGTTTTCTTCGTATTATTGCAATATAATTAAAGAAAGGAAATGCAATTAGCAATAAAAGTTTTTAAGAAAATCAATTTAAAAGCAAAATTATTCTTTCCTTATTTTTTTAAACCAATTTAGGACGAACTCGATTTCTGTAGTGCCGCTGTTGCTGCTAAATTAATAATATTCTGCACCAGAATTCGATCAGATTCGTTCAACGCTTCATCACTCTTATTCAGCCCAAGATAATGCTTAGAGTCCAGTTCATATTCATGATTACTACTCAAGTCAGATAGTGAATCTGAGTAGTTACTGTCATCATAATGCGACCTTTTCTGTAGTTCCCATTCATTCATTGAATCAATATCATAATCAATTAGCATTTTAGATCTTTTTGCTGGCGGCGGTGATGTATTGTCATTTGACAGCTGTGATACATATTTGTAGACATTCTCAACATAATCATGCTCATTTGGAATATACATTAGCGGATCTGGCTCGAGATCTTCTAGCTCTGATTTAAGGTCAAACAATAAGTTACGACGACTTTGTTGTTCACCAAATGCTGTTACTAAATCCTTTGCATTTATTGCACTCTGCTTATCCAATTTTAGATTTGGCACAGCTACAAGTGCCATTGAAAGCAGGAGAATCATTAGACATGTTGCCGGCTGTGCTGTTTTGCCGGTCGTTTTTGTTAACAGATTTTGCAATTTCTTCATTTTTGACATAAGATCATGATTTTGTGACTGCAATACTTTAATACGCTTAATTAATTGATGATTCTCCTCCGAACATAGCTTAACACGTTCCTCGAGTCCATCAATATATTCCTTCTTACGTTTACGTGAATCTTGTGCTGAAATCTTGTTGCGAATCTTACGCCTGATACGCTTTAATTCACGTTCTTCCTGTTTTGTAAGTGGATAACTTTGTGGCAAGGAAATTCCTTCCTTAGAAAGCAAGCGTTTCTCTTCATTTGTCAGCACTAATTTTGGATATCCCGATGAACAGCTTTCAGCTGATGAATCGTCATCATCATCATTATCATCATCGTCATGTGCAGCTATCATTTCGTCTGTTTCCTGCATGATTTCATCGAAATTTAACATGTTTGCATCATCTTCGAACTCCTGCTTAGTTATTAAAATGTTTTTCTGTAATAATCCTTGCTTTGACTTTTGTAACAAGTTTGCAGCGACTGCCTTGATGTTTGCTGATTTCAACTGTGCTGATCCTGAATTAACAATCTTAATCGAATGGAATTCCTTATTGTTTTGTGAATTAACGGGAACGATGATCGAACGTGATTTATTACTTACATTCTTGACATGTAGAATTTTCTGTTCGCCTAGAATGGTAACAAAGGAAGTTGAGTGTTAATCATTTTTGTCAATACTTGGATGTGACTAGAATTTGTATGCACTTAAGTATAGCATAAATTTCAAATATTTTTTGGTCGTTAAATTATTCAAATATTTTTTGTCAGTTATTTTTCACAATAATTATAGACGATAATAGAATTATAGAAATACATGCTACTCTGAACTTAATTAATGCCTTTGAATCTAGCAATATCTTGTGCTGACACTTTCACAATAATTATGAAAATATTTCCAGTCAATCAATCAAAATTAATCAGTAAGTCAACCATAAAAGTTTTGATTTGCTGGCATATAGAAAAGGTAAGGCATAAATGCACAGAGCACATTGAAATTGACATTTAGAAAATAAAAGGAGACCAAAATCGATGTTTGTGAATAAATTAGTATTTAGAAATGAGTCACTTACCTTTCTTTACGTTGTTGTTGCTGCTGGTGTTTTTCATGGTCGCTGACCCATATTTCATATTATTCCTGTTGGTTCGCGTGCTACGTTTTAGAATTGCTGGTACAATTTCTTGTCGTCGTGATTTTGCGGTTGTTTTTGGTGGTGTGGTTTCGACATAGTGATCATCACTTCCAGGCGATGGTAAGCACGAGCTCAGAAGGTCAAAATCATTATTTATGTCTCTAAATTAAGCGATAAGGAATTGAAAAATATATAAATCCACATGTTCGTGACTTTAAAATGGCAGAGTTGCTTACAAGTCCAAATTGTCACTGGATAATCCGCTGTCTGAGGCTGCTGATGAATATATAGGTTCATTGAAATTTTCGTCATTAAAGATTGGTTGGTCTTCTAAACTGTTTGTAAAAACATCATCCATTAACAAGTCACTGCCTTGAGTCCCAAAATCAGCCACATTAAGCAATTCGTCCGATAAAATCGAATCCAGCCAGTCATTATCGTTGTTCTATTAAGATAAAAGACACAGACGCATACAAAGGAATGTCATTAATATATATATAAATTTTTTTATGATAATGAATTTCAAGTTAAAGCACACAAAATTGATTATGGTTGCCTCTTCTTTTATGATTCACTTGTTTAAACACTTTATTGCTCAACACACACCCAATTCAAGATGTACTTATTCAATGCCATCGTTCACACTACTTTGACTAAACTTTATTCTTATTTAATTAAGAATTATTGGAGATTTTAATGTACAATATGTTTGATGTCTAAAACTTTTTTATTAGAGCGAATTTAGCTGACGCAAGCAAAGTGCCTTTTTCTTCTCTTGACTCGACTCGACTTATGTAGGTATTGAAAATGTGTATGAAATAGCTCATAAAACAGCACAGAATAGCTTGAGCATGAATGTAAGCGAAGAAAGTATATTAAGAAGAAGAATTTAAAGTGAAGGTAATACTTCAGAGTACTATAAAATGACGGAATGTATTACTGTAGCTTAATATTCATCATGTTTTCCTTTCCTTTCTGTCTCGAATCACTTGAAAAACACAACAACAAATTTGCTCTCTTTATAAATTAGTCGTAATTTGAACAATCCAGAAGCTCAAAGACTTATAGAAACTGAGAAAAACATGTGAAACAGACACTGAACGCACGTCCACTGATAACAAAATATCTCTTATCTACACAATTATTAAGAAAAATATTTAATTTAAAACATACAAACTTATTTACCATTAAATTTTCCATTTTCTTTTGTGCTGTACTTGCAATTTTTGGATTATGCAAATATTACACACCGTTAACTACTTATTTATCACCTTACTTATATTCTCATTACTCTTGTTTATGCTCAAATAATGAATAATATTTTTAAAAAGAATTATGAAATTATGTGTCCGGATTATCCAACGAGACACGTATTTCGCTAGTCTGAACGGAGATGTGTTGAAAACGTACAGAACAAGTAAAAAAGTTTGCGGTATTCTCTGATGTTGTGATTAGTTAAATAAGACCGTATGTTTTCCATTGTAATAGAAACGATGTTATTGTAAAAATAGTAACATCCAGTTAAAGAATTGAAGCAAAATAATATCAAAGACTAAAAAGCAGAAAGCAAGTGCAAAATACAGTCGGTAACCCACTTTGACAATCGGACAGACAATAAAAGAAACTCTGCATGCAGAACTCTCAAAATTTAAGCTAAAAACAACCAGTGACCGTGGATTGAAAAGCCTAATATTTTCATTTAATAAAATCATTAATTTAGCAATAAATACGCTCATTTAAATTAATTAAACAACTGAATACTGTTCTTTAAAGCGACATAAACTGATTAATAATAAAGTGGCGGAGTAAAACATAGTAAATAATGGATAAACTTGGAAGTAAAAGTTTGGCTTCAACTTCAAAGAAGCCTGCAGAAGATTTATCAAATGTTGAATTTGAGACAAGTGAAGATGTTGAAGTAGTTCCAACATTCCAGTCAATGAAATTAAGAGAAGAATTACTCAGAGGAATCTATGCTTATGGTAAGAATGACTAATTTAACATGAAAATTAATTGTTATACTTAACCTCTGGATCTTTGTTATTAATTTAGGCTTTGAAAAACCGTCTGCAATCCAGCAAAGAAGTATTTTACCGATCGTTAAAGGACGTGATGTCATTGCTCAAGCTCAATCTGGTACTGGTAAAACTGCAACTTTCTCGATTTCAATTTTAGAAAAATTGGACACATCTCTTCGTGAGACTCAAGTCTTGTGCTTATCACCGACTCGAGAATTGGCTGTACAGATTCAAAAAGTCATTCTTGCTCTGGGAGATTTCATGAATGTTCAATGTCATGCATGTATTGGAGGCACAAATCTCGGTGAAGATATTAGAAAGTTGGATTATGGACAGCACGTAGTCAGTGGAACTCCAGGAAGAGTCTTTGACATGATTAAACGTCGTGTTTTAAGAACTAGAGCTATTAAGATGCTTGTTTTGGACGAAGCTGATGAGATGTTAAATAAAGGATTTAAGGAACAAATTTATGATGTCTACAGATACCTTCCACCAGCAACACAAGTTTGCTTAATTTCAGCTACACTTCCTCACGAGATTCTTGAAATGACGAGCAAATTCATGACAGATCCAATTCGTATCTTAGTCAAACGTGATGAATTGACATTGGAGGGTATTAAGCAGTTCTTCGTGGCTGTCGAACGTGAGGAATGGAAGTTTGATACATTGTGTGACTTGTATGATACATTAACCATTACACAGGCAGTCATTTTCTGTAATACAAAGAGGAAAGTCGATTGGTTGACAGAAAAAATGCGTGAGGCAAACTTTACAGTAAGTTCGATGCACGGTGACATGCCACAAAAGGAACGAGATGAAATTATGAAAGAATTCCGTTCAGGACAAACTCGAGTACTTATCACAACTGATGTTTGGGCTCGAGGAATTGATGTTCAGCAAGTCTCACTTGTCATTAATTATGATTTACCAAATAATCGTGAGTTGTACATTCATCGTATTGGACGTTCTGGTCGTTTTGGACGTAAAGGTGTTGGCATCAACTTTGTTAAATCCGATGACATTAGAATTCTCAGAGATATTGAACAATATTATTCGACACAAATCGATGAGATGCCTATGAATGTTGCAGATTTAGTTTAAATGGTTTACAGTTTGTGTGAGTTTACAGCATCAAATCATTCTTATTTACTCCTTACTTTTTTGATCTAGAATTATTTAATCTATAAGGCATTTCTACATATATATAATTTAATTAAATAATACTGAAGATTATAATTTGGATCCATACACTAATAAATCAGACTTTATTGCAAAGAACTTTACCTCATAGTTTGAAATGCTTGACAATTGCTCCAATGACTTTTTAAATCCTTGTGCTTCTCAAACTTTTCAGATTGACAATATTCGCATTCATAAAAGTTCATTTTGTGGCTAGAGATCATGTGCCTTATTAAAATGTTTTTCTGTGTGAAATTTTGATGGCATTGACTGCATTCGAAAGGCTTTACTTTTGTATGGATAAGCATATGATTAGTTAATGCGAATTTTGTACGGAATTTCTTGTCACATGCTGTACATTCAAATAGTCTAATATCACTGTGGATTAATAAATGCTTCTTTAGTGCTGATTTTGAACTATATTCATTGTGACAGTGCTCGCAGAGAAACTTGTCTGTTTCTTGGTGAGTTTTATAGTGGAAATTAAGATCACGTTGGAAGAAGAATTCTCGTGGACATACATTACATTTAAAGTTCCTACCTTTTGTGTGACGAACTGAATGTCGCCTTAATATGTCTTTTGTCTTAAAAGTATTATCACATTCGAGGCATTTGTATCTTCCATCATCCATTCTCTCAAACTGCATCTTAATTTTGTGCTTTGGTATGTCGTACTCCTCAGTTTTAATAGGGTATTCATATTCTTCCTGTATAACGGATTCTTCTATGATTTCTTGTTCTTGACTTTCTAGTTCTTCGTTTTCCTCTATTATTTCATCTTCATATCCGATATTATCATCATATTCAATGATGTTGTAGTCATCAATCAAGCTAGTGTCTTTCTCAAAACTTTCTGACTTTACTGGATCATTTAGCAACAAGTTGATAGCTTTGATACACGATTCTTGGAATGTATGAGCAATTATTGCATCTTCTTGGCATTTAAAGCAAATCTCTTGAACAAGTTCTTGACTATCAGGCAGTTCAAATGAGATCCCACTAAGCTTTTCCTGGAAAATTCAATAGATTAATTAATTTTCACTGACAAAAATTTTTAAACTTTAATTACTCACGATAATTGTAAGGAATGAGATGTTGTCAGTTGCATTTTCGTGTATATTCCGAAGTGGACAGCTAGTTTTCTGGCATATGAAGCACGGAATCGATGAGATATAGCTGTAATCCATAGATATTTAATTCTGTTATTTTGTTATTAAAAAGTAAACAGATCAAAAATTAAAGATGGCGCTTGTGTCAAAAAAGAGAAAAATTTGAATTTTTGAAAACCGTTACTTTGTGAACGTATAATAACGTTGCAGCTTGAGCACGTGATTGGAGATCTTAAAAGTTTTAAATTCTAATGTTTTATGGACTGGTTCTTTAAAATCTCTTGAATTAGAATCCTTTGTTGGAATTAGCTACGAATTCTTAATGCCATGCGTGCAGCAAAATGAATTTACCATCTTCGGTATATTACAAAGGACAAAATAACAATTAATTAAAATAAAAAGAAAGTTTAATGTAATGAGTTGACAATGAGTTAATGTTGTATAGTTATTTCAGGATATTAAAGCTTGTACTCATACATGATGACAAGTCGTACGTCATTAACAACGCCCAGATTGTATCTTAACTAGAAAATATGAGATAATTACCGTCAACTTCATGTTTACAGGATGAATCATTATTTGCAATACTTTTTTGAATGCACAAAAATATTTTTCGGTAAAATTTTCAGTCAATGTGTCATCCTCGTGATGTTTGCTGCAAGTAAAGTGAAAGCTGCATTTTTGGTGAAATTGATAAATGAACAAGACTTCTTTTAAATTCTCCTTCTTACTCATTTTGTCATCAATCCATTGTTGCTGATTTATTAAAGACCCATTTCTCTTTTTCAAATTAATCAAAATGTGGTAAACTTCGCTAATTTTTGCCTATTATAGAAGTTGTAAGATGCTGGAAGTTGGAAGAAGCACGATTAGAAAAGAAGAAGAACTATTGACATATAAAAGATCTGTTGTCAGTTAATTTGTGCAATTTATGTCTGTTGACGTCAATTGGATTTGATGTATTCTTTGTTCGTTGACGTTCCGGATAGAAAATATCCGGGAAAACTGCTTACTTTTACTTGATTTTAAGCCAAAACCATTTCACTGAATCTTTTTGGTTTCTCTTAAACATCTAGGAGGCACTATAATTAGCTTTAATCTTTCAGTCGAATGAGGAATCACCTCAAAAAATCCCTGCAAAACTCTTGAAATTAATCACTTCAACAGACTTAACCTCAAATAACATTTTTCTATTGAGGCAAGCTTGTCCTATTTACTTCAATTAACCGCACATTACAGTTCTAAAAGATGATTAATGACACATTCATTGATTAATTTAACAACAGAAGAAACCAAATAGTCTAAAGTCTACCCCACTAAGAACACCTTTTGTTGACCTTAATTTGTTCTTTAATCATTTTGAGCTCAAATCCCACAAAGTTACCATTACCATTCTATATTCTCAATGGAAAGATTGAAGGATTTATTTTGTTATACTATGACATGACACAATCAACCTACTTTCTTTCTTTCTTTCTTGCTCCCTTGCTTTCTCGCCAATTTTCAATTCCATGATTCTTTCAATCTGTTTTTGTTATTTTGTAAAGAAAGAAGTTATACAATAATCGTGACCTACATCCATATAGTAAAAACAGTCGTAGAGAGAGAGAATGTAATGTGAGAGAAGCAGAGAATGCAGAAAAACCTTTCTTTCTCCACTTGTATTGACCTACATGTATTACATGCAACAAATTGTTGTTCAACACGTTTTACAATTTCTTTGCATCATTGTATTGGATGGAAATGCGACTTTGACTTACAACCATCGTTAAGTTCAGCATTTAGTCATGCTGTGAGAGATGTATTGTGGATTAGAAAGTTTCTGCGATGTAGAGCATTATTATTGCATTTTTAATCAAAAGCGTGAATTTTAGGAGATGAAAACGTGATGCAGCTATGATTCCATCCTACCTACTCATTTCCTCTTTGCTGGAATTATTCAACAATTAAAATTGAAAATATGAGAATAGAAATGCGGTTGCATCATGGAATGTTAATTAGGTTAATGATATATTTTTGTATAAATGCTGCTTAAAATATTTATTTTTTTTTTTTTCGTCTGAACGGAAATATTGGATTCACATGTGCTCAATATTATCGATAAATTATAATTAGTGGCATGCAAACAAAGCTTTGAATTTGCTTTTTGAGATTAGCAAAGCTGATTATTGAATGTGTGTTTAATGACTGTCTTCCTTTTAATCTAGAAAGTTGGCTTCTTACTTTATGGCTTCTAATACTTTTTGCACAATTTTTGTGTCTGATAGACTTTTTGGGGCCGGATAAGATCAAAATTGATGACTTACAAGACTAAGCTTTGGATTCTGCTAATATCTTTTATTACAATGTTGCAACTTAATGGATTTATCGATGGCACACTGACATTTACTGTATATGATCAACGCTGATGTTACTCGGAAATTAACAAGTTGGAGTAAGCAAAAGAATTTCTCTTAATAAAGCAAAGGTTAGATTGGTAATCATAGCTTCAGATGAATCATTATTTTAATACTAAAGATATCTACTGTACCCAAAAACAAACATTTGAACCAGAGAAATCTCTTTCCAACACCATTTAAATGGCATTTCTATTCCTAACCTAAATTCAATAGAATTTCCTCTATGAACGGCCCACTTATTAACCAAATGTTGATTCTAATAAATCGTGCGATACACACATTTTCTTTCTCTCCTGACTTGGAGTTACTTAGAGAATAAGTGTGTGATAAGTAAATCAAATATTTAAACTAAACAGTTAAGTAATGCTCTCAAATCCAACTTATTTTGATAATATATTCAATTAACAGTTTGTTATGAAAATTACATATAAACAGCGTGATGATGATGAATTCGATGATGTGGCTACATATGCTAAGAGAAATTATCTGTTGTGGTTACATTTTGGGTTTTATGGACAGATGACTGATACAGTGACTAAAGAAGCATGACATCGATTTAAGGAATTTCTAAAAAAATATCCATCACGTTGCAAGCCACTCAAAGTTCAAAAAGCACATAAAACCCATAATTTTTGAATTGAAGACAAGGTTTAGTCCACGCTTATTGCAAAAAAGTGCATAGCGTTTATAAATTTGGAAATTTCCATTTTCTATTTATACCTACTTGTTATTTTAATACGATACCGTCAATTCCACGTTTTCACGTGATTCTCTACCGCGGACATTTATATGAATATAAAATCGGAATTAATTTTCTATCCTTGACATTCAATATGTACGCATATTGTTTTTTTTTCGTGAACACTTTCTTTTGACTTTTAGAGTTTATTGGCTTTTGTGATCAGGTGCATTGTGTGCATGCATAATTAACTTTTTAAATTTCGCAACCTACCTGGTTGTAATTTTTAATTTATCTGGGAAAAGAAGTTGATTTATTTAAAATTGGAATGTGGTTGAGTAGATGGTGATGAACTAATGAGTTTCCGATGGAAATTGAGTAATATGAAAGAACAGAAGTTTCTAGATCTAAAATCGTTTTTGGACTTTAGTTTCTTATCAAATTTAAAACTCGGAAGCTGTAATTCACTCTAAGGATGAAAATTGTTTATCTTAATCAACAAGCAATTAATTCTGTGTTTGATAATACAAGCTAAGATCTATTTTTTATGGATTAGAGTTTTCACTCAAATCAAACTACGATAAAATTGAATTTTTTCTAAAGATTGTTGATAAATGATTTTAGATATTGTAGAAAAATTATCAAAAATCATTAGTTTTAAGATTAATTTATGAGAAATGAACTTTGTAAACAAACTTAAATTTGATTTTAAACTTGTGATCTAAACGAATTGAATATTCAAAGAAGTTGTCGAAATAATCATAATATTCGATCTCTTCAAAATTTTGTATAAAATCAAAAAGAAGGCAATTTAGAAAGGAATGAGACAAGATTAAGTTAAATCTGATAAAATTCAACTTCCTCGCAAAAATCTTCAAAGCCCCAAATTCAACAAAAGAAACTTAAACCGGCGAATATAATCCCATAAATATCATTAATTGCAAATCGATTTAAAGCTTTATCAATAAAACAGAATGGACCCATAAACCAAAATTTTGTCAAATGTGAGAGTGTCATAAAATCATAAATTTTTCATTTCTTTTTATCTTGAATCAACTTAACCTCAATTTTTCATTATTTTTTATTTCAATGCTTCTTGATCGTGCACAAAATAATATTTATGACATTAAACGAATGAGAGTTTGCAACTTTCCAATTCCTCACATGAAAAAATTTAATTTATAAACTCACGTTTTCTCAAATAAAATATTCTGAGTGTCGATTATGTTTAAAAAATATAAAAATGCTCATGCATTTTCATTCAATACAATACGGACATGCAGCGCTTGCCAATGATTTTGACATTGATTTTTTTTGTGTGCACAAGCAAAGCAAAATAAATAAAATAAAATATATAGGCACAAAAAATGCAAATAAAGCGGAATCATTGTAAAATTACATAATGCTAAATAAATGAAAACAAATAACGGTAAACAGCTATAGTAAGCTAGCTAGCTCGTTACAGTGAAAGTCATTTAGCACACATAAAAAAGAGATTTAATAATAACATGGAAAAAAGTAGGTAATCTTTATGAATGCGACCCTCGTTAGCGTAGCTTCGCCCATAGCATTAAAAAAGAAGCTTGAAACAAAACAAAAAGTGTGTCAAATGCACATGTGAAAGTTGTTCACATAATTTTCTCTCACTTCTTAATTCTTTCATTACTGCCTTCTTTCCATTTCTTTCTTTCTTTCTTATGTTACGCTCGTACTTGCTTACATTTTTTTTTTGCTTGCTGTTGTAATTTCCTTTTTGTATATATTGAGTTCTGTTCCCATTTTTGATGATATTTATTTACACTTTTTTTTCGGCAGAGATTACTTTCAGTTTTGCTTGTTTGTCACATTAATTCTTAATTTAGAATTCACATTCAATTTTACTTTGTGAGCTTAATTGGAGTTACAGTTCTGTAGTATAGCTATTCTTGGTTCTTAACTTCTGAACTGTTATCGTTCTTGATCATTAGATCTATTTTAAACAACTCTTATTTCCAAAAATC